ATTGAATGAATGGAGGTTGATCGGATGGCATGGGTCGACCATGCAGGCGTGGTCCATCTGAATGTTACCTTATATCTTCTATTCATATTAAATATATTGTTCCTTCTCTAGCCTAACCTTGTTCTACATCATGTATTGGTAATTGATACGATACAGTGAGTTGGTGTAGTCGATTGTGTGACTTCCACGTAAGATCTTATAGATCAAGCAGTTATATCATGACAAATCTACAAAATTTAGGATTAGGTTTGTTATTAGAGCAGTAATAATATCATAGTAGACCATAATTCTACAACCAAATTGAGTGGGGTTTTTGAGCGCCAGAAGTTACTAAATGAATAATAAGAATCCTCCAGGATCGATAAGCTGAAAGACAAATCAGGAAAATAAGGCGGCAGAAACTGATCGGGAAACACATGTAATAATTTAGAAATGTTTGATTGCATGTTTAACACGCTTAAGTGATAATCCATGTGAACGCTATTTATACGTCAAGCAAAGTGGGATTATAACAAGCCACATTAGAATGCATAGTGATAACCTATGGTTAACAGCTCAAGTTGAAGTTAGTATAAATAATTTATACTAAGAAATAAAAAAACAATCAGTATTGTACTAATGTTGATATTGGTATTAATTTTGCTTTAAATTATAAAGTCAATTAACGTTCATGTCGGTTTGCTCTCAGTATGAGTTGATTTCCGGTTGCATTAGCAATATTAGGCTAGCTGAAAAACCAAAAGTATAATCGCGGAGGAAGAATTCCAACTAGTATCCCAGTTAGTTTATTAAGTTTTATACGGTTTATTTAATTGCGTGGAAAATTTCCCGACCTCGTTGTTGGTTAACCGTGATAGAACGTAGTAATACTACCAATACATATGAATGATTATCGAAAATTCTTTTACGTGAAAACTGATAATTATGTGTATTTTAGACAGATAGCTAACAGAGATTCATCGAAAATGAGTGTATTTGTGAGAGACATGCTCTTGACCAAATGTTTTGATGTACAGTAAACCAGTTATTTATATGCATATTTAACGGCTGATGGTGTATCCACTTTGGCTACATGTATGAAGTTTAGCATAAGTTAGAAAACGACTTTTTTCAAAATTGTTGAAATCGACAAAGTCAATGTGACACGAATATTGGTGAAGCTGCACAATTCTTCCGGCCAAATAAATCTTTACAAGATGATAAACATTGAGTGACGCCCATGTCATTATCAAGGAGATCCTAAGTTGTAACCAAGAGAAGTAAAGCTCTCAACCTATGTCTATGATAAGGGTATGAATCTCCGTTGGGGTAAATTCGACAGTGTATTCAGCTTACAAGAGATCTGCCCAGCTGCTTGTACAGATGACTTACATTCATGATTGTGTCGCTAAACCTCCAATTAGACAGCGTTTAGGATCAAACTATCGCGCGCTTTTCGAACGGGAAGTTTAGTCCTAAGGTGATTGGCATTTCTCAAACTTTTGCTGTGTTCTCACTCAACAAACGTAACATTTCTGATCTAAAGAATCTGCTCTGAGCTATACGTTTTGATCCTGCCTGGAGGTATTGGTGATCCACTGCCACTTGACATGGAAACCCGTTAAGCGAAAGCTTCTTCTATTTGGTCCACAACCATTTGAACTATTTTAAGATGTTATTGTTTAACCGTGATATAAATTATTAAAGCTACTGATGTTCATGTTCAGCTTTAAGGATTGTTTGGTTAGGACCTATACCACTATAAATATAGCAAGAGGGCTTGTAGTGGCATTGGACAATAACCACACAATCCACAAAGCTGAACACGATACTACTCGGAAAATAGATATTAAATTCCTGAGCTAGTAGGTGGTAGTCAGAACGAAACTCACGGATAAGATACGCATCAACGATATTGGCCTAAATGAGGCCCCTCAAGCGAGGTACAACTCGATAGGTTCTTTTGTACCCTGGCATCAGGATTTTGACAGTGACAGTCTTAGATCCACTTATTTCTCTGATCTTTTAAGATTGTCTGTTAGATAAGGTTAGATAGACGAAAATGCTTGATGTAAACTATGCAAATATCTGGATGTTCATAAAAGGCGAACTGGATTCACTTGAGCTTCAAAAGGGCCTTACAACAATTAAGGAATGAGCAGTGAACAATAGATTAGAACTTAACCTGTCTGGATGTTATATCATGAACATTCTAACTCATCGGACACAAAGCATTTATGGCCTCCGTGGAAATTCGCTCTCGACTGTCTCCTCAGTAGGCGGCCTCTAGCTTGTAGTCACAGAAAGCTTAGACACCAGCTCAGAAAACACAGGGAATGCAGATAAAGAAACGGAACCCCCCTCTTTATGAGAAAATAACTAAGCCCAATCACCTCAGAGTTGTTCCTAACATCTTGTAACATACAGCTCTACCTTGAAGTCTGAAATATTTTCTCACTTCCGCCCTTCAAAAGAGACATAAATCTCTTAGATCACGCACATGGACGGGCAGTCGGGTGGGTGATATGTCTCAGGAGTAAAACGTATACGTCTGTACGGAAATATTGTGCCGCTTTCACCCATTTGTTGAATGCGTATAGGTTTGCAAATCTCTCCATTTTCGTTTATCTCTCCAGGTCCGTATCGTCCCACAATATCTTCATATCCGGTGTTGTCTATCCCGACTTTGGCGTTAAGATCTCCCATCAGAATGGTGAGGTTCTTTCTTGGGCACTTCGCTATGATAAATTTTCGCCTCTCATAGAACCGATCTTTGCCATCGTCAATGCCATCATCAGTGGATGCATAACACTGGATAACATTCATTGTGATCTCCTTCTTCTTTGTTTTGAATGATGCTTTGATGATTCTGGATCCGTGAGATTGTCATCATATAAGTGCACTCCATGCTTCTTTGGTCAGCATCAGAGCATTTTTCTCTTCGTGGTAGGAATGCAGAAGCATCCCTTCTGGATCTATCTTTTTCTATCGAGCTTCGGTCCAACGTGTTCCACTGATTTCGGGAATTAGTTGTATCTCCTAATTTTTGTAGCACCTGGGTTGGTCCTAACGATCTTTCACATTCTGCGGACGTTTCATGTACCCATAAAAATTTTCGCTCCGGTTCTTAGAAAGGTCATCGGCCTGATGATTCGCGGAGAATCTCGTCTTTTAGTGTGAGGCGTCATAATTCTTTCTTAAACTCTAAAAGCAGAGTTTAAATGATCTGATATTTTGATATGGTTGGCGTTTTTTAGAAAGATTTTTTTTACGGGGTGGGGTTGCAGAATTTCCTTTCACCCCCCGAACCTTGGCTTGGGACCGGTAGTAACTCTTGAAGAGCTACAGGCAGAGTTAAAGACTCCAACACTTCAGATTATCCTCTTTGGGCTGTGAAAGAAGAAGAAATGACCTGATAATGGTACAGAACATTCAAAGCACACCGCGACTCTCCAATATGGAGCATCCTAAGAGAGTAAATCAATTAGTTTATGTAAGTCCGTGGCCGAGGAATTGGATACCGGATTGTGGTAGCGGTCATTTTAAGCTTTGGCGTTGTGATGGTTTGTTCTCAGTTTGTATCATGGATAGTTAGTTGAATTGTGGCTAAACTTACTTTTTGTATCTCCAATTGGTCACTTATATCTTTTTATTTTATCGTTATCCTACTTATAGTTACCACGGACTCCGACTTATTTGCTCAATCTATTTCTTTCTATTGATCCCATCTACTTGGCGTTTTTTATAGACTAGAAGTGACCTTTCTCTGTATCCCGATGGTACTACAATAATAAGAGTCAATTTCACTTTATATCCTCGTGATCGCTGTCTTCATAAAACTGGAAAATGTTTTAACGTTTTCCCTACTGAAATACTACAGTTTTGGAAAACTTCCAGATGTCTTCCAAATTTTTATTTCTCAGATCTTCGCCCTATTTTGTGTTGATCTTCTCGTAGTAATGGTATTATCTGCACACCGGTCTTTGCCAAATTTAATAACTGATAATCTTGGTACAATCACTTATTAGGTGTCTTGATGATGCTCAAAGTTAAACCCACGAATTTGCATCGGGTAACTGTACTGCATCAAGATTTGTCTTAAAATAACTTCTGTCACACGTAAACTTCATCTTTCTGCGTTACGCTTGTCAGTTTTTGGTTCTTTCGCCCCTGAATTAATTTCGAAAGAATACGGTAGCTCATGCTAGATTGTATTCGTTCAAGTTGATACATTCTAAAATGACGTTATCAAAAAAGTAAACAGTGTTACCAAAGCTAGAAAAAACCATTAGGGGAAGTGCGGCGAGTTTATCGGTCAATTAGTTGTTTTTTATTCAAAATAAAGGTTGATGTAGATACACCCTAGTTTTTTTTAAACATCACTAAACTGTAGCCAGTGAGTTGATAGCATTTCATATAGATCTGGCAAACATTTAACAAATTGAAGGAATAAATTAGCACATTCATCTAACATTTTGTAAGGATCGGAAAACCAGTCATGGACATCGTTGGAGCTGACACTAGTATGCTTCGATCCAGTTTGATACACCACATAACACATCAATAGAGAAAATCAAGATGATAAAATATGGAGTAGAATCAATATTAATTGGAGTGAACAAATGATGAGAGAACGAAAAATTCATTTCTTTTCAGTTAACATAGGGCATCCTTCTAGGCAGCAGTTTATTGTATATGATATGTGTCTCAGTTATCTCAATGTGTTTCTCAACATGTTCAGTGATTTATTTCCTCTGTTTAAATTCACATGTTTGATATTTCATCGCTGTTGGCTTTTAAATAAATAAATAAGACAAGCGATTTTTAGGTCTTACAAGATGTCTTTTTTGATCATATATAAATTATAGAGTTCCTTTTTGCGAGAGTACCTAAATGGAAACTGAATTTTTTTGACAGTTTTCTGTTCTTTTTTGGAGCTGTGCTGTATCTCATAAGCACCTTTTTTCTACTTCGTAGGATGACTCTCACAACTTTTTACTGGACTAGTTTAGCTGTCAAAGATGATGAATATTCCTAAAAAAGTCAATATAATTGGTAATTACTAACTGTTAAATATTGTTCATTCTACTTGTTGTTGTCAAATCTTTTTAAATGGTATTTTCACGCAACAATTCTATTCTCTGTGTTAAATGTGTGGTCATTTTTGCAATTTTGCAAATTTAATATAAAACTATGTTGCCCACCGTGTTATTGTATTTTAAACTGATTGTCTTGGAAGTGTTTCTTCATAAACCATTTTGTATTCAGTGATATGTTTCGAACCATCATAGAAAGATGTCTGGATACACGGAGCTATTATCACATTTTTTGAGTTCGTGTGAAGTTTTATACTGTTGGTTGCCTGTTCATAGCCTGTAAACTTTATGATTTCATTTTCCTCGCTGACAAAGTGAACAATTTCATTGTTGTTCTATAGTCTGCATTGGTATTGGAAATAATTAAATTTATCTGATAAAATACTATATTTTATATAGTTTGTCACCATTCAGAAATTTCTGAACTAGTATTTCGAAAAATTTATTGACATCATAGTTGGGAGTTCAGCTTATTACTTGTAGGCATTATCAGTGGTTTATTCATTTATTCATAGTTACGTTTTGTTTAACATTACTTTTGTGCGTGATAACAAATTTTACGAGTCTCGTGTAGCTCGTTTTGTACGTTCACGTTTCCATTCAATAATCAGTTGGTAGTGGCCAGGCTTTCTCCCTCCTAGTATTTGCTCAGTGTAAATACCATCAGTTGTTCGGTTGACTGAATGAAGTAAATTCTGTAACTAACGATTTGTTTGATCAGTCACCTCATTCAGGAGTTCGTATAAAGTTTTATCAGTCAAATAATCAAACATTGGAACCACAATAACTCTTCTTCCAAAAAAATATTCTGTAATTCTTATTTGAGCTAGTCTCTAACTGTACGTCAACATGACAATTAAGATAATAGTTATCTACAAAATCAGTGGTCACACTTTAGCTGTGTGTAAGCACTCGCCTTGTAACCAATATGAAAATGGATTATTTTACTTTTTCTACATCACTTAACGGTAAATGTCACCGATGAATGAACATGAATAATTTTTAGACAGTTTCTGAAGTTGTGTTTACTTATTTTTATTGTTGTGCCCATAGTTTGGGTGTTAAACCTACGAAAGTGGTTACAACGCCTGCCCTCACCCAAACATTTCCATTCAGAGATGGGCACATCAATTTACACATGATGAGTTGAAGAAGTATTGTGGCAAAGTATCTAGTATTTAGTCAAAAATCAGTAACCGTAATTTACTAGGTATGAAGGTTGAATGTTGACGTAACAACGGGGTTCTCGACTCGGTATCCAAATGCAAATTTTCATACTCAAATTTAAGTCACTTTTTTATATGACTACTAGTGATACTAACCAAGACAAGGCAATGTAAAAGAGATTAAGCCATTGACACAAACACCTTCGCTAACGATAAGAATGCGATACTATCCACTCAAACGTTAAACTGTAACCATACTTTTCTATACTGGGACAATTGCAATCTCTGTTCAGTGGTGAATAAAACTCAGGTTGGTTTACTAGTCTACGACTTACATCTTCCTATAACATCTCGAGGGACAAGAGAAATGTAAGTGACGTTTGGCACTGAATACTATGACTCCCTCACATATACCCCTATTTCTTATATTTACATAGTGAATGGAGATCAGAATAACGGTCTAACCATTAAAATCATGGAGTAGATTCAGTTTTTGTCTGTGTACTTCAGGTTATTTTCATAAATTAGGTTCTAGGCTTTTTCTACTCAAAGCTTGGATGTAAATACACTAGTGTTTATGTATTACTCCACACTTCTTGTTAATCAGTGAACTTGTTTATTTTTGTTTTGTAGTACAGCGTGGGGAGAATTTGGAATACACTTCGTCACTTAAAAAAGGTATGTTTGGATATGTTGTTAGTGAATACATTTGTCTGACCGGATAAAAAATACAATTATTACTACATAACTAAAGAATCGATTGTGGTGACAAATGTTTTGCATGAACGATAACCTGTTAGCTTAAACACTCAGCTTTGAATTAATAGACTACAGGCTCAAACCTCATTTAGTCTTCTATTTAAACAACTGAGTAGCATCGTTTAGTTGTGATCGAAAACTTGAGTAATAGACTTATACTTGGCAAATGAGCTGGTAATAATTAAATAATTTGAAACTGAGATTTCATCAGTTAGCATATTCTTTTATATGACTCGACTTCAATGTTATGTTTTAAAGTTCAAAACGTTTAATGCTATTTAAAGTTTTTTTCATTATTTTTGAAAAACATAGCACATGAACAATAGCATTATATTCACAATGACTAAAATCCCTTAGTCCAATAACCTAAATTGTATACTCGATTGTTTCTAGAATAATTACTTCTGATAAGCAGCTGTTGCCTATATTGTCTTCCTATATGTAGTATGTCTGGTATAGAATGATAAGTAGTATCGCACGTGTCAGTTAATATGTTATAGACAGTCAAGTACTCGTGTTAAGTCCTAGTGATTTTGTACTCACTTTTATGGCCCACTGATATGACTCCAATTTGATTGACCGATGTTAAACAACTATACATATCATCAACCCTCGTATATAATTATTGACCTAATTCGCGTTAGAGAATAACGGAATAAAATAAGTCGAATATGATCATGAATTTTGGATATGTATATATCATACATTCGTTGATCCAGAAAGACTGTCTATCAGAATACTTTTTACAAGTGGCTATCTTAACTTCGAACCTTAATACTGTGCTTACACCATTAAAATCACTAGAGCTTACTGTCAAGTATTTCTGAAATGTGAATCGATTTGGATCTTCACATCAATTAGGTATCAAGTCAAGTCGGTAATCCGATTTGGATTTTGTATGTTTATTCTAGAGGCGCAGAAAATATCTTAGATAAAGGATTCTTCGATACCTTAGGTACCATTGTGGTGTGTTACTGGTGTCGACAGATATAAGTAGTATGTATCACCAATCGAAAGTGAAATGCCTGACGACACTAGGTTGAAAAGATCGAATAAAAGAGAACGAGAACAGAGAATGATTGATGTGGAAACGAATGCACAATGAAGTCTGAGACGACTGATTGACATTTTGTAAATGAAATATTTACTGTATGATTCTCAGATTTTACCAAGATATTCTGTAATTTTGCATTTAAATACATTTGGTTGTCCCCAGTTGTGTTCTCGTTCACTACACCATGACCGAAAGTCAGTGACATTGACGCAGATGGACTCAATATTTAACTTCCCCTAAATCGTAAGCCTATTATTATTACCACATAGTTCTCATTTTTCGAACCTTATTTGTCATTATTGTCATTAAGCCACGACTCGAGCACAACCCACCGCAGCATCTCAATCAAGTCATCTAGACCGGACTAGGCTGTGCCCCCAAACGCCCTGGTATGGCCGAGAGCGGGGTGGGTTCGCCCTTCCTCTCGAAATACTCTCACACGGCCGCGCGTATACAGCCTCTGCCAGGGAAGTCCTACTCACTGCATTCTCGTGGCGGGGGTGTTGTTTACGAAAATGAGAGGACGAAAAGCGAATGTCCGGCGCTTTAACCGGATTCCAAACCAATGGTGCACATGGGCACCAGTATCCTGCGGGAACAAGTGGCGTATGAACCAATTTTCGGTCACCGGCTACCATGAGACTGCATCTCCTTACGATGCTCCACTGCCTTGTGGGTTAGACCTTTAAGTCAAAGGCTCGGGGTGTGGCTCCCTAAGAGAACCACCTGCTTCGGTCTGGGCACCCGGGCAGTAACGCAGCCCACACGCAATTAATGAACTGAAATTGTGGCGCATATATGTTTGGCGCACTCCTGTACCAATATATATGTGTTCAAATAAAATAAAATAAAATAAATCGAACCTTATTTGCCCTTTTGAAACTAGGCTTCTTGTTTTTCTAGTTTTCTACCCCTGTTCATATTTTATATTATTCCCCGTTCTGCTTTCTATATGGCTAGTTTCCTATCACTGTGCTAATGTGGAGTTTGGCAGCTTAAATAAATGAACGGTAGCCTTAGGTACTTCCTTTTAATTTCTGTTTGAGATTGTTATAAATCAGACTAATTTCTCCCTAAGTACCGATCTCTGTTTTGCAGCTAATACAAAATAAATATTATTGTGATATACTCCAGAACCCAAATAGTGGGGGCTTTATCACTGAATTGTTAACGACTCACGTTGTTAACGCATTATAAAAATAATTAGCCTACTAGTAATGTAACAGTTTGAAAAAATATCTAGTTACTGGTTATATGATCACCAGTTGGTAACAACGAGATTGTTAGTTTGAAAAGATTGTTGCATTTCTAATAAGTTGACGTAAAACATTTATCGTAATACATATGTTATGCATTTAAACCTACATGTGATCCTTTAACAACATCATCTGACTTTTCATCTGTCATTATCGTCGTCATCATCACAATAAGGGCTTATTGTTATTATCATTAATATTTCTTGAGCCAATTTTTGATTATCAAATTTTACCTTTGCATTGTATGATAATAATTTTGCAGTTTTACAATATACACTTATTATTATCCAATGTAATATTGCTTCAAAATAGCCTCTAAAAGTCGTCGATGGCGCGTTATATTTTTGGGTGGAGCGGTTAAATTAGCCTCAGAGTATGTTGATGCAGAAGATGGTCGTCCAATATGGGATTGTGAAGTAACATTGTAAGTGAAATTCTAAAGTAATAAATATTACAGTTCTTATGTAATCACCTTTTTAAAATCTTTATCTAATTAATTTAGTGGTTTTTCAAAGATATCCCCAACAAATTTGTTAGACTGTTAAATGTTGAATTGTGTGTGTATATGTTCAAAAAGAATTCACTTCCCAACTGCTTTAATAATCAAAGTTATATAAACTATGAAATGATAGTCGATAAGTTTTACATTTGGCATAGAACTGTGAAATAATTGTCCAACAGAATTCGTATCACTGGTCTTGATTTAAAAGGAGAAAACGTACATGATTACGACTCTTTTACTATTCACCTTGTTAATTTCATCTCATGCTAGTGTGATATGGTAACTTGGGTTAACACACGTTTGTTTCTGGCTTTATTTTACTTATGAATGGCGGTTTAGTCAGTTGGCTTGTGTAAAAATTGATATCCTCTACTTCTTGTTCTTTGTTATTAGGACAGTACTTTCATTTTTCATCCTTTAACATTGGAATTTTAATGTAATTTGATTCAGAGTCCATACTGTTGTAAGGGTAAATATATATTTTTTGAAATAAACGACTTAGTAGGCACTCAACATTGTTATTACTTCTTTGGTTTTAACTGATCTAACTAAGCTAAGGGTTCTCAGTTCACTATCCTAGTCATTTTTCGGCGCCGTTCACTTAAGACGTTTCTTTCAATTCTAAAAGTAGGCTCATGTCCGTCTAATTTATGTGCGACCAAACATATCATCGGTCTTGATCATTATAGTTTTCTTCGTCATTATATGTGAAAGTAACGTGCTTTTCGTGAGTAAAACCTGAAAAGAGGGATTTCAAGGGGATTTTTAACACTTAGTTACGTGTTACATACTCTGTATCATACCGTAGCTAAATGTGCCATACTAGGTTTATTGTGATTAAGCTATAGAATCTGAGAATGTTTTGTTGGACAAGATATTGAAAACATGATCCTATGCAGGTTACGTGAAGTAAGTGCTACGTCAGTAGGCTCCTGAAAATGTTAGATTCCGGTAATTTAAGATGCTAAGTACTATATTCTCGGAGATCATAGGTCACATGACGATTGTTTAGCAGTTTACCCTTTTTTCAAAATTGTCTTATGAAATAGTTATTCTAGTGTGTATAAACGTAATGAATGAAATCTCAGCAAGTTTAGGCTACACAGAAATCAGTTATTTCGCATATACGTAAGCTGTAAGTATGGTATATATTTACAAAGGATGTAACAAGGTACAATTTTTAATGATGAGATTGTCGTTCTGATTTTGTAGACAAGTAGTAAATGGTGTATTATTGTACGTTAATATCTCTTTTCATGCTTTTGTGTTGTCTTTTCTTAAATAGAGATTTGATTAGTCCATCAGATCCAGTTACTTTACTTGTTGTCGATGGAGATAATCATCATATCGGTCAAGTTGATATCCCCTTAAATCAAGTTCCCCAAACTGGCAATCCAAATTTCGACTTATCACGGTTATGTTATTCTGATTTAAAAGCGAAGCGAAAAAATTCTAATGCACATGGACGTTTAGTTTATTGGATTTGGGCTATTGACTATTGGCCTCCAGGAACTCAAGCTAATACTGTACACCATTCTAAATCATTACGTGGTTCACTTACAAATCTTAGTTCGAAAATACGTTCAAAGTAAGATATGTGTTCTGTTTATTCATTATTTACTCCAAATATCATTATAGATATTTGTCTGCGTTAGACTGAATGAAAATATGAAGAGTAATAATAGTTGAGCTTCATTTATTTAACTGTCAAGTATGATTTACTCATTATTATGTACAATTATTGTAACATGTATACGTGTGTGATATTAATTGCTTATTATTAAAAAAACATCGGACGACTTATTAGTTTCTATGCTCATTGGATAGTGTGAACAAGCTGTATTTTAGTCGAAGGGGTAACACATATCACGAATTGATCGATGTTGTAATTTGTCGTATGGGCCCCAATCTGCTGGTTAAACATCCTCTTCAAAACCAGAAGGTTCTAGGTTCAGTCCCGATGGGGATCGTATGTGCACACTTTTGATGAGCCATATATTAGGACGAAATGTCTATTCAAACGCTCTCTATTTCTTTATTGGCACCCCAAATGATATGAACGTTTAACGACAGTTACCATATTTGTTTATACTATAAATATGGTTTTGAGTTTATTAGGCCTGGGGATTTCTGCCGATAAAACGAAAAAAAATAATTATACATTATTTTTATTCAACTAGTATTCACCTTGGACATTTGTGTTTATTAGCTTACTACTAGGTGATGTATTATTATTTATTCGAGCACATAAATATTGGTACAAAAGGGCACCAAATACATATGCGCCACACAAAACAATGAGAATTTGAAGAGAAGAAGGAAAAAAAGTAGGGAGCGTAGAAAAAAACAATAACGTACAGATTAGTGTATGATAGTGTAATAACAATAATGGGGGAAACGAAAAGGTACAATCAGAAGAAACCTTTCAGTTAAGGAAGACACAACCACTTTTTTTTATGAAGAAAGTAAAAGAAGGTTACAGGAGGATCGCCACTGGCTTTTATTCTGAGCCATATCTGATAACGTCTCTAGCCACTGTGTCGCACCATCTCTATGACCCCAGCTAGGGAGTCATGAAGAACCAACAGAAGCCAGCCCTTTTCAGCTTTCTTTCATACCACGACACCATGTCATACACCGACCACCTCTCCGCTTCTTCCAACCAGTCCCAGAGTCGGCAAATAATGCACAACGTGGAATTCTCTGGGACGACATTCGTAGAACATGTCCAAGCCACCGAAGTCGGTGTTTCAAGATGGTGACACCAATTTCATTATCGTCTCTGTGCCCGAACACATGATGCCGAACCTCTGCCTTACTAACATGGTGTTGCCACTGAATATCAGCAATCCTTCGGAGGCAGCGATGATCGAACCACAGAGAGTCGTCTAACATCCTCAACTTGGAGATGCCAGGTTTCACAAGCATAGAGCAAAACTGCTCTCACCGACACGTTGTAGATCCGACCTTTTACAGCCAGACTAACATCACGAAGGCGCCAAAGATGGCCCAGATTGGCATAAGCCGCTCTGGCTTTCACTATACGTGCATTGATCTCATCACTCACACCCCCACCAGCACTTATGCAGCTACCTAGATACACGAACTTCTCGACTACTTCTATCTGCTCACCATCCAGGGTGAGTACAGGATTAGAATCCTACCAGTCTTGTAGAAGTACTTTGCACTTCGAAGGTGCAAAGCACATACCATACCTACGGACACTGATTGCCAACTGATTAAGTGCGGATTGCATGCCTTGGGCATTATCGCACAGTAAGACAATATCGTCCGCATACTCAAGGTCGAGAAGTCTTTCTCCAGGCAACAGATCCACACCACCATTACTTACATCCATCAGAGCTGTTTCCAGAATGTCATCAATGGCAAAGTTGAAGAGGAATGGTGAGATTGGGCAACCCTGTCTAACCCAACTGCTCGAATAGAACAATGGAGAGGGGTGGTTGTATTCCCTCACACTGTCTGAGGGGGGCCTTTAGGACGTTAATAAACTTCTCAGGCACACCCTTCTTCAATAGACAATCCCAGAAAACAGTCCTGTCCAACGAATCGAAGGCAGCCCTGATGTCAAGAAACACTACGATTGTTTGCCTTTGATAAGTATGGCGGTGTTCTAACATTTGGCGGAGGGTGAAGATATGATCAATACATCCTCGACCATAACGAAAACCAGCCTGCTCCTCGCGAGTCAATCTTTCTCGGGTTTTGAACAATCTACGAAGTATGACGGAAGCCAATAGCTTGGACGCAATCGGAAGTAGACTTATCCCCCGATAGTTGTTACAGGAACGACGTGAACCCTTTTTAAAGATAGGGACAACTATCGACTCATTCCATGACGTTTGTACACTCTCTAGTTCCCAGAACCTTGTAAACAACACAGTCAGTTCCTTAGCCAGAAAGTCATCACCATCTTTAAAAAGAGCCGGAGGTAAGTCCTCTGGACCCGGTGATTTGTAGCGCTTTAAGAGTGGGAGTTCCTTACGGACTTCCGCCTCATTTGGTGGATCAGTCGTCACCGGCCATGGAGGGCAGGACAGTCTGACCGATGTTGCCGGAGCAGCAGGTTAGTTGAACTGCCCTTCGAAGAATTCTGCCCATCGTCCAAGACGTCGATGGATGTTGGTGATTGGCTTCCCGTCATCCTCGCAGATTGTTTCGCTCACATCAGACTTCTTGCTGCCAGTGGCTCGGGCGAGTTGGAAGAGCTTCCGGTAGTTAGTAGATGCAGCTGCTGCTTCCAACTCATTAGCACGCTCCGACCACCAGGCTTCTCGGTTCTTTACGCAAGCTTTTCTCAATTTCATTACGTAACATCCTTCATATGTGGTCAAACTCACGGTCAACCTGAGTAGACCGACGGGCTTCAATAAGTTTTAAGGAGCCTGAAGTAACCTAGTGCTTATAAGTGGGACGTTTCGCTAGCCCACAAGTGACTTTACTCGCTATTTTCATGGCGTCATGCAATTGCAACCAATGCTCATCTATACGTTTCGGTGGAATGGTAGCTAGCCTAGAAACTAGCTCGATTCGATACTTACTAGCAACTGAAGTTGCAACCAGCTTGCTAAAATCAATCCGTTGGTGGCGGTCACTTTGTTGTCCACTGAAAAGTAAGGTAAGATTGGCGCAGACCAAGGCTTGGTCAGAGTCCAGATAGGTACTCCAAAAGGAGCGGCAGTCTTGTACACAACCACGCCAGCGGTAGCTGATCGCGATGTGATCAATCTGAGTCCAGGCTTGAGATGCAGAGGGAGGGCGCCAGGTGGCACATTGGCGATGACTGTGCCGGAAGTTAGTGCTAGCCAGAAATAGGTTGTGGTCTGTGCACAGTTGCAGTAGACGGTCCCCGTTATCTGACCTGCGACCAACGAGTCCCCATCGGCCACCTAAACGACTCTCTTCTGTGCCTAGACGCCCGACCTGACCATTCAAGTCTCCGGCTAGTACTACAATATCTGTCGAACGCACTTTCTGGAGAAGAACAGATAACTGGTGGTAAAACTCATCCTTGATTGCATCCGGGCTGCAATCTGTCGGGGCATAGGCGGAGATGACGAAAAGACATCGTTTCTCACGCCGATTTCTTCTCACTTTGATGGAACTTTCTAATCTAACAGCACATAACCGACTGTTAATGGGGATCCAATCGATTGGTGCTGCCTCAGCTCTAGCGCTTAGTGTGACACCGACGCCAGCAAGACCAGACGAAGATGCCACAGGGTCCTCGGGTAAACGCACGTGAAGCAAGCTTTTCGAAGCGACAGATGGAGAGCGAATTTGTAGTACTTCACCAGAGTCTTGAATACGGGTCTCGGATAGACAACAAACATCGATATTAAGAATTTCTAAAGACATAGCCAGCCCTATCTGTTGTCTGACCTGCATAAGTGTGCGAACGTTGAAGGCAGCCAGTTTGAATGGTGCACATGGTTTCAGAAAAACTGCTTCAATATTCTTATTAGGTGTTAACATACAATTTTCAGTCAGGCAGTGACTCGAGAACGTTAGATAGAGCCGAATTTCCATAGGCGAGCTGCTGTATAAGTCGAAAAATAAGGATAGACAGAGTGGGAATAAAAGAGAGTGAATAAATGACATAGTAAATAATAATAACAATAATAATAATAATAATAATAATAATAATAATAATAATAATGTGAACCATTTGATTGTTAATCGCAGCAAGAAGAGTACTTTCCATAATTATAGACAGTTCATCATAACTGTGTGTGGGCCGTGATACTACTCGGATGCCTAGACCAAAACAGGTGGTTGTCTTAGGGGGAAGGGCCACACCCCGAGCCTTTAACCTAAAGGTCTAACCCACAAAGCAGTGGAGCATCGTGAGGAAATGCAGTCCCATGGTAGCCGGTGACCAAAAATTGGTTCATACGCTACTTGTTCCCGCAGGATACTGGAGCCCATGTACACCATTGGATGTATTATTATGATGAGTTCATTAAGATTAATTTAATTTTTAGGTGGTATTTGGCGCAAATTGACAACAGTTTTGATACTGTTGTAAACTAGAGAGTACTAAATTTGTGTTTTGTTGTATTATGAAATTTATTGACAGTTCTCAGTCCTTACACTGTTAATAATTGAGCTCAGGACTTCAACGTCTTGTGCGCTGCCTTTAGACGATCACTGAGTAGAAATCCAGTATTTTTACTTACTATTATCATTTTTTCATTTTTTCGGATAACTCTAGTTTACTATAATTTTCTTTATTAATTAGATCTAAGCATAGATCCAAAAATGATAATGATTACACTAATGGTTATCAAAAAAGGGAAATTAATGGTTCATCTACTACTTTACAAGTACCCGGTATGTCATATAATCCATTTGAAAATGATGGTACTGTAAGTGAATTCAGTGGACCGATGGGTTTACCACCAATGTATCAATCACATTCAAATAGTCCATATGCTCAATCAGAATTTGGTGGATCACTTGCAGGCAGTATAAAATCATGTAAGAAATTGCTTATTGTTAGAAAATATTTTTTGTTTATAAATCAATGTATAAATGTATGGTAGTTTATTTGAAATATATCTTAATTAGTTAACAAATACTTCGTGTTATATGGTAAATATTTTTCTTCAGTTTATGAGGAGGATTTTACTTGTTCTTTGTTGTGCTCTTAGGGTTCAATAGTTTAATTATAAAGTTTGTAGACAACATTATCAGGATATACTTTAGGATTGGATAAATTAGATTTTTTCCACAGCTCATTTTGTGAATAAAAAATTCTTCTGGATTATCGTCAATAATTGTATTGTCACTGTCTGAAGGTAATCAACAAAAAGTCCCTAGACCTAGATTTTGTAGTAGATAGTACTCAGCACAACATGTTCTTCATAAGACTTCTGAGCATGTTTCACCCAGCGTTATATAAATACCTTTTCCTTACGATTTATTCAGGCTACAATAGAGCTTCTGTAGAACTAAGATACGTTTTTCCATTAAGTATTCACTGAACACACTAACCAGCGTTGTTTTATGTAATTTTCAGTATTAATCGAATACAATCGATCAGCTTTTTGATAATTACTCAATGACTTGAGTGTCAAGTTTCCAAAATACTCTCTTGTCTTTGTGTAGAGAGAACAGCTAACAAGTTTTTTTGGCAAATTTTTCATTTCGTGAATAATTATTTTATATACTCTTGATTTATACACCAATCTTAAGTTCGTTAAACTAATTATTGTTTTGTGTGTGTGTGTGTGTGTAAACTGAAATTTGGATATACATATCGTTATTTTGTTTCTGTGTAGTAGCCGAAGCAATATTCTATTTAATTTGTTTCATGTATTTAAAATAAAAAGTATGTTCATCAGTACGTTTTTTTCTCGCAGGCAAATGAAACGAATTTTAGACATTTCCTTTATCTGCGTTTTTTGCCACACCCTGTTTTAACATAAATTCAGTCTTTGTACTTTAATCTCACTTAATTAGTATGGCATATATATATAATTGAGATTATAAACCAACCGAAGTCAAAGAACCATTGAGAACCAGAAAGCACTGGAAAACTATTTCGTCATAGTATGGGACTTCTCAAGAGTTCGCATCTTTAACTCCATCGGGGGTCGTAACCGGGACTGCCATCTCACGTGGCGAATGCGTGACGTTTAGAACACTAACTTCGCATCCAGTCATTTGAGGGATATTACTCAACCGTATTTATGCATGTGTTCGTTCACAAATTGATTGTTTCTATTTTATTGTGTAAACGTACATTTCATCAGTAGTCTTCTGTTGGTTTTATAGTGATCTCACTATATGATGATTAGATAGTTTAAATTATTGGAAACTGCCACTTCATTAGTTGTCAGTATTTGTAATTCATTGATTACAAACATTGAGGTGAATATTTACTGTAACTAGTCAAGTGATTCACCTGGGAAGTTGTATAAGCCAGAGTTTCATCAACTAAATGCATCCGCTTACCTAAAAAGTTAAGAGCGATACATTATTTAGTGGTTAAAGTACATGAACGATTTCGTCATAGATTCTAATTTCGCCCCACTTTGGTTTGGGAAGCTGGTTAGTATCACTAGCTCTTGTATGAACATTGTAGCTGATACATGTACATTCAGTTGACGGGTCCCAAATAGGTCGAAATGTGATTCCAACCTTAGCGAAAAGGTGTGACTGAAAGCCGAGAAAGTAAACCTGTGCTCAGTAAATGAGTTTAGTTTTCAAGACTTAAGGATAGATTATTCTACCTTTCAAAAATTGTGTCATCATTAAATGAATAGGATGGATCTTTTTGAATATTTGACGTAGTCCGTAGCCAGTTATTTTTATTGCTGTGGATATAGTTTAAATAAAGGCGGTTGTTTGATCACTGAGTGTTGACCAATGTGTTATTTGCCTAGTGTTGATCGAGTTCCATCGACGAGGTTGGGCTACGGCCACTAGTCAAAGTGACTCGATATCGCGCGCACCACGTTGAGATGTAGGGTAGTTGGAGGTCGTTGATAGAAACCGCGGACGTAAGTCTCTTAATATTTGACACTCTTCAGTAGGGTTTACCTATATTCTTATGGGAACTGGTATTCCATGGAGAATTGGATCCCATGTCATCCAGTTTAACGAATGAAATTGTAAGTGTAAACTCATGGTAATTAAATGTAAAGCAATGTTTAAACGAATATACTATTGTGTCATATGGAAACTAAATTATGTTTTCAATGTCATTGACTTTCATTCTGAGCTGTGTTAGGAAACATTGGGAAGCATTACACAAAAATTGTTGACAGTAGCACCTCCATCTTTCTGTTAAAGTTGAACTGAATATCGTTTCGTATTCTTCACATTTCCTGATTTTATTCGTTTCTGTTAAACTGTAGTTTGTATTTAGCTAACCACTACCAGTGGGATTATTATTTTCATTCTATTTTCTACTTAGTTTCCTGTCATTGTGTTAATCTAGTGTCGAGAATTAAACGGATACAGTTAGTCAGTAACAACGTGGAAATTCGTACGTACGTACATCACTAAACGGAACAGTAAGGACTCGGAAAGATAGGGACACTCGTCGTTGCCTCTTCGTAGTCTCTGCCTACTCTCCTACTGACTGCAGCTCAGACGATGTAAAAGATGAGTTTTACAGAAAACTTTCCGACCTCTGAAAAGCTAGGCGCTCTGATGTAGTAATAGTGGTTGGTGACTTTAATGCTCAAGCAGGTTAAACTCTAAGAGGAAGGGAAAGACACCTGGGTGGATCTCGCGGCTCAAAGAACAGATAATGACAACCGTTTGTTGCAGATTTTATGCTGTTTATTTCTGTCTATATTATGTCTCATATTATTCTAATCAGTTCACTAATTAAGTGATAGAAGTGACTTTCGTTTTACTTAAATGAACACATAGATGAATTATGCTTTAAATTTTGTACGTAACTAGAGACCCATTCAGTAGTATTCAACTTCGCAATATGTTGTTATTGTTATTGTAATAAATATCGACTTTCAACTTCATTAACATAAATTCTATAAATTAGCATACATTTGTCTTATTAATCGAATATACACTAGTTTTATGCATAAAAAAAACGTTTTTTCCTTATTTAAATTGATCACGATAGTTGTTTTTTTAAAGCTTGTTTACGGCAATGTTTACTTACAAATTGTTTACATATAGTATGTATCCATTTTTAAGCATAATGTTTTCTTAATTATAAAAATTGTGTATTTCAATTCATGTCTTGTCCTTTTCTATTTATGTCTAGGATCTACTGTGATTTACTGTTATTTTGTGTGTGTATAACTTTCTATATTTGGTCCTGGTTATTTGATTGATTATGTAACAGTCAATTCTTTTTCTTTTATTATAGCACATAAATTATAGTAAGAGTAGGTCACCAAAACAATGCACCACACATATATTTAGTGATTACATTCATTTTACAACTTCTGTGTCATCTTTTCTCTTCATTATCTATAAATAAATAAATAAGATAGTTAATAATGTAGCCAAATGTAGACGTTCGGTGCTTGATTACGGCTAATATGGCATACGACTTTGGCCCTTGAACGTATAGAACCCTCAAGTCGCAAATATAATGAAATCACGCCAGGTCGATATTTTAAAAAATCCTGTCGGGCTGTGACTGAGAGGAATTTCTTCGGATTCTTTATAACCTTTGAATCTTTAATCACTCTTTTTAGGAGCCATCCCAACACCAAGAAAGTTTGCTTTTATTTAAAGATGATAACTTGTTGTTTATGAAGAATGTAATTAGAAATTACAGCAGGATCGTCAGTGGATAGTTGGACAATTTGTATGACCTCAATCTGGGTGTCGTGGTGAACTGAATGACTTTCCAATAAACTGATCAGCTGAATGTACCTATATCCCAGTGTTGATTTCGTACCGGGAATCGAATTATTGGATGCTGGTCCAGTGGATTAGAGGATTGGGCTCAATATCAGAAGTTCATAGTTCCGTCCCATAATAAGGTGCGATAGCTGTTCAGAGGAGTTCCTGGTTTTAAGTGGTGGTCTAGCTAATATCAGTTCGTGAATTAAACTAAAGAAATGGATGCGCGTTAGTCGCTTATTATCTATCTATTTGACCGTCGATAGTATTGAAACGATGTTTATTTGAAGGGATGTTTAGTGTGCTATTGTTACTGTGAGCAAAAAATCAATGCGTAACATTAGTTTGTTATTCTTCAGGAGGTTTATTTGTTTGCACGTGGTGATTTCAAATTAGTATGTAAGATAGTAAAGATTAGTTTCATTCTAAATCATGAACTTCCATAGACTAACAACAATTTATTCTTTCAAACCTACTATGTATAAACGTTTTTTGTTTAATGAATTCACTAAAAAAGTTAGATTGGTACTTTCTGATTTGTGAATCAGATAATCATTATTATAATTAGAGGTTATAATTATAAAGTATGTTAAAATTCGTTAAAAGTTTTGTATTCCATACATTTTTAACTAATCACTTTAGAAAAGGGTTTCTAGAACATTATCATACCACACCTCTGATTTAAATTACACTACTTGTATTACCGATTATGTGATAAATCCCTCCCTCCAAATATTAGTTCGGTGATAAAGTTGGAAATTTAGAACTCAGTACTGTGATATATGTATACATGGACCTATTTTTATATCTGGTAGTTTTGTTTTTGATATCTGTTCTTTTGGAACAGGGAAGGTTGAGTCATTATTCCGCTCTGATGAATCGTTACCACTCGGTGACATCGTATTATCATGTCCATGTATCAATCAGAATTCTATTGAAATCTTAACCCATAGTATTCATATTAACTGTCTGAATAATATTTTATTTTTTCATAATCAGATAAATGTGATAGTTATTACTTTTTGACTTGAATGACAGTTTTCAGTACTTAGACTTAATGTAATAAAAAATTTTCTACCTGATTTATTCACAGATTCTGTCTTTCATTTCATTTAACACGTTAAAATGTAAAGTTAATGAATTTTCTTCTTCCTGATGAATATAGATGGTGGCTAGCGGATAAGTTAAGAATGTCCTTTTTGTTCTCTTTTCTTAACGATTTTTCGGTTTCATTGTGTAGCTGATATGTCCCGACTGGGACGAAGTGCACTTTTGAATTTCCACTGTTAGTTACAATCCATCTTTAATAAAAATTAATGGTTAAGTAGCTATGTGAAGGTAATTCAGTCAGGATGCTTATATGTCATTTGGAGTCCTTGATGTCAGCAATAGGAATATACATTTCTTTAAAAATGGATCCTTTCTGTTTGAATATATTAAAAGTAGAGATATTTAGAGTAAACTGTAGTCAAATATAGATGATTACTTTCAACTTAACTTACTGTTATGTCCCGACAAGAAGAATGAATGGTAACTTTTAGGATCCATTTATGGACCAATACTAAACGTATATTTCTATTGTATAATTATTAAGTAACTAAACTATGCATATGCATATTCCTCTTATTATAAGCTTTATTTTGACCCATAAACTATTACTATACGTTTTACCATTCTTGAGTTATACCCAGTATATTAATTACTACTTCCCTCATTCACAGCCACATCTGGTTAATTCTTGTACAAATGTTGTTTCATATTTTATTGGTACGTTGTGGTCTGTTTGATTGGTATATAAACTCAGTATGTTTGAAATATAATGATTCATATCGCAGTAGCTTGGATTGGTGTTCTGAACTTAACTGGCTGGGCTAGGTGAAGAACAGGACCAATCAAGACTCTAGGCTGCTCGCATGTGTTTTTCGCGTCACTGATCCGATCGATAAGTCACTGCTCTCTAATCGACGGTCACAAGATATAATACTTACTATTTGTCTTTTTCAGATATTATAGTCGATCACTTGAGTGAATAATTTTGTTAAAAACGTAACAACATTCAATCGACATAGAATGTATGCGCTTATTTCAGAGTTAATTTGTTATACTGCATTCAATATTACCTTTCATTTCATGGTACTATTTTAGAAAAAAGCAGTTTTCTTTACGAGCTGAAGTTGAAAAACAACCTAGTGCTGAATAGCTGTTTTCTTTTTCATTCAGACCTCTTCTCTATTACTTAACCATTACACCTCGTGGTGATTCGACACCAGGATTTTCAAACATCGTGGCAATACATAGTACTATAAAATTAATAAAAGGAAATGCAGACTACTTGGTTGGGGTCCGCGTGACTTTCGTAACCAATGGTTGGAGACTCTGTGTGACATGGCTCAGAATCGATCACAATGGCGTCGGTGTATACACTCCCTATCTTCCCTTAAACTAAGAGATTAAAATCACTTCATATCTTTCTTTCTACGAACTAATTCTTTCTTCCTATACTATATCCTTATTGCAACCTTTGACCTAACCACTCCTATGAATCCGCTGTTCATCTTGCTGTGCTAATGAGGTATGGCAACCTGGACCGATGCACATATGTGCCTGGTCCTACGTTGTAGCTGACTGACTGAATAAAAGGAAATTAAATTTTGCACATCTGTTTTCAGCCGGTTTACAATCCTCATTTATTATTATTACTATTATAAGGCCCCAAAATGCCCTGATTACGGCCCAGGGTGAGTGTCAGCTGTCCCTCTTGAAATGCTCTCACAAGGCTACGCGTATACAGCCACTGTCACGGAAGTTCTACTCACTGCCTTCTCATAATGGAGCTGTTGTTCACGAAATTGCTCCATTACCTTGTGGATTAAGCCTCTAGTTTAAAGGCTCTACGAGTGTCCCCTTAAGGAAACTACGTACTTTGGTTTGGGCCCCTGGACCGTATTCTACCCCCCCACACATATCGAATGATTTGTGTGGCGCATATATATTTGATGCTTCCCTGTACCAGTGTTTATGTGTTCTCTCTTTTCTCTTTTCTCAAACAATTATTTCGCAGATCATGTGTAATATGATCGGTATTTTAGTAAATATCAGTTTGTTTAAGATTAATCAATTCTTATTTTTACTATTTTTTGTTAGTTTATTGAGTCTGGGCTCGATTGATTTATTCTTTCATAACCATGATGTCTTAATGCTCTTTTTTGAGCTTATCGTTCAAATATTCGGTTCATATATCAATCACGAGGAATATAGCGTTTATCGAGTTACACAATCTAATCAATGGTTCGTCTAAATACATCATATTTCTATACATTTTCTCATTTGTATTGAGTTCACTGAGAGATATTCATTTACTATTTCCTTCATTTTCTAATGTAAGAATGTCTATAAATGTTTTTTCTTCTGTAATAGCTAAACAAAAAAATATGTTGAAGAAATTTAAATCGAAACTTTCTCATAGTACACTTAATTTGGCTGAAGCAGCAGCTAAAAAAGCTGCTGGGAAAGATCCTTACTTTCAAAGTCTTGAAAAAGGGTAAGTAGATTGATGGTTTCATTCGCATACTTCATTTTTTAATATTGGTAAAGTGTTTCAATGTTGTTTATTAAAGTTTTTCACACAAATGTGAATAATCATTATAAGAGAATTATAGTAAATAGTTTTAATTCGTGTTAATCATTTCTTATCAAGCGATAATTTAGTATTTAAATTACTCTTGACTTTCTGTTCTAACTTGATTTTGACTATCCAATTCGAAAATGTCAACACAGAGGGATTTAAGGGTAATGCAAAGATGACACCAGAAAGTCAATTCGTTCAGATACTCTTTAGCACTATGCCCCTTTTCCCCTAATACTGTTAACACAATCCTCAACTATATTGCTAAGATCAGAGGAAGATAGACGTGGGATACAGCTGCGAAGAATATCTGTATATCAAGTCGAAATACCACTGTTTTATACACAGATTCACTTTACAGTAATCATTAATTAAATAGTTGAATTCATAAGTCAATTAAAGCTAGACCACCATGGAAAACCTAGAAGTTCTGGACGACCGATTCGTCCTAGTATGGGACACCTTAGCAGTGCTCATCCATTAACCCGCTCGCGGGATTCGAACTCAGGACCTATCAGCTTCGCACGCGAACGCCTAGCCTCTAGATCACTGAGCCGGTATCCAACGGTGTTAATGTCTAACTTCAACCAATCCTTATATATATATATATATATATATATATATATATATATATATATATATATATATATAGTATTTGATCTGCACTAAGAAGGACTTGACACACATGACATTGATCACCACCCAGTGATCAATCGATTGTGATATATATATTAGATTTTACTGCTACAAATCTTAATGATTGGCACTGGAAATCATTCTTACTGATATTGAGAAACAAAGGTGTTAAGATAGAGGATACCAAAGGCTCTATCATTTTGTGGAGGTTTGATTTTGAATTAGCTAGTCACTAGCTTTATTGTGTGATATTTTACTATGGATGGTACTTAGGAGTAGATTTCAGGACGCCTATTGAACACTTTTTGAATATGTCATCTGAATACTCTTGTTTCCAAGTGAGATTTGAATCTCAAACCTTATTGCTTCTAGCTATTAAGGGTTATTATGCATTAGGTCACAGATTTGGTAAAACCACCATTGTTTAAACGGTTGTGATAATGAATAATAATTTCATGGCGTTAGGAATGGTTTGTATTTTTCCATTGTTGATATTCAGGATTACAATTGACCTGTCTCGGTATATGTGCCATTTAAGCATCCTGAGCGGATTACTTCTAAAGAATACCATATCACAAGTTTTGGTTTACTTTTTTATATATCTATCGGTGAAATCCAAGACGCACATTTCGTCTTATTTATGATTCTTCAGGTAGATATGCCTGCATCATCCTAGTGTTGATGTTCACACTGAGACTCAAATTCATTACCTTTCATTTCCAACTTCCAACATAATATCCGTTGAATATCATTTACTGTAAATCATAAAATCATATAATTATTTTCATACCAGTTGAATACGTTTCTAACTATCTAGACTCAGTAGCTCATCGGATAACGTGTTGAGAATTTGTAGCAAAGCTTACTGGATTTAGGTCCCATTTTGACCATCTATACTGAGATGCAGATGAATTCAGCTGACGAGTCACAAATTGCACTGTTAACTACATACCAACTGTATTAGATTTTTGTGGCTTTTCAAATGACGCATAGTAATAATTTCTGTATACAAATATTAATGCTTGCTAGAGTTCAAATATTTCCGTTACTATTAGCCCTATAACTAATATCAAATGTTATTTACCCAACTTACTATCAAAATACTTTCATATAAAACCTAGTGATAAAATCTATTTGGAAATAAATGCTTTTTATCCAAATAACCGATCCTGATTTCAGTTTTGTGCAATTGTGCACAATATATTTCTATTGTAAAATAAATCATTTATCGTTGTATATTCCCACTATTGTATACTTCATTTATTTTTAATCTCATTTATATTGTATTTATTCTTGTATTAGCCTCTAATTTAACCTCTACTATGAAAACAAAATAAGCGTATTAAATTTTTTTTGTTTGTTTGTCCCTTTTTTTTTAATCATCAATTAATCTACATCTTTTGTGTTTTATTTACTCTTATAGATCAAAATCAAATTTAAGAGGGTAAGTTGTACATAGCTCTAACTGGTGTGTATTTTTCTCTCTTTCTGTATGTGTGTGTAGTTGTTTGTTTTAATAATCAATTATTTTTTTAAAAATTAGATATTTATGTTTAACAGTTACAAAAAGTTACTGAAAATAGCAACCTTTAAAAATGTTTTTGTTGCTTAAATTATTCATACTACATAAAATATTCATAAGCAAAGGTGGATGATGGCTAACAGTGAAATCCAGGACAAGCGTTTCGTTCTGTTTAGGAATCGACAGCTGAATGTACCTGCAATATCGAGGGAATCCGCACAGGATGCACATATTCTAATAAGTGACTGATCAATTACATTTTTAAACATCAATGAGAAGATTCAAACAAGCTATACAAAATGAATTTACATAAGATATTGTTTCTAAAGTATCTATACTGCAATTTAATCGCTTCAACTTCAATGTTCTTTCTTCTGATACACTTCCTGAAGATTGATAAATAGTTAGTTATGGGAAAAGTTGATGGTTTCTATGCCCGTTAAAATAAATTTGGCTAGTTCTTTGACAGATTTCAAATATCATTTCATAACTCAATTCATAGTAAAGTTGAACGATTCTTCTCTAACCCTGTTGGTACTTTATGTGCAATACAAGATTAAAATTGCTTCAAAAGTTCAAGAGAGAAGTGTTTAAACATTCGAAGTATTACTTGAAAGCTTATCAGCCAAGTGATATACAAATCAGTATGGTACTTTAATTAAAAATGAAATGTTATCAATCGAGGTAGTTTTTACAGTCTTATAAAAGTATTTTGTTATTACTATAAGTATAAATTTGAAATTTATTTCAGTGAACATAGTTTTCCGTTGTGGAATTGTTGTGTTTGAAGAGATTATCAGGTCATTAAAAATCGGCAAACTGAATGAAGAATGTGTTTCAGCCCCGCTAATTAGAGGGAGAAGTCCATATTCAGATGAGGGAAAGTATATTACACAAGCAACCGGAAGCACGAATAACAAGCACACAACTCAAGCGTATATATATACAGCAGGCTGTATATACAAGGCTGTTGCTGATGGTATCCGGCCAACGGACACTGAGTATCTTGCATAGACAGTTGTCCTATGGAAAACAACGTTGCAAAAGAATGCTAACTAGAATAAACAATTTAAACGCTAAACGTGATACAAATACACATAAGATATGGGTATAATTTGGTACCAAAATATGGGCACCATATTAAGAAAGATATGACATTGTTGAAGATGGAAGGAAGGATACGAAATTCAGTCGGGGAAAAGTCTAGATAAAAATATAACCAAAAGTGACTTTTTCAATCAAAAACGTTATTCTCACTTCTATGATGAATACGAAGAAAAAGTACAGTCGAATCACCAATCGCTTACATTCTAAGACATTTATGATAACTTCTAGAAGCACTGAGTTACACAATCTGTACAATTCCAACCAAGGAGTCATGGTTTACTGATGGATCCTAGTCCCCTGTTACTTACATACTACAGCGTCATGTCACAAATCATCAGTTACGTGGTCCCATAGGGGAGGCATTTGATTACTGCATCACAAGATAGGAAGCTCAAATATAACACCCTATCTCATCCAATTTGAACTGTCGATTAGTAAGCATTAAACTGATTAATGATCTGTATAAATTACTTGATTATTTATATGAACTGTAGTATTAGTACTCTGTATACGTGATTATACACAAAAATATGTCAGGAATTATTTTTCATCTAAATTACAAAATAACTGAATGTTTATGTGAATATTTTTCAATATTTAAGATTTCGTTTTGTTTATCTTATTTTGGTAGACATTGACTTGGATGACCCATAAAGTGTTACAATTATAAAATTGTTTTAATTCTAATTTACATAATCTTATTTATTTATTTATCCTATTTGAATGCCTTTTTTAAAATCATTAATAAACGCTATAATTATTCGTTGATATTCAATAAATGTTTTGTACATTTTTCAAATGATATTATTATCATTATTATTATTCTAGAAGTCAATCATCTATTGGCGGGACATCTTATCGAGGTCAGTTTTAGTGTTGTTTTTATAATGGTTAATGATAATGAATTATCAATATAGGGTTGTGGAGATTATGAAGTTATTGATTGGGATCATGAACCGATTAATGTTACCATGTGCTCACTAGTGATTGGCTTCGTGAAGGGATTCTCGGAGTTCTAGTAAGAAGCCGTGACCAGTGAAGCTAATCCGTATCGGGTAGAGACAGATATCTACCTTAGTACAATGGAAGATGGTCGCGCAATTTCGCGGATTGATCGAGGTTAGACATTAACACAGTTAGATAACAGCTCAGTGTTCCAGTAGGTTAAGCGTTCGTGCGTGAGACTGAAGGTCCTGGGTTCGAACTTGCGAGTGGGATCGTGGATGCGAACTGCTGAGGAGTCCAACATTAGGACGAAGCGGCCGTCTAGTGCTTCCAGGTTCTCAATGGTGGTCTAACATCAATCGGTTCATGATCTCAGTCGATAATGAAATAATACATTTAAATTTTTCGAAAATTATACATCACTATGAATAGTTGATTTAATGGTGATACTGGTAATCACGCTCAGAAGAGTCTAATGTTAACAATGATTACATGTATTACTAAGGAGATAAATATTAGTAATAATTATGTAAGAACAAAATTAGATGATTTTGTAAGTAATACAAATGAGACAACAATGTCGAGCGTTCATAATCGGGCTGTAGCATTAAGGTGTTGATGATCAAGAAGGGGGGAGTGAGAGAAAGCAGCTTCATAAACTCCTTGTACACATAGAAATTTGTATTGGTCAGATAGGGATGCAGATAGCTTCATCCGTTAGTAATAGATATGCATATATACACTATTCGATAAATTCGATTGAAGACCACAGTTAAATTGAGGGGCTTTATTCATGGCAATTCGGTAAGCTGCTTGAATAATGTCAATACTGACAGAACTTAATGAAGAACCAATTAGGAAAAAATATTTCTTCGTTCTATTCATCTTTCTTCTAAAAAAGAAAGGCAATTCAAAGTGCAATGTCCAACAAATCTTTAATCCTATGTCATTATTATGTAACAATTTATAGGTCATTTTATTATTATTCCAACTGATGATCAAAATTTTCATAAATTTAAACTTATCCCCACAGATTCATTATATACGCGTTCTAGCGTTGTGAGCAGTAATAATACCAACACCAATTACCGATACAACACTAACAGCCGTTTGGTTCCATCGGCTATCATCCCATCTAAATCCATAGAATCCCCGGCTCATAAATTGTGTAAAGCAATAATTTATTATATTGATATAACTTCAGTATCCTGCCATTCTATGCTATTTCTATCAGTTGCTCTACTCACATTGATTGCTCTGAATAATCTGTTGATTTATGCACTTTCAAAATAATACAAATTGTATAGCTCTAGTTAGTTTCTGATAATTGCTGCAAAATCATTTTATGCTTTAGTCTATAGTTTATACCGAAATACGATTAGTAATGTTTTTTTAACCATTATTATTACAACGGGTGTATTTGGGCTGGTTTTTGGAAACATTTGTTGACACTTTTAGTATCTCTTCAGTATATATGTTGTTTTTCCAGAGGCTACATAAACTTTTTCGATAGAATCATATTTATATATATCGAGTAGGCTGATGAGTTTGTCGTTACTTTTGTTCACTCTTTTTTTGGTCTGCTATAGCAACACTGAAAATAGTGCTTAAATAAAACAGAAATTTAGGAGAGATATCACTGATGAATAAGTTATTTCGTTAGCAAAAGTTTTGCAAATGGTATAAAACATTGTCATTGATCTGGATCTGCCTTAGGGTTGTGATCACATAAAACGTATTTACTCCTATAGCATCTACTACCCATGGTTTTTTTTCTGAAGTAAGAATTCAACTATGTTATTGGTTGACTTTTTAAAAACTTTGTATATCTGAGAAAAATGCCTAATAAATGTTTAGTCTTTCTTAATACTGTTTACTCCACCTTCTATGTTCATTAGGTCGCTAGCTCACGAAGCCAAGTGATATTCATCATAAATCTTCTTTGGTTTCTTTCATATTCACCTGATCCATGACCACATCTTTACTCTCATCCTTTCTAATTTTGGTCCTTTCATGTAACAATGTTGTCTTGTTAATCGATAGTGTTGAACAAATACTGTATATTCTTAATACGTGAACTGGAAATCTTATACTTTATAGTATTCTGTTTCATACCCACCAATGTAGGTCGACATTTAAATAATTCCCTCCATTGTTTAATTTCAGTAACCATTTTCACTTTTTTTAGATTGATTAATTTCCGAAGGTTTCAATTATCCCGTTGTTGATATTCTTGACTAAATTTTGGTTAGTCGTAGTTGTAATACGTACATCCTGTGTGAATTGCCTCGATATAACAATTTTGTCACAAGTTTACTGGGTTCGAGTACCAGTGTTAACATCAATACTGGAATGTAGGTACTTTTAGCTGACGGGTTCCAGACAGGATGAAACGTGCGTCCTGGTTTCCACTACTGACCAAAATACCCTGTTCTGAGAATTCTATATATTGTACCAAAATATAATATTTGAATAAAGTCAATAATAGTAATATATCTCTTCCATAAAAACTGATTGTTACACTTGGCTGGGGCCATAGACTCAGAATTTGTTTTGATTGTTATTCATCAGCAGGTAACGTATGCAATCTTGAAGTATCTGGTGATCCTTCACATATTTTTTTTGCACGTTACTCAGTAATGAATTCAGGAATGCTGTTACTGAGCTACTTAGATTGGAACTAACTTGTGAGTGTGAGGTGCTTAGAATGATAAGTCACTAAATAGCAACTAACGCCATGTAGTACAGCCCCTAGCTATTGATCAGATCGTATCAGTCGGCTAAATAATATCAATTAAGTTGCAATAAGGTTTTGATTCTTCTAATTTAGCGGCTACATTACAAGTAGACTGATGAGATTCATTCAACATTCTAGATTAAGATGTATTTATATTTTTATTTGAACACATAAATATTGGTACAAAGAGGCACCGAATACATATGCGCCACACAAGTCACTTGGTTTGGGTTTGGTCTGTGATCCTGCTTGGGTGCCCAGATCGAAGCAGGTGGTTTCCTTAGGGAGCCGCACCCGGAGCCTTTGGTCTGAAGGTCTGATCCACAAGGCAGTGGAGCAACGTCAGGAGACGCAGTCTCATGGCAGCCGGTGATCAATAGTTGGTTCATTTGCCATTTATTCCTTCAGGATTCTTGAGACCACGTACACTATTGGCTTGGAATCAGGGTTTTCCGAATCCCCTAAGGGGACCATCCGTGTCCACCAAACCGGTTGAAGCGCTGGAGATTCGCTTTTCGTCCTCTCAATTTCGTAATCAGCACCCCTGCCGCGAGAAGCTAGTGAGTAAGACTTTCGTGGTAGTTGCTGTTTACGCGTGGCCATGTGAGAGCACTTTGAGAGGAAGAGCTGACTCTCCTCACTCTCATCCCTACTAGGGCATTCGTGGGCTAGATTAAATAAGATGACATTAGTCGCTACTCAATGATTGATTAACATGATTGCTCATTGATGTGCTGTAAGTAATAGTTCTCAATGTTCAACTCGATTTACTCATAATTTAAAATATAATAGCATATACTGGCACTGAATATAAAATTTTAAAATAGTACGTTTTTATGCTTAATACTAATAAATCCGACAGTAAATGATTGCCAAGTAACTTCATTTGTTTAATTATATGCGATTGTTCTTGAAGAATGTTCTAACTATCCTGATGTTAAATTGTAGATTATTATTATTATCATCAGCTTTATTCAATATTATATTTTTGGTACAATATAGAATTCTCAGTGCAAAGTATTTCAACAAGTTTCCGTTTCTTTCTTCTTGGTCGGTCCTGGCGATAAATATTGAGTGATCGCCACTTAGATGTTAGCAGTTCACTAAATGAACATCTGAATAATGTGCATTCTTTTCGTTGTTTATTGCCAGCAACCACATTGTCTCTTATTGAGTTTTTTGTAACTTTGACAACGAAAGGTTGTACAATCTTCAGAAACGCAGCAGAATAGGTTATGCGATTAATAAACATAATGATATATTAAAACAAACAAAAATAGATAACTTGTTGAAATATCTAGATGGCAGGAATAGGTAGCCCAGATGTTCAAGCAGATGGTTTTCTTAGGGGGCCGCACCCGGAGCCTTTGATCTGAAGGCACCCAAGCGGATACTACTTATAACCAATAAAATGAAATTAAAGATTATTCGTATTCATTAGTGCTATTTATTAGATATCGGTTATCAGTCAGGTAAGTTTCAGATATCGGTTATTGTCTTGTCTTTCATTGATACTCACTTAATTATGCTAGTTAATTATAAAACAATTGTCTTTTTTTTGTTAACATGTACAACTAACTAGAATAATAGGAAATATAGAACAGTAGTTCAACAATTCTGTTCAATACAGTCAATTTCTTCTTTGAATTAGTTTGTGTCTTTAGTAGAATAAGCATTTAGAGTTATTCCATACTTTTCAAAGAACTTGATTATTTAATTATTACTCTATCCAAAATATTACTGTTCATAGTGATGTAGTCACTTCTATACACAAAATCATCTTATCATCTGATCAATTTTCTTATCCTTCTAATAAAATTAACGGATTAGTGGTGAATATAATTCCTTGTCTTTATTGTTTTTTCAAGTTATTGGGACTATTGGAATGTAACATGTCAATCTTAGTGTAAATGGTAAATATTGTTAGCTACTGTAGATTCGGCGTTTTTGTTTTGAAACTTCCCAGACAGGCAATTTTAAATACTGTATTTACTTATTTATTTATTTTTATTTAAACACAAAATTGGTACAAAGAGGCACCAAATACATATACTCCACACAATAACAATGAGACTAGTGGTAGTCATCATTGATTTGTGTGAGGGCTGTGATACTGCCCGGGTGCCCAAACAAAAGCAGGTGGTTTTCTTAGGTGGGCACTCCCCAAGCCTTTAACCTAGAGGTCTAATCCACAAGACAGTGAAGCAACATTAAGAGATTCAGTTCCATGGTAACCTGTAACCAACGATTGGTTCATACGCGATTTGTTTCCTCAGGATCCTGAAGCACATGTGCACCATTCGTTTGGAATCAGGGATTCCCAAATGCCCTAGATGGATTCTCAATATCCACCAACCCGATTAAAGCTCTGGACATTCGCTTTTCGTCCTCTCAATTCCATAAACTACAGCCCCACCATGAGAAGACAGTGAGTGGAACTTCCGTGGTTGTGGCTATATACCCATGGCCTTGTGAGGACATTTCGGGAGGGAGAGCTGACTCTCCCACCCTCAGCTGTACCAGGGCATCTATATATGAGGGAATGTTTCAAGTCCTGGTGTTGTTATTATTTTTCCCCAGTAAACTGCACAATTATTTAATTCGAATAATTGATTTGTTTTCTTAATCTCTGCTGCGTTTTAGCTTACATTTTGTAAAATTATGTCTCAGGCTTTAGAGCTCGTCGGCACTTCTTCTATAGTCTTTGCTCAAATATGCCGCCGCTATTGCTTGGATGTATGCATATTTAGTCAGCTGCACAGTATTTTCCTAATCATTAGTTTATTCACCTGCTTGTCTCATTGTTAATCATTCCGTTTTTGTGCTCTGTGTTTAGCTTTTCTTTCTTACATATTCAACAATCGGTTCGTAAGAGAAGCAGAAAAAGTTAGTGAACAAATGATACATCAGGATTACTGATATTCTAATCTTCATTTTATCATCGTGTCATGATATTTTTCATAAAATTGATAAGTTTTTCAATTCTTTGTTCTATTTTTGATTGTTGGCACCTACGTAAATGTAGATGTGCTTCATAGGGATTTTTCAATGTTTTACGTGTCTATATCTGTGTATGAAGTATTATATTAAACTGGTTATTATGAAATCCTTCATTGGTTTCATATAGATCATTTCATCGTAGAATGTCAGCTCCACTTACTGTCTATTGGGAATGACCATTACTGGTGAGATCATTATGAAGATAGTGAACGCATAGCAAATTGTATCAATTTGAGCCGTCTTTATCTCTGTTGCGATTTTAATCTAGTTGTAAAATTTAGAGTTTACAATGCGTCGGAAGAGGAGTTTTATTCTATGGTTGAGAAACCTGGCTCATCCGAGGTTAGGATATATAACAACTCCATGTTTATTCATTGTTCCTTTCGAAGGATTTTTGACATCTGCTAACTACACCATGTTAGTACTCCCGACGTTCGACAAGAGGTATTCCGATGCAGAGAAATTTATTCAAGTAATGTCACTTTCCCGAAGTACCGACTTTGATGCCTTAATCATATGTTGCGAATGCTCTTTCAGCGTCTTCCATATTGTGGATTATTCGGCGACACTGGGACTGAGTGGGAAAAGTGTTGAGGTGTTCGGTTAATGATATGAGTTTGTGATATGAAAGAAATTAAAATGGGACTAGGATCCGTCCGTAAACCCTGACTCCTTGGTTAGGGTCGTACAGATTGTGTAACTCAATGTTTTCAGAAGCTATCATAAGTGTCTTAGAGTGCAAGTAACTAATGATCCAAATGTACTTTTTCTCTGTATTCATCACAAAACTGAGAATAACGTTTTTGATTGAGAGAAGTCCTTTTTTGTTGTACTTTCGTTCTAACTTTATTTCTCATTGTGTACCATTTCTATTCATTTGTTTATTGTATGTACTCTCATTCCCTACTCTGTTTTCTTTGCAGTGTTATCACTTCTTTTCTGCGGCACATTTTGTGTTGATTTATTATATCAAGCTTTGTATGCTTAAATAAATAAGGGATAGTAAACAATTTGTGAATAGCTTCATGTACTAATGCATAGTTATCAGGTGATGGATTTTTAGGGGATGCCAACTAGTCACTTTTTAGTAACTAGTATTGTATTGTCATGGACTTAATTCTAGTTCTTGCAATGTAACTACTAAACTAGTCGTTTCAGCATCTCTGTAAACTCTGTTTAACGTAGTTGTAACTGACTGGAATCTTGTGATCTACCTAAGTTTCATTATATTTGATATTCATCTTCATTCTTGGGTGAACGGCTATTTTTCATGTTATTCAAACGTTTATCACGCAGTATCGTGAACAAATATATTAGTACTGGATTATCTGTTAATTGCATCTGGTCACGTGTTTTACATGAGTTAATTGAATGCAATAAAATGTCCAAATTGCTAATTTTGAGCTTTGATTTACAGATTCCTGTGGAAATGGTATACCGATAGATAAGGGTTAAAACGTTTACCCTCTTGTGATTGGGATATGTATTATGTATGGTTAGCTATCATCTACCTCATCTCACAATGCTTTCAGGCATAAAAACAGTGTTTAAGGAAGCTGAATACAGAAATATTATGACAAGACATCACTCAGTGAAACTATCGATTTTTGTTTTGAGAAGTATTGATTGATGAGAACTTCCTAATTGAAACACTTGAGATAATCGTAGCTTGTACGTTGAGTGACATAGCTTAAAATTAACTGAGGTGGGGGCACAGTTACATTTATTTCTCATCTTTCTCTGAAAACTAAACTTGGTATCATTACCTATTCTTCGTTTTCAATCTCATCCATTCATTTTATCGGCTATGTTTTTGATCTTTAGTTTATTTTGACTGTTTTTCATCTTGCCTTTTGATTCTGTGTTGTTTGCAACTGGCTGACTTTTTATTAGTTAGATGTTTTCATCATGTCTAGGTTGTTTACCGTTTAATGAAGTCTGTTCCGCATGAGTGTTGAATATCGAAGTCGTTTTCTCTTTTTTGCGGCGATTTTTTAAATGTATGATCGTGTACGACGAGAGAGATACGTATGCAAGGTTACTTGTCAGTAGAATCAATAACTAGCAATACAGATTGAACAGTAATAAATAAGTTATTCAATTAACTTTCATTGTTGGTTTCTATTTCAGCCTCAACTTCTCAATTAGATATTTCTACTCGTCTAGTCAGCGATAATGGTGGTGGTTACCCATCACAAAGTTTGTATCCTCGTCAAGATTCAGGTAAATCAAGGATATCAGCCAGTTCATATTTAGATGAGCAAGGTGAGCATTGGGTTTTCTAGTGCACATATTATTTTTGCTAATTATTGTTTATGTATACAATACTGGTTTAAATTCCATAATGGGTAACATCAGTTCCTTCAATATTGAAGAAGACCTTTGATGACTAGTTGGAACTAGCATGAAACATATGTCAACCCTTTGACATCAGCTCACAAAACGTTTTTACACCAAATATTTTCCTCATAATAACATCAGTCACTAATTTTGTTTATTTACTATCCGTACACATGAATTTTTTTAGCATTTGGTGGATTTACAAAAGACTTTTACCGAACTAATTGAGCTGTAGAGATTGTTAAGTTTTAATTGTGATCATGAACCGATCAATGTTAGACCAGTACTAATAACCTGGAAGCATTGGAGTTCTAGGAACTTACATTTTCTTGCTCCTGAATGCCTGCCGACGTGGCCAAGCACTGGTTTAGTCAAGATAGTAAACGCCTCAGCACTAGTTATGTAGTGCAAATCGGTCATATTACCAGATTAAGTAAATCATTTTCAATAATTTATCGGGTTAGTAATTTTATCCTAAAGGCGGTTTCAGCTCAAATTATTCTAAATGATAGAATCGGTTGCCATTCGGATTAAAAACTGGAGTTATGCTTGTGGAAGTAGTAAGTTGAACACCTTTCCTTAGTTTTGGCTAACCCCAAGGTAATAAATGAAGAGTAATATTAACTATAAAATGACTAAAACTGACTGAAGTATATACAACCTTTCTTATTCAAATTTTATTGTCTTAGTTATTTCTATTCACACGTCTTTATATTATTATTATTATTATTATCATTATTACTATTACTATTATTATTATTATTAATTATTATTATTTATTATTATTATTATTATTATTATTATTATTATTATTATTATTATTATTATTATTATTATTATTATTATTATTATTATAACTTCAACACCACTATTTGTCTTCCGTAAAAATGGGTAAATTAATTAGCACTTAACCCACTTTATTATTTTTTGTTACCTTGTTCATATAACGTTATACCTAATATAATCTTCCACTAAACATTTGATCGAATTTGTAATTGGATTATTATTTCTCTCACCCTATCTGATCCATACCTAATCTAATCATTACTATCACGATTTCATTTAACATATCAACCAGTTAACATTGTTTATTATTCAGTAGTTATTCTTCAACATTAACACTTTTATTGAAATTGCGAACTGATCTAAGTTAGACAACAATTAAAAGCTTAGAAACATTCGGTAGCGGTTCATTATTGTGTGGAACTTCTTAATAGTGCATATCCATGACCCTGCAGCCGGGCATTGAACCCAAAACCTTCAGTCTTGTGTACGAACACTTGACCTTTAGACGATCGAACCGGAGTTCACAGTGTACATGTTTAACTTCAACCAATCCATGATGCTGCGTGACCATCATCCATTGTCTTTGATGGTCGGCTCATGTAAATTGATTCGCAGTTTGAATAAAACTCAACAATTTGCACAACTGCTTACTTGAAAGTTAACAATTTTATTTTAAGAGCAATCCCGAATTCACATTCAACGATCTATTTTGTCTTAAACTTAACCACTTTTTGGATTATTAATTTGGATACATAATTGTAGAAATTGGCATATATGTGTGTCAGTTAGGGTTTCCACATCATATCAACTCTATGAGATACCACAACATTATACATAATAACATTATTAGTACTAGTAGAAAATATTAGGCGAAGAAGATATGATTAAAGAAGGAAATATGGATTTGTGGGGTGAAGAAGGTTTGCTTTTAGGAAGTAGTTAAGAAACTTGAGATCAAGGGGGTGAGAAAAAGTCCATGCTTCTCACCATTTCAATGGATTCTAAACCGTATCATCCAAAGTCACTAACGATTAGTGATGATATTCACACGACCCGAACCAAGTAGTCTGAACTTCTCTCCATGGTTCAGTTTAACAAGCAATAACTCCATAAACTGATATCAGATTTTCATGTTATATAATCGCTTAAATATTTGTAGTTAAAAAAATACTAAGCATCACCAAACAATGTTTTTATATTCTAATAATAACTATATATTTTTTATATTCCAATGAGTAGAAACCTACTCTGAAGAAGTGGCTTACATTAAGTCACGAAACTTCAAAAAATGCAATTTTGTAATCATTGGAATATAAAGAATATATGTATCATTAACTCGACTCAACGCTCAATTTGTTTTACATTTCAACTTATAAATATCTAGTTTATGTTTCCACTTATAATTAATCATCTTTACAAGTTAGTTATCTAGGCATGCAATATTCATCGACAAACTTTCCGATATTCTGATCATGTCAGTAGCCGTCAAATAGTCGTGTACCGAGTATTTATGCATTTTACGTATGTACAAGTTAAGTTGTCATGACTTAAGTGATACTTTTATGAATAATTTAGTTTTTTTGGCTTGTAACTGAATAAGTTGTTGTTTGGATTCAACCTATTTATCAGCTGCATTGTTTTCTCATTCACTATCTATTGTAAGGTGGTTGCAGGCTTACATTATGGATTTCTGTACGATCACCATTTGTTAATCACTATGTTCCTATGATATTGTACTTAAATTGTATCATTGCTTTAATCTGGTTAGTAACTGGCAGTGAAATCTATGATTTATCCAATTTATGAATCGTCAGCTAGATATGCTTATGTGGTGTCGTTGGTGTTCACACTGGAATTCAATAAAACAACTTGTTACCAAGTACAATATAAACTGCATGGGCTTGTTCTGAACATGCGGCAGGTTCTACATTGTGCCATAACTGACTGACTGTGTGCATATATGTCATTAGAGACTGATCAAATACAGCCTATAATATCGAGAATGGATAAACTCATACTCATACATATTTTACCTGAATGTTTTATAAATCGAATGTTTACTGAGATTTGTATTAATTTGTCAATGAATTCATACATGACAATTTATTCTTGTATAAATATCACTTAATAGTAATAATAACAATTTTTATTATCACTGGTTTATTGATTATTACGTCCATTTACCACACTCCCCAATTTTTGTTATACATTTTTAATAGGTGTTGCAACACCTATTCAACAGCGAACTGATGGAGTTGGTGAAGTTTCAGCTGCACCCTTTGAGTCACCTGGTAGTTTTCATACTTCAGCATTCGGTGCTCAACCTGATGATCGACCTAGTAAACCTATTGAAGGTAACTTTTTTTTGGTTTAACACTGCCTACCTTAATGTTGATTAAACGATCGACTTTAGTTCATTATTGGTTTCCTTTTTAAGCACTTTTTTTCAAAGAAAAAATTGAATTCATTTCGTAGATTGAAGTATGTTGTAAGGCAAGTCTATGTAATCGGTGATATGGTGATATATTGGTCAGGTAGTTTGACATTCGAACTTTAAAATACTGACTTCAGTTTGAGCAACCGGACAGCATTAGCATCCTTCACATGTAGATTGTAGCCCACAGCCCATTATATGAATCTGTACATGGTGAATAAGTGAGTGATGATATAAATCACGCATTCATAGCTCCGTTTCCATTTTCCTCTAAATTTTTAGTTCAGTATTGTTTCGTATGTTTAATTTCTTCTAAAATTGGTAATTTCACTCTTCTCTACCTATCGTTATTTCTTTCATTGTGGTGATATAAGATGTGGAAAATGCAGTCAACTTTTATTCGTTTTAAGTCCTTTCTCTCTTAGTGGTAATTTAATTGGAACGGGTGCATTTGAACATGAGGTCAGCCAATCATAATCAGCGTATTACCTTATAATGAAAAAGACTAAATATTGATATTATGGTTTCAATAGGTAAAATAGAGAAATAATGAAACTAAAGATCTAGAGAAAGATGAGTGAATGAATGTGTCTGGGCCATTATGATAGATTCTAAGCCATATTACCCAACTTCACCAACCATTTGTCGGAGTTATCATGCGAACTCCAACTACGCAATATGGATCTATCAACATGGCTCAGACCAAGTCAAATGACTGATTCTATGTTTGTTTTGGTCACCCCTAGCTTACTTTCAGCATTCCCCTGTACTAGCTAACATTTTCCATCGAGGCGCAGTAAAACTATTTGTATCAAGATCTTACTAATCTTTTCAAGGTTCTAGTCAATAAATTATTAACATTCCTGTTTATTATCATTGTTTTTATTATCATTCGCATTTCAGATATGACAAAGCGTGAAACAGCTGAATATGTGACACATTTACTAAAATCGTTACAAAGTACGTTCATACTTTATCATATTTTTCTTTTTAGCTTTTAATTAAATTTTTCTTGCTATCACTTTGGAGATAATTGAGGCAATAATTTTGTAACTGAATTCGTCTACTCTCTGATATGCGTTAATTCAAGTTGATACACTCATACGTTACAAAGTATTAGGTGTTAATGTATTCATTAGATCGAAGACAAAGTAAAACGATATGGTAGCAGAATCTAGGGAGAGGTGATCATTAACCCTCTCTGAGAGGAATTCTTATGATTACGATTATATCGTGACATGCATGGACGAAGTTCGTTGTACCAGCGGTACGCATATAATAGTCAAAAGACAGTCATTTGTTACAAATACGTTTGAAGGGAGGGGTGACCATCTATTCTTCCAGGTGAGTGAATATGCCTGTATGAATCCTTTGGGATGCATGAATGAAAACGTGTGTGACCAGTATCCATGTAGGCTATACTTACCCCTGTTGCGTCTCCGGCGCGCCAAGTCTCGGATGGTCCAACGATTTCCATGTAGTGGGTCCGTGGGCCTCGGAAAGTGGATTTCTAATCCGAATTAGTATATGGGCTTTATCGAGTGGTGCTTCCCCAATATCAAATGACTGGAATATTGCACCAATCAAAACGGGTCGAGTTTTTAATGGTTCTTTATTGTTCAATGAATATGGAGCACATGGTTTCGCGCATAGTTTGTAATGGTACCTTTCAACTGTACATTACTATTTGTTCTATCGCGTAATAATTTTTGTAGCTGTAACGAAGAAAAATAGTCTTTAGATACTTTGACAACCTTGGCTATGAACAGTGGATGGAGCATGAAGATTACAAGCGTGATGCAATATAAGAATGGCTGTTGATCTGTTTTCATGATAAAATTGAACGTTTACACTCCCTTGTACATTCTGTTTCCCAATTCACTGTGTAAATGTCTGTTGACACAATCTTAACAAAACATTTTTAAAAAATTTTTCCGTAAAACATAGGGTGATAAGATTGTTGAGCGGTTTGAATTCAGATAACTTACATGGATATTTTAAACAGTGTTAAAATATACATGTGTATACTGCCATAGCAAATGGGAATCGTGCTTAATGTACGTTAAATTTCCTAGAGAGAGCTTTTTATTTCTATGATCATGTAATCACTTATTCACTGAACTGAATAGTAAGTATTAAGTTGTACATTCTTATTAACCGGGTTGTAGTTGTATTTTATGTCAATACCTTAAATGATTCAATTAACACAGAGAGTTCGATCAAATGCAAAAACTTTACACACATGTGATTTCCGGTAGTTTACATTTTGTATTAAACTTTCTAACTCAATGTTAATTGATTTCATTGTTTCTCGCCTTTTAAAAAAAATTAATTATTATACTTTTTCTACTCCGCTTATATAGCTGCTCGAACAGAGATTACTCGTTTACAAATAGAAAATGATCGATTGACTGGTCATTCACATGAATCTGAACGAGAATTAAATGAAGTTCGTATGACTTTGGCAACATTACGCAATCGTCTATTAGAAGACAATCTTACACAATATCTTGAATTGCCTCGTGAAACCAATGGTTACATGGGTATTGGAAGTAGCAGAGTCGATAGTGTTATTGGCCTTAGTGTGCGTAATAATACTGGTATGATGAACAATGCCAATCCATTTGACAATGTACGACATGAAAGTACTATTGAACCCCAATCATTTTTGTCGAAAATCTCCTCTCTAGGAATGAATGCTCGTTTAGGAAATATCATTCCACCGACAAATAATCAATTACAAACAAATGGAAACAGTGCTAATATTGGTGGGGGAGGATGGTGGTAAACAAATAATCCATAGAAAAATAAATAATAATTTGAATTAATTAGATTATTACACTCCCCGACCTCTACTTTGATTTTGTCTTAGATAATTGAATCATCTTGACCATGTAATGAAAAATACTTTTACATGTGCTTGAATGATCCTATTTGCTCATTTGTGTGTATGATTACTTTTTCTATTTATTATTGTTTCCTTGACGTAAGCGGAGGTGATTTTGTACTTAGGTCTATATGTATATGCTGTTCGCAAAGTAAAAAAAAAAACATTTCAGGTTGAAATGTCTTTCAACATTATTACTATTATTGTTACTGACTATTATTATTATTATTATTCCTATTATTCTGCTTCCAAATATTACTATGTTTATTTTATTTAAACAATATCGAGGCTATAGATGTAAAAAAAAACATATGAACACAGACAAGCGCATTGATTAACACATATCCATTCACTATTGTTCAACAGCTTTGGTGAAATACAGTAATTATTTTAAATGGTAAATCTACACTTTAGCGCATCTACTAAATACAAGTTCAGAGGTTATTATCCATTGTACCATATTAATGAAATAAATTTTTGTGTTTTTTTTTTATAAAAAAATTCTTTTCTACATAAGATCTGTGATATTCAATTGTTTTTGTTTCTATTCCTAACTAGAACAATATTTAATTGCTCAATGATCAATAGAATGTTGCCATCATTCCTTCTAGATAAACATTTTTCATTTACACTTATTCACATTATCCTGTATTCTCATATCAATAATAATAATAATAATTCTTTTATTATCTTTACTGACAATGTTTCATTTCTGTGTTATCTTCTATCTTCTTTTAAATATTTCTTTCTCTAAAAAGGATCACCTATTACTTTACTTCCTATCAGATAATTTTCACATGCAAATCTGATAATATTGTCACATTTCATTAATAATTTTCTAAAGAAAAAAGATTCCCTTTTATCCAGGGTTTACTCATTGAGAGGGTTTTTCTTTCTTTCTTTTTTTTTAAATTGAAGAAAAATTTTGTTTCTATGTTTTAGTAAAATAAATTTTTCGTTTGGTTTTATCCAAAAATCATTCATTCCATGTGCTTTTCTACGTGTGTGTGTACGCAGATCGATTGGCGCTAAAAACAAAACAACATACATCCCCTTTCTAAATGTATACAGGCGTATACGTGTGTTTGTTCTTATTATTTCATATATATGTATATTGACAAGGTGGAAAATAAAATGGTTGTGTGTGCTTTCTCAACCATATACACATAATTGAGTGATTTCAAGGTGTGTTCCAATCATATTTATCATTTTTGTTTTCTTTGATCTAAAATTTCTTTAATGATTTCATTCATGGTGAATTCCATGCATTAAATTGTGTTTTTTTGTTGTTGCTTCATCTAGGAATTTTTCATCACATGCCAACTCCTCTTTTTGATTTTTGAATAATAAATGAAATTGCTTTTCCCTCACCGTAATTGAATCTTACATCAATCAGTTTTTTTTTGTCTTGTGTTCATTACATATAAACAATTGTTTAATGATTATTTATCATTTGGCAGTGCCTAATTGAATATCAATGTATATGAAGTTTCTTCATATTATCATTATTAATATTAATATTAATACGACCAATATATATTTACTTTTGTTTAATATGGAATAGTCAATAATTTTCTACTTATTAATATGCACAATTTGTTGTTTTTTCTGTGCCAATTTCAACAATTGTTTATTCTTTTTTGTTCTGAAAAAGATGACGAGGGACTGAAAGAGCAAGTCAGCTAACGAGAAAATTGTCATTTTTTGTTTTAATCTACTAGTTTTAAGTGACATCAGGAAAGAAAATAGTTCGATCCTTTGTGATTTTAAGGGGTTCTCTGTTTTGTTTTTGAAAAAAGATTACTTTTCATGAATGTACTGTCTTACTGTGCGTACGTCGGGCATACACTAGTAGTTATTTGGATTTTAATTCACCTTGAAAGGAATTTTGTAAAGCCAAAAAGAGAAATGATTAACTGTAATTGTGTATTGTGATAAGATATATTTAATATAATATTGAGAATGTTAACTAATTATTATTATTATTATTTTTTGTTTATAATTGGCAATTCTTTTTTTATCCAGCCTAACAAAAAAGACGTTGAAAAGAATTCAATATGAAACTAATAACAAGATATTGTTCAGTTGGATATTAATTAATAAAAGTGTTCATAATGATAACCATGATTAATAATGACAGAATGAATACTTTTTATATGATTCTTGTCTTTTGTTTTTGATTGTATGTCTGTGTGTTTATGAATTACTGGATCTTTATTTGTTGGTGTTTGATGATAATGGATTATTTCCATTGATAAATATTTGTGGTGATAGATGGATTTTATGCGGTGAATGTTTCGATGTTTATACTTGAGTTTGTTCATTAAAAATAAGCTCAGTTATCTGTCTAATGCACTAGATTAACAAGGTTCTTATCCAATTATAGAGTTTTTTTTCCATCTTCAATCATTCTTACTAGATGATTTTGAACAACATCAATGTTTCAACCACAGTTAAACTGTCCAATATAATTGTAAACATTCTATGAAAAGCATTCAGATTTATTAATAGGTTCGTGTATTCTGTTATGAATTACACTTTGCGTAATGTCTAATGATTCTTTTTGGTTACACGAACCAATGTAGACAAATCAAGACTCAGACCTGAAAGTTGAATGCCTTAATCAATAAGGTCTATCAAATTACAGATGATCACATAACATATTTTAAGGTACTTCTATCTCTTTCTATTTTGACACTCAATTAGGTAGTATGCAACACACGATACACAAAAATAAACGAATACATACTTGTTAAGTGATTATATCTTAAATTACTAATGCGACTTTTCGTTTCTGTAGCCATTTTGTTTAACTTTCAACTCAATTATCCTAATCACATATATGCGTTTACTTTGAAAATGATAGGTTTACTTTTTTTTTCGTAACCCTATTATGGTTACCGTTTCTATCTTAACATTTGATTGAAAATAAAATTTCAATGGTTAAGATCATGAATCGATTGAAACTAGACAACCATGGAAAACTTGAAAGCACTGGATGGCCGGTCGGTTTCAATCGACTCATAATCTCAACCATTGAAATTACTATAATATCTACAAAACCCTTCTGATATATGAAAATAAAATGTTTCTAGTTCTGGAATACTTAAAATCTATTTTATTCAGTTATATGTTAACGGTTTTTTTTTGAATTCATGATATAAACCATATGACGAATATTTAATTTTTGTTTCTAACTGTTAAATAACCATAGAAATCATTTTCATTTTTTGTGTATCATTTTTTCATGTGTTTTTTCTTTATAATGCTAGGCAATTTATGTAATGAATCTTGTGCATAAATTAATTAATTCTCTTTTCATGTGACTAGAGATTATTCGAAGGTTAGACTAATTCAATTATGCCTTTTGTATATTCATATGATTATAAAAAGTATTGTTTGATTTTTATGCCTTATTCCAATCATAGTTATCTTTTTTTAGTTTTATTCCATCTGAAGATCAGTTAGATTCAGAATTATTGATGTGAACTTATTATGTCTCACCTCAATAGCTGGAGATTTTCAGTTTAGTTCTTATTGGGTTTAATACTTTCGAGCTGAAAATCAAGTTAAAGTAATTATGCAATGCTCTCAGATTTTCATTAGTTCTACAGCTATAGCCGGCTCAGTTTGTGATTTAAAATTAAATTATAGTCAACAAGTTATATAAATCATTTACGTTGATATACTTAACGAAATTTCATAAACGCGAATGTATGGAATGATGACGTAATGGTCAAATAATTCTAATTAATATCTCTTGATCATGGGTCTTAACTTTGTTTCCATTACTTCAGTTCCGGCTAATAGACCTCATACATAACAAGTAGTCATGCACATAAATCTTTACTTAACAATCAATGAGTTACATCCTGTACATGGTTTAGCAGTGAGGGCTAATGTTTTTGGTTTAACCTCCTATCTGGATATATATACGCACTTCTGGGGAGTCATACTACGCAAAAATCATTTGATTTGTGTGAGGGTTAGAATACTGTCCTGGTTCCCAAACCAAAGCACCACTTCCAGAGCCTTTGACCCAGATGTCTAATCCACAGGACAGTGGAGCAACATTAGGAGATCCATTACCATAGTAACCAGTGAACAACAATAGATTTATACACTTTTTGTTCCCTTAGGATTCTGAAGCGCATGTGCACCATTTGTTTTGGATCAGGGTTTCCTAACTCGCTTGGGTGAATCCTCTGTACCTACCAACCTGATTAAAGCTCCGGATATTCGTTTTTCGTTCTTCTAATTTAGGGAACGACCCCATCACGGAAAGACAGTGAGTAGAACTTCCCTGACAGTGGCTGTATACGCGTGGCCCTGAGAGAGCATGTAGAGAGGGTGAACTGACACTTCACCCTGGGCCAGTACCAAGGCAATTGGTGGCATGGGAAAATGTTTGGATTAACATTCAAAGATAAATATATAGTCAAATGAATACTGCAGCATTGATGCGTGTATTTAAGAAATATGTAATATACTTCTATCTTCTTTCATCCTTCCACAAATAGGTTTTCGGGTATTATTTATTCGACCTCTTATTTTTTCTCAAAATATCATCGATCTGTTATTGAACTCAACTCTGTTTTCAGGCTTACAGTAATTTGAATAAAAAATTACAGTACAAATTTGCTGAGTCAATAATAAATACCTAATTAATTATAGAAGTGATTAGACAAATTCCACAGTGCATTAATTCATTTATTTTTTCAGAAGTTTATTATATTTAGCTTGATTGAGAAAGAATTCAAGGTGTGTAAAACTAAAAAAAAGGTTGATCCTCTCTTGTTGTTCTTCGATTTGGGTAACATTCAAACAAACAGTGTAGTTCAAAGCGGAGTGCATAAACTTGTTCACTGTGAGATAAATTCTACCATTAATTTTATTTATTAAATTAACATAATAAGGTTTTTTGGTTAATCCCTTTTCAATCATTCTGCGTATTACGAAACATTAAGGTTGAAATCATAGTTTGTGTTATTTCACCAATGAAAACTTCTCTTTGGAATTTAGTACTCAGTTTACCACCTCAGTGGAACTTTTAATCCTTTTCGATCAAGCTAGGATTACTTCCTTATAACTGTACTATGTTGGTATGTACACATATACCTTCAGTGGCATAGAAATCAATTTTACTTGAATAACGATCCCACGTATTTGCTACTCAGTTTTCTACACATAGAGATCACATCACTTCAGTAATATCTGTTGTCATAAATAACAAACTTCTCTTCAATATTTGTTATCAAATTGAATTGTTAATTGCAATTATAGCATTTATATTATGATTTAGTAAACACTATTCTGACCTTAAGTTTGTTGTGTATGTGTTACCACGTATTTGAATGATTGCCTAAACAATTTAGCATATATTTATATTATTACACATTGTTATTTTTATTTTGAGTAATAATCTGAATTGGTTGACAACTATGATTTATTGTGAGTGTCCTAATATTCGAGTTAAAATAATTATTGTCATTTTTTATGGGTTTTGATCGTACCTTATTTGTTAATTCATATCACCTCAACTTAATCGATAGGATTCTTCATCGCATTAGGCATATATGACATTGATCATTACTAACAGGTTAGTCAATGTAAATATCTCAATCTTACAAGTGGTCATTTGCGATCCTAACATCATAAGGGCAACGTCTTCGACTCTGAAGTTGGTTGATTAAAGTCTGAATCAGACAGATAGCACCAGTCCCCTCAAGATTACAGAAACGCCTTACGAGTACCAGGGCTTCTTGCCGATCACTTCCAATTCTACTTAACAACTTGCATCGATCTGTTATTAGTTAGCATCATAAAGTCAATCGAAATGTTTGTCTCTGTGAAGTTAAAATCAGAAAATTAAGGAAATGCTAGTCAACTATGTAAATCTCATGATTGTGCAAATAAACAGAACCATTTAATCGTAGTTCATAAATTATTTGGATATGATATTTTGAGCAGAACTGAAGACGTACTAATAACTTGTATCGAACTCAATTCTGTTGGCTTTGAGGAATACTATTTTTGTCGACATAGTGACTGAAATTTCATTCTTTATTGCTAAGTCTGTTTTTTTGGACATTTCAAATAACGTACTGATTTTAGTTAGCCATTAAAACCGAAGGAATACTGGTTATCTACTTCGTCTTAATATAGAACTCCTGCGAAATGTGCATTCACAACCCTATCAGGTATCGATCTTATGTCTTTCAGGTCTTATAACCGAACACCCTAACCTATAAACCACTGAGAGCGGGTACAATTATTTGCATTTCCAACTCCAGTTAATTCTTAATGTGTTATTTATTAGAAGCTAAGCAACTGAAGATTATATGTTTTTGTGTAAGGCATCACATCGCTGTTTTTATTTTGACCAGTTCAACTTTCTATGATCTCAGATCATAGTTATCTTTAATGTATATACAAAGTTTTCATGGAATCAAGTTGCTTCATTATTATCGCGTACCTATTGTTAGCGAGATTCAAGATGAATTTCACGAAATTGCAATAAATAGCCCTTTTTACCTGGCACAATCAAAATATTCACGAAAATTAGATGGTATTAACGCAATGACTATAATGCATAGTGATCGTTGATGAAGTTGAACATCTGGGCCATTGAATTCAAATTCAGTTGCTTAATGCTATCTTTATTAACATGAGAGTTTCATGTCCGATTTTATGCAAGGCCTTCGGTTGATATTTTATATTTCTCTTCGTGCCATCATTCATGTTGTTTATCCCTTCAGATTGATCAAATTCTATCATTTAAGTTTCAACGTCACCACTCAGAATAACTTGATATCACATTGTCGTTTGCTTGATCTTAAATAGTTACTGGGGGGATGGGAGTAACATTAAGTAACAGGTTATGTGATAGAGGTCGGTACTCAATGATTTGTTTTTAAAGTATAATTGTATTTACTTGATCATAAATTAATCCACTATTATCAGATGTGGTAGCTTTTAAAGCATCCTAAGTGTAAGTCTTTTATTATAAGTATTTTTTTCTCCTAATATTTCCTCTTGAATCTTTCTCTGATACTTACTTTAAAAACTTATTCATACCTGTCTTTTATTAATATTATTCTCTTAAGATAAATCAGCTAAATGGAGGTATTTCTAGGTCGTTCGAAAGTGAAAAAGCCCATGCAATTACCAAAGTCATCATTATCGACAACATCGTCATGTTTTCTGTCGGGTAGTAATAGTAATAGCAGTAGTACTTTACCATTTCCAATATTGTTTAAAGAAGATTTCACGGAATGCAATTCTGATCATGATGATAACAATAATGATGGTATAAACAGTTGTGAACAGTTTACATTTCAAGCGGTTTTATTAAATGGTGCTAAGACATTAATCACTGATTTGGAACAAATCAAGATACTTCGAAAAAGAGTAAGTACTTTTTATACAAAATCATACTGTCTTGTATGCAGTTTTACTATGACTATCTTTTACTTATACACGCTGGTGCATCATGGATAAATGGGATTCGTGAATGTTTTCTGATCTCCATATTATTGTCATACCTCAAGAGCAGTTAACGAAATATAATCTGAGTGAGGTATAGATATTTTTGATTTTGTTTAGTAGGGTACATTTCACCACATTAAGTAATCTGATCTTTGACTACTACTATTCTGGCATTTCTGACAGTTTCATCCACTGTACTAATGTAGCATGGCAACCTGAACCGATAAACATGTTCGGTCCTAGGTTTTTTTATGACTGATAAACTGTTACTAACTGAATGATTATTGAGTATAATGACGCACACTGTAAAAATTTGACAGTTCTTAGAAGTAAGGACTGCAGACTTTTCCTACAAATGGAATTCAAGGCTCGTGTCACTACATATACTATCTTTAGATATGGCCCCTCCAGGCGGTTCACAATCCTCATTTCTTATTGTTATTATGGGGCCCCCAAATGTCCTGGTACGGTCGAGAGTGGGGAGAGTCAGCTCTCCTTCTGGAAATGCTCTCACAAGGCCACGCGTATATAGCCAGCAACACGGAAGTCCTACCGACTGCCTTCGCGTGGTGGGGGTGTTGTTCACGAAATGTCCGGAGCTTTAGCCGGGTTGATGGATATGAAGAGTCAGCCACGAGGAATTGAAACACTCTCATTCCAAACAAATGGTGCACATGTGCTACAGGGTAACGAGGGAAGAAAAGGTATGTGTACGTATTGTTGATCACCGGTTACCACGGGCCTGAATTTCCTAATGTTGCTACAATGTCTTATGGATTAGACCTCTAAGTCAAAGGCTCGGGTAGTGGCCACCTAAGAAAACCACGTGTTTTGGTTTGGGCACCCGGACAGTATTCCAGACCTCACACAAATTGAATGATTCGTGTGTCACATATATATATTTGGTGCTTCCTTACACCAATGTTTGTGTTCAACTAAGTAAAATAAAATCTTAAGATATTCACGTAAAGTCGTTGGTTTGTGCGCTGTTTGTTAGGTCCTGAAATGAAGCAAATGAGGTTGCCAGTATTTCATGATCTTTCGGTAACTCCTTCTGTATATCAGTTTGTGGTATCATCATCGTTCTGCTTATTGATACTAAACCAATAAATAGGATTCTTGTATTTACTCCAATACATTTTTATTAGAATCATAATTACGGTTTGGAAATGGACATGTTAGTTAGACAAGGATTTATTTACAAAGAAATTCTTGTCACATCTCACCATACTGATGAATAAGATTCTTTTTAGAAATAATCATTCTGAACTATAAGTTATGGGGTTGGGGGAGGCTGTTGAATATGTCAGTTCACATCATGGATTTATTTTAGAGTTAACAATTATTTATATAAAGGGAGCGCTAGATTATTGCTTCGCCCTGGTGTGAAAATTCTCAGCATTGTGCATCCACGACATAACTGAGGCCAGAGCTTACTGCCTTCAAGTCTTGACCATTGAGTTGGTATCCAATAGTTTACATTTATAACTGCAATCATTCATGTAACATTGCACAAACATGTTTTAATACCGTTTGTGAGTAACTGCTTCATTCTTGACATCATCGCTTCGTCTCATTAGAACTCAAAGAACTTCCTCTTGAAATTAGTCACCAATGCATACATGATCATTACCAGTATTATTCTTAGAAATTTTAACTAGTTAGTGATCTCTCTTTTGTTAGCAAGATTCCTAGTTATTATCGATCATCAGGTATTCAGTTGTATAGGTGTTAATTGATTACAGGATAATCATGAATATAATGTGATATTCTGCATCGTGAAAGTTTTTTCTTAGCTGATAATTGGTTACTCAATCATAATGTTTAACATAAATAACTAGTATGTTCCCCATTTGTTTTTTTAACTCAACTTACTACTACTGCTATTATTACTATTATTATTATCATTACTACTACTAGACAATGGTGGATATGTCGCTCAATTTCGTGGATTAGTTGGAGTTAGACATTAACACTGTTGAATGCCGGCTCAGTGGTCTAGTGGTTAAGTGCTCGCGCGCGAAACCAGTAGGTCCTGGGTTCGAATCTCGCGAGGGGGGCGAGGTCATGGATGTGCACTGGTGAGGAGTCCCATAATAGGACGAAACGGCCGTCCATTGTTTCCAGGTTTTCCATGGTGGTCTAGCTTTAACTGACTCATGATCTTAACCATTGAAATTACTATAATATCCACAAAACCCTCCTGGTATTAATACTATTTAAGTTAACAAGTATTTATAATCATAATCACTCTAAGAATTTCAAATTAATAATTGACAGAAATTATTTCTATCTTTATAAACTAAACTAAATATCAAAATCAGTTAGATCATAACACTTTGATCTTTGATAGATCCATTTTGTTATGTATTTCTTTATTTTAAAACAAACCAACATTTTCTAAATTCCAAAACTTGCGATTCTATTATTATTATCATTACGACTATTAGTTACCAGTGACCTACTCTCATAGAATAACTGTATGTTTCTATGTATGCTGAATTATTTATGCACACGTGATACATTAAAACAAAACTGTGGTTTTTCTTTGTGGAGAAAAAGTTATTCTATTGATCGTTTGTAGAATGTATGCTATATTGGGATGATAGTTGTGTGTATTAACTTTATGTAGCCTTATTCATATATGGTGTATATTTAAGGTATCAAATGTGTAAGTTATTAATTTATCTTTAAATGTATATCATAGTGATAGAGGACAACGTCTTGTGCTTTTTTTTTCTTTGTTTTCTTGAAATGATATACTACACAACATATTTGTTATAATTTATGTCATTAACTGTTTGAATCAAATGAATTGTACTAGTATTCTACCAATCATGGTTGTTATGGTTTGATAACATCAGTTCGTGATGTTTATGACACCTAATATGTTGCTTGTTAGGAAGGTGTAAATTAGTTACACCTGCTAGGCGGTTCAAATGATCGATCACATTATTGTGTATGTTCTCGTTGGTTTAAATTTTGCCATTCTATTGCATATTCATTCCATTCTTTCTCTTTGGATCATTATTTTTAATGTGCAGTACAATTTCTACTATCATTTATTTTGACCACTTTGCTAATCGTCCTATAAATTTAATCTTATTTTCATGATGCTGTATAAAAATTTGAGCCGATCCATATTTTTGCGAGGACCTGTGTTGATTATGAATGACTGTTAGTTGGGAGTCTTAGTACCATAATGACGTTTTACTCTAGATAACTGCTCAAAACTGAAACTCTTTGAACATTTTCATCGTATGGTCAAGGTCTTTGCGCGTACGGTTTTGAACTAGCTGACTCAAAATTAGTGAACTGTTAACTATTTAGTGAGCTTACAATTAATCTTACACCGTTCCGATACAAGATAATCCAAAGCACAATATCTTTCTGTATAGAAAAATGAGATTAATTGCAGGATACTAGGTTGAAAATGGCCAATTGGTTGATTATGTACTTGGTCTTCATTGATTGAGGCGGCTAGGAGGACACTACGTATGCCGAATCATAACTTATCTCAATCTCGATCAATGAAGCATTTCCCAGTCTATAAAAAACGGAATAATTCAGTAAGGCTGGTAAATTGAATGTACCTCAACTTTCATGACATTTCAACGTGATTCTGGTTGTTTCATACGCGTAAACATTGTAAGTGTTTAAATTCTTATCCCTTCGTTTCTAGGGTTGTTACGGTTTCAGTCAGAATAATGATTTTAATCTTCGCAATAAAACCAACAGTATACCTAAGTAAGTGAAGAATAATATTACTGATATTACTTATTTCTATGGCAAAATTGATATAGGGGTTTGTCTTCTATACCAATGTACAATAACACTAAAACACTAGATTTGGCACTCGATCGGCACACTAGATAATACTAACACTAGACTTGATCATGTTAGGCACAAATATACCAATATCTGGATCAGACACTAGTTTTACTGACACACTTATAAAGATCCCACACAATGAAACAGAGCAGAAATCGCAGTAGCGATATAACGGTAGGCGTTTATATTACAAATTATAGAATGGGCCTGTTTATCTTCGTTTGGTAATCAGTCACAAACCACAACATTATATTGAACTTTTCATTCTATAAATGAAATATTTTTTTCTCAATTGTTATTCTCTATATCTAGTCTTTTTCACTGTCACTGATACTACCACTGCCAATATAATTAATTCTAAACTAATATCATCCAATGCCCAGGACAGGGTTGGATAAAGAGTGCTGGTGGGGGGCTTAAGCTCCTCCACGAGGGGTAACAAGCATAAGTAAGTAAGCATATCATCCAACATCTCCAACCTTTGATCATGGTTTAGGCTTTGGCCCTAATCAAGTGATCTCCGCATAGCAAATTGAGACAGACAAGCTGTTAGTGGTTCAACAGACCGATTCTACATCTTGATTTGGGTCTATTTATTTTTTTTACCAACTTCTACTGCAGCCAGTATTAAACATTTAGGTAGGTAATGATTTAGGATATTCAACACGTCCTAACCACTTTCGTTGATGTACATTCATAACTTTACTTACCGATTCGCCTGATATCCACATTGCTTACTCCACCGTTCTAATATACTCGATCAATGCTTCGAAATTATCTGCAATCAAAAACTTATAACCTACCTATACCTTCTACTTTCCTAACCCTTGTTTTACATCCACAGATTAGTTCAAAGACCAATTCTTAGCACTTTTCTCCCTTCGTTGATAGACATATATCCTACCTGCACCACATGTAACACAGTTAGTAAAAGCCAACTGAGCCCACTGATTCCGTGCTGTTCTAGGGGTTATATAAATACATCGACCATTAAGCAATATAAAAATTATCCAGCCAATTATTCTCATTCCTAATGTTACAACGAATTTTTCTTGATGAATAATAAAAATAGATTAGGGGAACTAGATTTACTTTATTCATTGAAAATAATTAAATATTCCAATTATTAATGATCTGGTTGACAAATTTACTGCCTGATCATAATGTAGCAGTAAATAAATCTCCAAAATAAATACCTCTGTAAGTTCTAGACATTGGGTTCTGACCACATTAATCTTAATGGACTCACCTAGCTGAAGGCGCTCGGTCATGCATCTGCACCAGATCACGAAGTGGAACACCGTGTTCAACAACCCCTGCAATCGCTAGCCAGACTAGATCAGTCGATCCTTGATATATTGGTAGCCTATCAAATATATCTTTGAACCTCCTCGGCTCTGTCTTTTGACTTCACTTGGTGGGTATGACTCATAGTAGAAGGTGTTACTGGTTCAAACGTTGTCAAACTCCAAATACCTGTGGCATCTTCAATAATTACATTGTTAAATAATTGTTGTGTTTAATAGAAACTGGAATATCTATTAGATGTATATAATTAAAGTAGATTTTGAATATATATTAATATTTCTTTCTTTCTTTTATATAGAGAATACAGTACAGATGATGACGACAATGATGATAATGACGATGACGGCGGGGATACGTCAGATGCAGAGAATTCAATTTATGATTTTTGTATTTCAGAAGGTATTGAAAAAACAGATGAAAATATTTCCAACGAAACGGACGTTACACATTTAATATTGAATGATGTAGAAGTATGTTTTAGTTACTTCATGTATAATCGGTTATTCTTGAATACTTTTTTTACATGAGGTTAGTAGTTAAGCTTTACTCATGTCGTTGTGGTTGCTTTGTTGATTAGATCATAGTTATCTAAACACTAAATGGATGATTTCTTTTATTGAGAATTGTAGCTATTTTATTTGGCGGATTGTGATGCTACTTGGCAGCCGATGTAAATAGTTTACTTAGCTAAAGAAGGTTTTATTCGTAGTGAAACTTCATCAGTTGAGATGGCTGGGACACGTGTTACGTATGCCCAACCACCGACTTCCTCGACGTGCGATGTTCAGTGGTATAGGAATAGGTTGGAAGAAAGCTAGGGGCGGCCAGACCAAAACATGGCACAAGTGCATGAAGTCACTGACAAGTAGACTGAGCCATGTTGGTAGGTGTAGACTACTTGGTTGGGGACCGCAAGATGATAGCAACCGATGGTTAGAGACCCTGAATGACATGGCTCAAAATCGTTTGCAATGGCGCAGGTGCATTCACTCTTTGTGTTCTCCCAAATTTTGATCTCCTTATTCCTCCTTTTCTGTTTTTTCTCTTCCAAAATTTATTTCACTGTATTATACTCTTTAAATAACATCTCCAAACATTAATCTTCCCGATTACTGCTTATACTCCTACTCTTACCTCTACCACTACGGGATTAGAATCGACCACTGCATCTCTGTGCTAATGTGGTGTGGCAACTCGAACTGATGTACGTACGTACGAAGTTCTACGTTGTTACTAACTGACTTATTCATAAGTGAATGAAGGAACATATGTAGATACAACCATATGGTACCTGGTGACTTCTTCAAGCTCTTGCACTACTCCAAGTGTATACAATTAGAAGGTAAATAACAAAAATCTGTTGTCGGAGGCAGATTTTCTGGGTTTGTTTCTTAATTTTATACGTTATAATTAAATTTACATTGAGGAAAGGTTAATACAATGTTAGTCTCTTAGTCAACGCGCCAAGACCAACCTCCTTTTGAATAGAAACTTCTAAAACTTACTATTTATTTACAAAAAATCATTGCTTATATGAGAAATGTAGAGCTGAAAAACTGAAATAATGTTCTTTATTCATGCCTAGTATACTGTGTATTTATGTAGGCATACATTTGTTTGTATGTTTGTATATTATATAATTTAGACGTTGTTTTTACTCCATGGACTTGGTTGTTTAGACGTTTACTTGCCACCTAATGGAAATTCACAGTTTCATTCAACCATTGAATGTCAACAGCTGGATCCATTGTCTTTGGTAAGATAGAAAGAAGTTATTTTAGTTTATTTCTGTATCATGTAACAGTAATTTCATTTTTTATATTGTTTTTTGTTTGCTTATACATAAATATACAATGCATAATGTACTGACGATTAGTATTGTCTAGTTAGAGTAGTTGTCTGGTAGTTTGTCATTTGAAGTTGATCATGTTTAGCCGTATTTAGTGAATTATGTTTCAAATGTTTGTTATCAAATTTAAACAGAGTTGGATGGTGACTGACAGTGGAATCCAAGACGCACTTCTCGTCCTATCTGGAATACGTCAACTGCATCTCAGAACTGATATTTACTACGATACTTGAACCCCGTATCGTTCCCTTCAAACCCCATCATCACGTTATCCACTTAGCTACTGAATCCAGATGGCTACTGGCTTTTGCAGTGGAGTGAATTTTAATCCATATATATTGGTCATGTAGATCTTCCAACTGATACTTTAGGACTAAAGTTGATCAATCTCTTATAGGCGCATTTACATCCTGTACGAATTGCCTTGGTATTGCCACTAAGTCACAAGCATTTTTAGGCAAACAAAGAGGGTCGTTAGCAGCGAAATCCAAATTGTTATTGAATATTTCAACACGTCCACTTGTATTGCAGGTCAACGAACACCATACATCTTTGAATTGTTGGACAGGATCATACTTTGAAATTATTTACTAGTCAAAGTTATATGTTGAGTTTCGCTTAAGCTATTTACAATAAAATCACTGATTCTGTCAGTGTACTTGTTTCGTACGATTGATAGCTCATGAGAACTCCCATGTTCCTACATGTATTATCGGAATATCAAAAGTTTTTTTGCTATAGGTACTATCTGTTACTCAAATTCATAGTTGATGTGGTTGTATAATTACAACACCAAACCATGTTGCATTATAACTTATAACCCTTAGTTGGCGCTCAAGTAGTACACTTTCGAAACTAAACGGATTAGTATCATCTATACAGTTATTTGACTGTTACGAATGATATAATATATAGAAACAATTATTAAATTAGTAAGTAATTTATAAAAAATCCATTAAAAAGCATTTTATAAACACTCATTCAAAATACCCATACTAATCCATTTAATAAGCAATATTCACATTCCATATCTTCTTTCGCTATGTTCAGTTTATTGACTACTGCCTCCCACGTTGACAGCCACATTTGGCCAAATATTGTACAAATGTTATTTTCTATTTTATGGTACGTTGTGGTCTGTCTGGTTGATATATAAACCGAGTATGTTAGAAATAAATGATTCATATTGCAGAAGCTGGTATTGTATTCCGAGCTCAAGTGGGCGGACATAGGCCCAATAAGGACGTTAGGCTGTTCATACCGGTCGGACGTCATTTGTTTGGCACAGTGCTAAGATTGGACAAGTCGTATTTTGATTGGTGGCTAAATCACGTGATAAAAAGCCGGACATAAAGTCACAACAAGTTGCATGAAGAATGTTTCTGCATATTCGTTTCTGATCTATGTTTGGTGTTCAATGTTTAGTTATTATTGTATCTCAAAGATTAGTTATTGACAATTGTAACATCCTTCAAATTATATCATGGTGTAGTAATGTGCAATTTCAGCATAGTAGCGATAATCATCCCGTATAACTTAGTCACTCATAAATCTCATCATTTTAGAATTGAACACTTCTTTCTCTTCATATTAACTGATTTATTCAAAATAATAAACAAAGTTCTTATTAGAAGAAGACTAAAAACTCCAATATTCTATACTGAAAGTTATTCTAAGTGATTAAAACACATGAAAATGTTTGGAGTATGAAATGGTTCATTCTTTTTTTGACTTTATTTAAACAACACATTCCTTGTTATTTAAAAGTTAATTTTAATGAATAATATTTATCTGTTTAATTAAATTTTAGTATCGGAAGGGGTTTTTTTGTGGATATTATAGTAATTTTAATAGTTGAGATCATAAGTCAATTGACGATAGACCACCATGGAGAGTTTGGAAGCATTGAACGGCCGTTTCGTCCTATTGTGGGATTCACCAGCAACGTATATCCACGATCCCGCCTCGCGAGATTTGAACCCAGGAAGAGTCCTACAATAGAACGAAACAGTCGTCCAGTACTTTCAGGTTTTCCATGGTGGTCTAGCTTCAATTGACTCATAATCTCAACTATTATAACTAACTTTTGTTTAATCTCAACTATACAATCAACCAATTATAATTCTGATATTATTTATCAGTTTGCTTGTTATTATTAATTTGAAAACATTACATTTAGAATAGATACAATATTAGACATAAATGAATATAGATATCTTGTTATGTAGTGTCTAAGATTGACTATGTGTGAACAAACAAAGAGTTCAAGTACTGATTTATATCAATTACTGAATCACTCATATTTAAGTTATTTACATTCTTCATCATATGATGTAATCAATAAGCTTGTGTTGTCAACATCTTTCACCAACTATCTTTTAATTGATAATAATTTGCAACCACTATTATGTGACACTGTAAAATTGATTACGCTTTGATTGAAAAATTGATGTGTATGGATTTGGAAATATCAGATGACCCGATATCTGTATTCTTTTCATTTCGTTTATCGTAGATATTCTATTTTGAATAACTTAATAATTGATAAGTCTTGTAAATTTGAACGCTTTATTCTGTTCCTAAGTTATTCTGGTAACCCGCAAGCTAGAATTACGCAGCGACCTGAACTCGAGGGAAAAGGTGCAAAATAAGCGAAAAGCACTTCACTCCAAAGGTTCATTTTTGTACAGAAAAACACGGGTATTTATAGATGTTAACATTTGTTAAATCAACATCATATTTTGGTCAATCCGCTAAAAGACATATTATGCTACTGACCAATAGTAGCACGCCACGTTGATATTCTAGAAAGCTCCATCGTGCTCTGATTGATTGGCTAGGACTCTTCGGCTCTTTTAGGGCCTCCGGAGGCTCCGTTGCAGGTTTCGGAAATCCGACTCAACAATGACAGAATAACCAGTATCATTATAATAAATATCTGCATTTTGATAAATATTCAGAAAAACTGCTGAAATGAGAGGAAATGTAGAACAAAGTGTTTTCCTTACTTCTCAGATCTACAAACAATTTTTCCCAGTTATCAGATGAATTAAGCTTGTGCAATAGGCAAATGTAAGATCGACAGCCAATGATCTCTAGGACTTTGTTATATACTTCTAAATTAAATGCGGTCAATAAACTGGAAATTGGTATTTACACATGTTTTTTCCGGTGTAACAACACTCTGTTGTGCTCAAGATGACTCTAGTTTTAACGAATAATATTTATATAGAATAGAAGCGTTCTGGCTAGCTGTAGAATTTAAGACTCACCTTCCGTCCTATTTAAGACTCGTCACCTGAGTGTGGCTACATCCCAATATTGGTGTTCACGCCGAAACTTAAACCCAGTAACTTTCTCTTCAAATACTCTAAGCATTATCCATCGATCTATGGAGACCAGATAGGCACTATCTCATTCAATGAATACGACGTTTGTATGATTATTCAAAAACGATTGAGTAATCCTACTGTCGATATTATTAACCGAAATTTGTCCATTCCTTGTTTGTATATGCGTATTCTGCTTTTATTGACTCGATATGGCGATTATGCTGGTGGTTGGCCTATGCTCCTCCATGAAGAGTAACAGGCGTAAGTATATACAATAAATAGATTGTGGATAGGAGTGATATTCAAGAAACGTATTTCCGGCAAAGACTGATCAATATTAGGATGTAGGTACATCGAGCTAAATAGTCCAAAGTAGAACAGAATATCGGGTTCTGGTTTCCACTGTTAACCTTAATTTATCTATTCTATACAACTTATATCATAATGGTTATCTTCAAGCAGTTCAAACATATATCATTAAGGACTGATCAAATTGCAGCCAATAATATAAACAATAAGATCACTGAAGTCTTTCCTAATAATAATAATAATAATAATAATAATAATAATAATAATAATAATAATAATAATAATAATAATAATAATAATAATAATAATAATAATAATAATAATAATAATAATAATAATAATAATAATAATAATAATAATAATAATAATAATAATAATAATAATAATAATAATAATAATAATAATAATAATAATAATAATAATATAATAATAATAATAATAATAATAATAATAATAATAATAATAATAATAATAATAATAATAATAATAATAATAATAATATTATAATAATAATAATAATAATAATATAATAATAATAATAATAATAATAATAATAATAATAATAATAATAATAATAATAATAATAATAATAATAATAATAATAATAATAATAATAATAATAATAATAATAATAATAATAATAATAATAATAATAATAATAATAATAATAATAATAATAATAATAATAATAATAATAATAATACTAATAATAATAATAATAATAATAATAATAATAATAATAATAATAATAATACTAATAATAATAATAATAATAATAATAATAATAATAATAATAATAATAATAATAATAATAATAATAATAATAATAATAATAATAATAATAATAATAATAATAATAATAATAATAATAATAATAATAATAATGGCTTTAATATGCTGCTCAGATATTTCAATAATGCATATGTCGGTGTGTTTGTGAAGTCTATTATAGGTCTTAGAGGGGTGTCTGGCTTACGAATTTTAGGTAAACCATAAAAACGTGAAGTATTGCATGATTTGGAATATAGAGCAAACCATAGCGAGACACAAATGATTGGTTTTAGTTCCTTTAAAAGTTGACTTGTCTCTGATTTGACTTTATTTTTAATCGTTAGAGAATTTTTTGCATCGATCTTTTCATATGGTCCCGTAGAGAAATGTTCAAGAGCTTTATTAATATAATCCTTTATATTCATGCCCACTGTTGTGTTACCTTTGTCAGCTTTTGTGATTATAATCGTTTTGCCTTTTTGAACAGAATGTAGAGCCTTCAATGCTTCTTTTGAAATGTTAGGCGTAAGGTGTTTTTGTTTAGTCAAAATATGGGATGTTTTCTGTCGTAGAAAATATGGCTTTTTCTGGTAGTTGTGCGATTAGTTGTCCACTACAACTTAACTTACATAATATGATTAAAGATTCATATGAATTTAAATCAAAAATATCTAAACTAATTATCGAAAAGAATGAAATCATGGTAAGCTATGGTGTTTCATTATACACTAGTATTCCTATTGATAAATGCTTAGAATTCATTACTGCTTTACTAGAGAACAACAACAGTCTTTCTGACAGATGTTCTTTAAGCGTTAGTCTAATCATGAAATCCTTAAAACTGCTTAAATTCGACATATTTACTTTTAACGGGACTTTATACAAACAAACTAGCGGTGTAGCAATGAGATCCCCAGTGTCCCCGATTGTAGGCAACCTGTTTATGGCACACATAGAATTGAATATTTTCGCCAATGATATTAAACCACGAATTTAGCTTAGATATGTAGATGATACCTTTGTTGCGATAAAAAAAGACTCATCTAAAATCTTTTTCGAAACAGCCAAAAAACCGAAACAAGTTGGTGAAGCCTAGTAGGCCCTTCTGGAGAGAAACAGGCAACATCGATACACGACACAACTACCGGGGTTAGAATAGTTGTTTTGCAATCGGTTGGAGTTTGTCCCGTATGGGGCAACCCTGTACATTACATGCACCACTGAATTTTTTGTCGTTTTTCGATCAAGCAGTAATTGCGCTGTGATTCTTTGTGGATTTTGTAATCAGTTTCTGGGTGTCGTTCGAGTGAGTGATTAGCCTGATCTCTATCACCCGGGTTACCCCTCATATTAGTTCATGAAACTGAGTCCCACTATCCAGAAGGCACGATGAGGACGTGTGAGTCGGGTTTTACCTCCTTTTCCGAAACAGATCAATACATTTTCATCACACATCAAATTTACGAACGAGATTGAAAATGAACATGATGAGCTACTATTTTTAGGTTGCTTAGCGAAGAGAAATCTAAATGGAATTCTAAATCTATCCATCTGCCGAAAATCTACATACTCAAATTGTTATATTGACTTCAATTCAGCACATCCATTCAGTGCAAAGATCTCGCTAGTCCTAAATCTTTTTAGAAGAGCTAACAAGATTATCACATCAGAAGAGGATAAACAAAAAGAACGAAAGAATATAAATAGCATCTTACAATTTAATAATTTTCCTATGAAGATTATTAGAAGTGTATTAAAACAACATGTTTCATCGCTCAATAATAATTATCCGAATGAAATACCATGGCTTGGTATTGCAGTTTTACCATGCCGTCATGGTACAACAGAAGAACTCTAAAGAATTTTACAATAACACAGAATTAAAGTATATTACAAAACAACGAACACATTTCGAAGTACTTCAGTTCGCTTAAAAGAAAAAATCCCCTTTATGTCAACACAGAACTATGTGTACAAATTAGGATGTGTCGATTGTGATGCCTTCCATATTGGATCGTTATCTCGCGAAATCTTGACTCGAGCCAAATAACGTATTAGGTACACAATGAAACCACCTAATAACCCCGTAGAACTGGGTGGACTTCATATTAAATTGACAATGGCAGTTCACACCATTTACAATAACCACCAAAACAATTTTAAAATATTACAAGAAGGTTTTTCCAATTACAAAGAAAGGAGAGTAGCTGAATCGTTCCATATATTGCTTAATCCTACTGCTCTCAATAGAAAAGAAGGCTTTACTATACATCCTACTTGGACTATCTATTCTAGCCACCTAGTCTGATATTATTCACATTTCACACTAGTATCGTACATACAAATTAAGCTCTATCCTTTCTCACCATAAATATCACATACTTTTTCATCTTTACCGTGCACACTACACACACAAATATCGCTTATGAAACACCTTGACCGAAATGACACGACATTGATTTGTTCAGATCGGTTTTTTGATTGATCGCACATAATATTCTTACGTTGTTCCTTTGTACTATTTAAACTTGGATTAAATTTGATCTGGTTATTTATACCCTGAAGAGGTGGCTTACACTGAGTCAGGAAACGTCGGAAAATTTGATTTTTCTACTCATTGGGATATTAGAATTATATAATTTTTATTTGTAAGAAGAAATTTTGTTTACTTATGCATAGTATGTTTTGCCAATTGAGCACTATATACTTTTTATTTCTCCTGTATTAGTACCTTTAAGAGAACCTTCAGGTTGGCTTTTTGTATTACGTGTATTAAATAATTTGTAAAATCGTTGTTTGTAATGTCTTTTTATTTTCTCATTTATTTAATAAATAGACTGAGGTCTGGTTTTGTCTGTGTACAGGATCTGTTGATTCACCTTGTTTACAAATTCAATCAGCACGAGAACAAATTGAAAAGTATTCAGAAAAGGAGCTCCATCTATTACGCCGTTATGCTGTATATATATATTATAGATCTAAGGGTTGGATTGTACGCCCCGGATTATGTGTAGGTGGTGCCGATTACCTACTTTATGCTGAAGATCCCAATTGGAGACATGCTTCATTTTGTGTTCTAGTTGATAGGGATTCTACAACTAAGGACGGAGAACAAATGAATTGCAGTTCAATAGCTGCACATGTTCGTGTTGCACATTCGGTTGGTAAAGTAAGTTCATTTAATTATATTTTGTGCATAACCTTCTTCATAGTGTAGCTTGTATCAAATATAGTCCATAAGATTTTGAATAATGATTTGCTTTTTAACTTGAGGATGCCCGTATATTATATTGATATGCGTTTTCGTAATTCTGTTATAAATTATGTAAGTATAAATTGCACTTGAATGGTTGGAAAAATGTCTAATCCTAAAGGAGGGTTTAATCATTGGCAAGGTCTGAGACTATGATTATGATAGACATAATTATCGTCGTGATTACAAACATAATTTTTAGCGAGTGCCAACTGCCACAAAATGTACATTGAATAAGATTTCTTGCCTATTGATTGAAATTTTCATCTTATTTTTCAACCAGTTGGATATTGTCAGTGTGAGGTTGTGGAGATTGGTGAATTTCATTGAGATCAAGAATTGATCTAACGTAGACAACCATTGTGAACCTGGTAACACTGAATAACTGTTGCATCCTAGTATGAGTTTCCTCAAAAGTGCTCACGTGCAACTCTTCAACCAAGGGTCGATTTTACGGCATTCATTATTGCGCATATACGCTCAACTTCTAGAGTACTGGGTTTGGGATCCAGTAGCGTACAAGTCTAACTTCAATCAATCGCTTGAGCATCTTCCATTATCTTCTTCTCACACCTGATGCAGTTTCCTTCCACTGATCACGGCTTCTCACTATAATTACTTGAATTTCCTCCCGAAGTTAATCACTAGTGAAAAGGGAATATGGAGAGTGATTGGACATTATCGAATAAAATACAAATAAAGTTGATTAAGTCTTCATGATGTTAAATGAGAGAATTTATATGCAAAACTGCAACTGATTAATATGTTCGCAACTACAAACATCACTTATTAGAATATGAAATATGGGTAATCTAAGCATTCACAAGATTCTCTTTTAGAATTTGTGTTCTGTGATATTATTGGTTGCTAATTTTAAAAAATCCAATTCCTTTATTAAAGTTTATAAGTGGTACAAATTACTATTTACTTTAAAAGATACCTTTAGTAGACTGATCTAGAATCCTCATTTTCGATGGCAACATTTTCATGAAAATGGAAAAAGGACACTTTTAATTTTATGCGGTCTTTTAATCCAAATCTTTTCATGGTTTATATCATAAAATAAATTTATCTAAACGACTAGGGAAAACCAGGAAGCAGTAGATATCCCGTTCGTCCCAGTATGAGACTTCTCATAAGTACACATCCATGACTTCATCGAGGGCCGAACCCAGAGGCTTTAGATCAACGCCTAAATTTTCGACTACCTAGCTGATAACCAACGTTAGAGGGAGCAAGGACAAAGATTAGTGCAAAATAATATGAATTCATTTTATTTCGTTAGGTTCTCACCAGCTGTTTACAATCTATAATATTTTAAAATCAAAGTTATTACAGATATTGGCATACTTATACATACGAGGGTGATTATGGATGAATATGTGTATCATGATGTAGCGAAGATTCCGATAGAGTCAAAAAGGTCATAAAAAGTTTTGTTTCGGATATAAATAAAGTTTGGCAGGAAAGGTTCTAGTACATAAAGTTAGTGATTATTTCACTGTTTCATTGGAATCACTATTTATTCAAGAAATCGTGGAAAATGCGCTTGTGCACTGGATCGTTTCCAATTTGTGCCTTTATCACTCGTTTCAAGTCATTCCTTTTTTATTACTTGATGACTAGTATTCATTGCAAAAAATTTATAGATTTCAATGTTTTCATACTTCTGATGACGGTAAATTTCTAAAAAATTTAATCATTTCCTTTCTTAAATCTGCGATTGTGTTAGCGTGTGATACTTTGTCGCGTAAGTCTCCCATCAATGGAGGAGTTTTCTAACAATCCATGGGAAGCTGTTCGGAAAACAACAATTAAGGTAAATAGCAATTTTTTTCGTGACAAACTAACTAGTTATTGAGTTTTTGGGGACGGATTGAAATTAACTATGAAATTATTTTTCAAAGTGAGAAAGCACTGGACAGGTGTTTCGTTCTAGTTTGTGAATTCCCAACAGTATATAAGAATAACTCTTCCATAGCTCGAACTCAAGACGTTTTATAGCCTACTGTGAGAACCTTATCTTTAATCCATTAAGTTTTCTAAGTATTTCCATACTTCCGAAAGACTGTGTTTACGAAGAACAAATATCATTCGGATAACCAATGAAAAGCTAGAATTAATCAGGTTTTTAAAACTGAACAACATTTAATGAGTCTATGTGACAATGCACATTTTCAAACTTGAACAGATCGTGACTTTTAAGATCATCTAAAGCGGGAACTATAATACATGTTTGATTATACCAATGATCAGTATAGATTTTAAGTTTTCTGAGGACTAAAAGTCTTTTCAGAACTATAAATTGTTGTTATTGTTAAAAAGGGAAGTTATTCAAATGATATCTGTTAAAACAAATATGTAAAGTGTGAATACCATATAATGAGACCTGGTCTCTTCTCACGATTTGTATTTTTATTAGGGTATAGGGAGGTTTGGGAAAGTTGCATAGTCTTCATAATTTCAAACTACAGAATCAGGAATCTTCTGCTGGGATGAAATAACTATTCAGTGCCTCCTGGTCCATAGTGCTTATCTAGTTATAGTCAGTCGGTAATGTAAAAGCATATTTTATGCTTGATCATTATGCTACTTAATATTCAAAAGTAGTGTATAATTTTATATTTCTCTCAATATATGTAACTTTACGTACCATTGATTAAATTTTTATTTCTTTTAGGAAACTCTCATTGATTATTGGAAACCGAAAGCAAAATGATAAAAAAGTTTGAGAACCAGTTTAAGTTTTAGGGACAATGTGCCTTAAATATATTTTCAGCGACATCGTATTTCCCAATAGCGGTGATGTACATATATTTAAAATCTACTGGTTTTCTATGCAATAAGATACTGTATTTTACTCCCTTCGAATACGTCTTTTACTTATTGTTGCTATACCGTCAGAAAGTGTATACACCGACTCCATTGTGATCGATTCTGAGCCATGTCACCAAGAGTCTCCAACCATTGGTTACGATAGTCAGGCGGACCCCAACCAAGTAGTCTGCATCTACCAACATGGCTCAGACTAGAAGTTAGTGTCTTCAAGCACTGATGCCACGTTTTGGTTTGGCCGCCCCTAACTTTCTTCCAACCATCTCCAATACCGGTTAGCATTGCACGTCGTGGTAGTCGGTGTTCAGGCATACGTAACACGTGGCCCAACCATCTCAGTCGATGAAGATTCATAACCTCATCAACTGATTTACCATCATTGTTGTTCAGATACATACGTTGTAGAGATTATTGATTTTTACCGAGATTACCAGCCGACCTATGAAAACCATTAGAAACCTGAAAGCACTGAATGAACATTTCGCTCTAATATGGGATTGCTTAGGAGTAGGGATGTACGACTTGTAATCTGGAGTTGAATCAAAACTTCAGTCTCGCACGCGAACGCTTAACCTTTAGACTACTGAGCTTCGATGTAAATGATATGCAAGTCATTACGTATGAAGTATATCAAATCATACTTGAATTTAGACAATAATGTATAGTCGTCGCACCCATCTGAAAAGATTGAGGCCACTACTAAGAGTATTAGTCATTTCGAAGGATACTGGAGCCTTTGTGAACTAATTAATGCAAATTGCTGGAGTATTTCATTGAAATCATGAACCAATCTGAGTTATACAACCATTGAAAACCTGGAAGCACTTGATGGCCGTTTCGTCCCGGTATGGGACTCGTCAACAGTGTTGAATTGTTAATCAAATTACTGTGATTAATCAGTTCTAAGGTAAGCAGCTATTTAGTATGTATGTGTTAACTACATTTACCAATTCAATATTTCAAGAGGCTAATATTGAAACTAAAACAAATGAATAGTGTAATGTGCACATTGTTGCACCCCTAGTATCCTAAACCGTTTAAATAAAGTGCGTGAATGAATAGATTTTGTTCAACCTCCACATTGAATACTTTGTGGATGCCCGTTCGCATGCTAAGCGAGCGAGAGCCATAACAAAGCAATTTTGACACGTATGGAAGATGGCTGGGAAGCCAACTCCCTTTTAATTAAGTGTTACTCAGTATTTATAGGCAGACAAAATAAACTACAGACATGTGATGAATCATGGGACATGAAGTGTACACACATATACGCTCATGTGAAAACAGTCGAGGCTAATAATTGACAAGGTCAAAATATGGCTCAAGTAAAATGAATAAGATAGGATGTCCGGAAGTTAGAATAAGGTATATGGGCTTGCCATAATAACTGACACTACAACTTACAGATCACTTTCGCCCGAACTGCTTTTAACCAAAAGCTTATGTATCGTGTGAAAGTAAGCTGGGATTGAGCAAGGACAGACATGTCCGGCTACACTGAACATATTTGTTTATAAAACGTTTATTTCAATAACTTGTTTTGTTGATTGCATTGAGCTATTTTTCAATAAACTGTTGTTCAAGCCTATATCTGGTTCTTGATCATTGATTGGTTAATTGATTCGAGTGTATCATTTGACTAGATATCATGTTCTAGTGGGCAATCTAATTTTTACCCATACTGATTTGATTATCCATTATCAAATGTTGTGTAGAATTGTCAATCATACCCATTTTTTATTGTCTTTGCACAGCTGTTGGTTCTAATAAATATAGGTTCATATAAACTTATCCCTTAAATAAACTACCCAATTCATTCAATACATATTCCTCTTCATTTTCAATTCTAGTTATCCTTGATGAATACCTTTTATCTTTACAAACCAAATTCTCAAGGTTTAATTTGTTTATCGTTTCTATTACATGATTTCGATTTTTTTTGTTGTTTTCATCACACCGTGTTATTCTGATATACAACTTAGGTCAACTAACATTTTTCTCAAACTCTAGATTGATGAATTCACATGGTATTGTTTTACTTGTATCTTCCCATTGATGTTTAAGACTGCAATTGATCAGTCTGTTATTGGCATATGTGCATACTGTGTGTATGCCTCGATATTGTTTTAATTCACAAGCTTTTATAAGCAGAGATGGATAGTGGCTAGCAGTGGGATCCAGGACGCGCGTTTCGTCCCATTTGGGACTCGTCAGCTGGATGTACCTGCATCTCAGAGCTGATGTTCACCCTGGGACTCGAACTCAGTACTATTCATTTCAAACACTATCGCATTATCCATTCAGCTACTGAGTCCTGATTAATAATATCTATCTTAAATCAAGACTGGGATAAATTTTTGATTTGTTGTATATTTAAGTCCTGAGTTATCGGTATGCATTATTTCATTTTATTTATAAATAATGCTAAACCTATTTAATATCAGCGGTAATGTAAAGAATCCCAAAACAAATAAAAAATAGCACGGGGGGGGGTAATCAAAAATAGTTTACACAAAAAAAACTAAAAAAGAAGTTAAATGAACACCTTGGAATTAATTTTCTTGAGACAGAAAAAAATCACGTAAGTAACAAAGCACAATTTACAATAAGATACTTCAAACATTTGTTAGAGAGAGAAAAAAAGGAAGGGGGGAGAATATAATTTGAAGGGGAAGATTGTGTTAGAAAAAAAGTGATTTTGAATAGAATATATTTTACAAAAATGGCTTGTTTTTTTCTTTTGTTACTATTATACTGTTTGGTGTGGTTAAATGAGAAAGCAAATAAGACCTTGACTAGGTATATCGAGAGACATATTCAACAATGGAATTTCTCGTGGTTCGAGCACAGCTTTAGAGAAGAAAAAATACTCAAAATAAATGCAATACTGTGATGATAGGTTGTTGTTGTTTTCTTTCTTTGTTTACCTTTTTCATTATTACTTTCGATTCATTGGTTTAGCTTTCTGGAAACAATTGTGAAAGATTGATATGTAATATAAGGAAGAAAGAATATAGCATTCAAATAGAAGGTAAAAATCTGATGATATGTGCTGAACGATACATTATTCAATATTAAAAATTGAGATATTGAGCCTTATTTGACAATTTCAGCTAGACACATTCATCTGTATTTATAATTAATCATGTTAATTACCATTACGATTGATGGACTTAATCATCCAAGCTGTTGGTTGGTTAACAGTTTCTTGTACACAAACAAAAAGTGTAATAATGTTGAATTGGGGAAGAAATAATTAGGTACATACATTTTAGATTAAGATATGCAGTAGCAGTTTCATTCGAACGTTACTATATAATTATTGTAAACGCTTAATCGTATAATTGTTCCTACCAGTTCAGTCGGTGGTAAATTAGTCAGTCGTTAGTGAAGAAACTATCAGTTTGCTATAACACGAAATGAGCCATAAATCTATGTTTAGTTCGGCTGAAATTTTCTATTTCCAACTAGCACCAGTTCCGCTTATTTTTCAGATAACCGTTCAAATAATTATCACTTACTAGTGAGTGACCGGTCTTGACCGATAAATTAATTTTAAGATGTCATTTAATAAAGAGATAGTTAGAACGGATGATTTTTGTAGATCTAGTCGATTCTTATAGTGGTGTTGTGTTCTGTGAGCTCAATGTAGGTGTCATTACCAAGGTTTGATTTGATAATTTCGAATAAATTGAGCATTGGGTTGATTGTTATAAATAAAAATAATATATTTGTAATATCCCAATGAATAGAAAATTGGATTTTCTGACGTTTCGTGACTTAGTGTAAGTCACTTCTTCAGAGAATAAATAACCAAATTAAATTAATCCAAGTTTAAATAGTACAACGGAACAATTTAATTTGGTTATTTATTCTCTGAAGAATTGACTTACACTAAGTCACGAAACGTCAGAAAATCCAATTTTCTATTCATTGGGATATTACATGTATATTATTTTTATTTATTGTGAGCTCAATGGTTTAATTAGAGGACTTTTATCATCTTTCTAGACAACATTATCAGTGCCTACTCCACGAAGATCTACAATTAAGCCATTTAGCTCAAAGAGGCTCGATTATAAATTATTTGTCTTTACGAAATGTAATAACACTTGGGAATCGCTCTGTTACATAATACAGACATAATAAGCTGTAAATAAAGCAGATCTCAGTTTACATATCTTTTTCTTAGAAAGATAACCGCATATATACCTTAAATCCGCGTACATTATAGATTAGTTTGCCAAATACCACTTACAAGTCATTTTTGACTCGCATAGCTGATTGGACAACTATATATAGGTAGTGTGTCTACTTGAGTCCATATTACTTTTGGAGCCATGATTTTTACTGTGCTTTTTATTTGGCATGTTGGGATGCGCCATATCAGCATGCTCATAGTCAGTCAAACACAACGTAGAAACTGGTACATTTATACATCAGTCTAAGTTGCTACACTCTATTAGCACAGTGAGATAGAATTGTCAGAAGTCTGAGAGTAGTAGAGGTAGTGAGTGTTCTCAGTAATAGAAGAGATCGGACATCAAATGTATGGTTCGAGAAAGTATACACTAGCGGAGTTGAAAAAGTTTATAAGAAATTAAGAAGCTTCGTATCTAAGAGAAAACAAACATCAAATGCATCTTCGCCACTACGAACTGTTTTGAGTTGTGTCACTCAAATCATTGTTTGCCGTAATCACTTGTAATCCAACCAGTCAGTCTGAACTTACCGATATCGCTCAGTTCAACAGTCTATGTATTCATGAGCCAATATATATTGGCTTGGTCGTTCCTACCATTTTCTTAACCTGCTCTTACATCGATCATCATCGCCCGCTGAGTTATTCAGTCGATAAAATCTCACTACTTCATCCTTATATAGTATTCTGCGTCTAACTTTGGGAATATTAACGCGATATAATTCATTGTAGATAGGTGTAAGTAACTTCAGATTCTTGAAATGAAATGTTCAGTGGAAACTATTGTGAAATGCAACATTCACCCACTAGATGAAGCGAAAGTGCTGGGTACCAGTCAGTCAGTCAGTAACAACTTAGAACTTCGTACGTACGTACATCAGTTCGAGTTGCCACACCACATTAGCACAGAGATGCACTTGTCGATTCGAATCCCGTAGTGGTAGAGGTAGCAAGAGTATAAGCAGTAATCGGGAAAATTAGGGTTTGGAGATGTTATTTAAAGAGTATAATCCAGTGAAATAAATTTGGAAAGAGGAAAAAAGGGACATAAAGAATTCAGAAGATTAGAATTTGGGCGAACACAAAGAGTGGATGCACCTGCGCCATTGCAAACAATTTTGAGCCATGTCATTCAGGGTCTCTAACTATCGGTTGTTATCATCTCGTGGTCCCCAACCAGGTAGTCTACACCTACCAACATGACTCAGTCTACTTGTCAGTGACTTCATGGACTTGTGCCATGTTTTGGTTTGGCCGCCCCTAGCTTTCTTCCAACCTACTCCTATACCACTGAACATCACTCGTCGAGGCAGTCGGTGGTTGGGCATACGTAACACGTGTCCCAGCCGTCTCTATTGATGAAGTTTCACTACTTCATCAATTGATTTGCCATCCTTACCTAGTACCCGTCTCCTAACAACTGTGTTACTTACTCGATGGTCCCAGGATATACGAGCAATCTTTCGAAGACACCTGTGATCGAATACTAGTAACCTACGAATATCCTCTACTCTTACCGGCCATATTTCACTGCCATAAAGTAGGACGGAACGAACTGCTGCGCAGTAAACACGTCCTTTGGTTGATAGACGGATATCTCGCCTACGCCATAAATGACGCAATCTGGCAAAAGCTAGTCGAGACTTCTGTATCCGTGCTGAGATTTCGTCACACACCAGACCACAAGGGCTGATGAGACTTCCAAGATAAGTGAAGCGGTCGACACACTCAACTACTTCACTCCCTATCACTAGTTCGGGTGTCGATGTAACCCAATCCTGAAGCAACATTTTGCATTTCGAGGGAGAGAATCGCATCCCGAACATGCTTGCATTGTTGCTTAGAGTGGTCAGAAGACTCTGCATTTTGTCAGCGTCTTCACCAAATAAAACTATGTCATCAGCATATTCTAAGTCAACAAGTGAACCTCCCGGTAGAAGTTCAACCCCTGGAAATTTAGATGAGGAGAGTGTTATCTCTAAAGGTACGTCGACCACAAAGTTGAACAAGAATGGGGAGAGTGGACAGCCCTGACGAACACCACTTGAAGTAATCAATCCTGATGACAGCTCGCCATAAGCTCTCACTCTACCAGTTGTGTTCGAGTAGAGAGCCTGTATAAGGTTAATGTATTTCTTTGGTACTCCTTTCAGTGACAAACACTGCCATAGAACCTCACGATCAACAGAGTCGAATGCCGCCTTAAGGTCGAGAAATACTACCATTGTGGGGCGTCTGAACGTGTGTCTGCGTTCTAGAACCTGACGTAGTGTGAATATGTGGTCTATACAACCACGTCCAGGTCGAAAACCAGCCTGATTTTCTCTAGTCTGCTCTTCACGAGCTTTGATTAGGCGTCGAAGTATTATTGAAGCTAATATTTTAGACACTATATTAGTCAAACTGATTCCTCTGTGATTGTCACAAGAGGACTTTTGTCCTTTCTTATAGACTGGCACAATCAGTGATTGAGACCAGTCAGATGGGATTACGTCCAGTTCCCAAATTCTACCTAAGACCTCGGTTAATCTCATTGCTAATACTGGACCACCATCCTTAAAAATCTCAGGAGTAAACCTGTCAGGGCCTGCTGCTCTCCCTCGTTTCAGATTTCCTATGGCTTTTTCAACTTCGTAAAGGGACGGAGGACTTACATTAACTTGCCATTCAGGTTGACTAGAGATCGTGGGAAACCGAAGTGTGGCTGAAGCCCAGCTGGGTACCACTGTTATGGAAGATTGAGAAATGGATAGATGACCTCAAACAATTTATTATTATCTCAGTGTACTACATAGTACTTCCAAATTTTTTTTGCATGATTGAGCAGTTACTAAGATATATAAGTAGAATATGTCGATGTATAATAGTGATTTCATTTATCATTTTCTTAAGTTAAAGACACCAGTGGTAGATTTTTTAAATGCAAATTTCGCAATAATATTTGTTAGACAGACTTTGTGTGATGTGAATATCAACGTAGCTTAACAAATGCTTACTATTAAATACTCAATTAACAGCTTATTTCACCTTTAGACAAAATAGTACACAAACTTGGTCATCTTCCTAAGTACATAATGGGTTATTTTCTTCTAAAAATGGTAATAATTGTGAGTGGATTTTAGGTATAAAGGGAATGGTCAACGCCCAATTTAGGTGAGTCAGCATATGTGAAATTGAATGGTGGATCAATTTGTTTGGATAAATCGCAACCGATAGTTGTTTTGCTAATGTTTTTGAAATATAGGAAATATTTATGAACTAGTAAGACCATAAAACAGTATTGATCTAGAGCTAACGTCAAGGTTATCAATTATAACGAAAGTGGTTGTGTTTATCAGTCATCTGCTGGATAATTTGACTTCAATGATGCTAATGTATGTGAATCATCTGAATGGTGAAAGTGTTTTAGATTATTTATGCCGTCAAGAATTGCTGAGTTCATTGCTCGTTTGTCAGTCGGATACAATTTTAACGTTCATTATTTTAAATGTGAGACAATATACTATCATTTCATTGAATGATGTATTTGACTCATTGAAGTCTATGTTTTCATATGATAAAAATCATGAAATGACCTTGTCCACTATGGAAAAACACGCCTCATTGAATCTAAGCATTATATACATGTTCCAACTAGATCTTTGAGAAACAACAGTGGATGAACATACAGAGTCATTGAATATTGACACCGCTTAAAAATCTATCTTGACATTTGTATGACACAAGTGTTCGTTCAAGTTAGAAAATATTGGCAGTTGCACTCTTGGTGTAATTATCACCCATTATCATTAGTATTATTGTCTTAAATCAATTGATCAATAAGAATAGCGAAGCCTGCAGTAACTATTTCATTCATTGATATAAAGAACTTCGAATAAGAAGTTATAAAAGAAATGTGGAATATATAAGATTTTATAAATTAGTAATATTGTAGAACTCACTTGAACAAATCTATTTGGTTGACTTTCAATTTTCTGGAAGAAAACAAAGTATATCTCAAATAAATTTAATATATGAAGACAAGCAGTCACAGTAAGTCCTGAATCTTTTGGATCCAATCCTGATCGCTCAATGATGAGGATCAATCCGTGTTGTAAAATATACATTTCCACAAATCTTTATACTAATTTTAAATGAGTTAGTCTTACCAATGTTTAGTAAACATAATAATCGTTACTATGTTAGAAAAAAAAATTAAAAATGCACCACATGAAAATGAAGGCAAGCTAGCTTAACTCTATGCATACTACTTAATTTCAAATGAATTATAAGAGAGAAAAAAAATACACTATAGTCAACATATATGATCATACACATGACCGGTTCTATTCATTTACATAGGCATTAATCAAATGCATTTCTATTGATCAAGGTCAATGAAATCTAGATGTATTATGATTTGTTTCACTTCATTTCTAATTCATAGAAACAATGTGTAAAATAATGTAATGAGATTCTCACTATACCATAAACGAAGATTATTAAAGTGTAAATTACGATGAATAACGTAATGAATTATCATGTTCTATGTAGTATTCAATGAATCTACATATTCGCCAAACTACAGTTGAAACGAAAGTGTACTGAATTTGTAACCCTATTTGATCTTAAATTTGAAACGGATGCTCCCCTAAGTCGGTATGAACAGTTGGATTGTTGTCAATAACTTTATGATGTTCTCTAGTGCATCGGTTTTTTTCGTAGTTGCTGAGTTAGGCTGACTGAGAAATTTATAGCTCAGGCAGTATTGTATTCTATGAGTTAAACAATTTTTAGTTGCGAAGTATTCATTCCAACATTAACTAAGGTTTACTAATAGTATAGAGAAGTATAGAGATTGTCAAAACTTATGATCCTCATCAAGAAGTGAACTAAATCATATGATCTCTGTAAGCCAGGAAGTAATGAATGGTTATTTTGATTTAGTCTAATGCATATTCATGAACTCACCGGCGGTGAAAGTCAGGTGATCGTACGATATCGTCAATTGATTGAAATTAGGCGCACAAACCACTGGTAAGGTCTATTCAATAACACATAGTAAAGCTTGGTTCAGTGAGGCAGCAAGTAATATGTTAGACGTAGAGCGGTTGTTAAGTGGTTAGAAAGATTTAGTGTTCGACGATTAAATTGTACCATTTGGATACTGCACCTACCTTGGATTATTTAAGTGGTCAGTATCACTAAGTGTTATACAAAAAGTTGATCTTATAGCCAGTTTCTGAATCTACGATTTATTAGTAAATGTATGCGAAACGTTCGGAACAAAAGGAATAATTTTATAGAATACCTAAAGTCATGTCCAGTATTACTCGTTTTGATCAATATAGTGTTGTGGAGATTACTAAGTTTTTGGTTGAGATCATGAACCGATTGATATTAGAACTAATCTGTGTCGGATAGAGACAAGTATCTACCTCAGTACAATGGAAGATGGTCGCGCAATTTCGTGGATTAGTTGAGGTTAGAGATTAACACCGTTGGATGCCGGCTCAGTGGTCTCGAGGTTAAGCGTTCACGCGCGAGACTGAAGGCCTTGGGTTCGAGTCACACGAGCGGAGTCGTGGATGCGCACAATAGGACGAAACGGCCGTCCAGTGCTTCCAGGTTTTCAATGATGGTCTAACATCAATAGGTTCACGATCTCAATCAAATTCCTTGTTTTTATTGAATTACATATAATTCACAAATTTTAGACTACACTACTTATTAAACAACTGGACTATAAGAAATTAGGCTATTTGATTTAACAGGTAAAACCTTATACTGTAAATCATGATAAGACAAATAAAATTTTAATATCAAGTGACTTATATCAACAGGGGAATTTGCTAGAGTTCATAAATGGAGAAATTTTAACCCTGAAGATAGAAACTAGACTATAGTCTACATAATTTTCAAGTATTTATGACTTTTTTACATCATCTTATAAATCCAGTCAAATTAATCAATATCCTCAGAATGAATTCCGAAGATTATCAAACTTTTAGTTGTAATCATTACTAATTGATAAGTTCTTCTGGTATCGATTTATTCTAATATGTAATCTGTTGAAACTTCACTGGCTTTTGTTAAACCATGCTGAATAGTTGATTGGTAAAGGCTTTGATAAGTACCAACTAGCTATGAAACTATCTATCGATCACTTCTGACTATCAAACATCACATCGATACAAAGATGGATAGTGGCTAACAGCATTTCGTCACCAGTAGCTACTATCCATCTTTGTTTATAATGCTTGTGAATTAAGGCCAATAACAGACTGATCAAGTACAGTCTTAAACATCAATGGGAAGATTTAAGTAAACAACAATACCAAGTGAATCATATTGGTACTTTCTAACAATGAATATTGTATCTACACACACTATAAAACTAAAAATTAACGCACAAGTTGTAAAATAAACTCTAAAACCATTTTTTGTTTACTAACTTCAATTTAACCTAACCCAAATTGAAATTAAACACAATAAAGATAACAAACTGTTATACAAAGGGGAAAAACTGAAAAGATGACAAAACTAGTTTACTATTTTAAACAAACAAATTGATCATCATTAGCGAATAGAAACAATTAAACTAGTCATATCTTCAAATAAATTAATATCCACCCCTCTCAATGGAGAATAAATAATTTTCTGTTTTTTTTTTAGTAATTTTCAATTTTCATTCCTTTTTTTGTTTGTTTGTTTTGTTTTACTGAAAAATTTATGAACCTAAAGATAAATGATTCGTTTAGCTGACTGGTTTCAAAGAACATACATGGTAATATTGATTATTATGTTTAGAAAAACAAACAAACAAACAAACGAAAAGTTACTTTTGTCAAAATAAATCATTTTAATAGTTGAGATCATGAGTCACTTGAAGCTAGATGATCACCATGGAAAACCTGGAAGCACTGAACGGCTGCTTCGTCCCATTGTGGGACTTCTCAGCAGTGAGTATTCACGATCCTGCCCCGTGAGATTACAACCCAGGATCTATCAGTTTCGACATAGGAAATAATAATAGTGTAGTGTTGGTTACTATGTTAAGCCTATATAACTTATTCTAGCTTCTGGATAGGCCAATTTACTTATTCTTCTTGAGTCACGTTTTGACCTTGTTAATTATTCATTTATCAATCTTGACTGTTCTTATAGGGGAGTTTGTGTGTGTACACTTCTTACCCCATTCATCACATGTCTGTAGCTTATTTTGTGTGACTATAAATATTGAGTTACACTTGATTAAATGGAGTTAGCTCACATGCTTTCTCCAGTGCGCGCCATCTCGCTTCGCTCTCTTTTAATCGCTTCATTCCTCTGATTGTCTGTCCAGATCAATGAGTGTACAAAATGTACGTATTCAAACATCCATTCTCATATTTGAGTTATTTTATTTCGTTGTTCACCAACGCGATTTAAGTCGATGATTATGTACAAGGCTTGGTGATACGTATATTTCAATAACAATCATCCCTACAATACAATTGGGGTCAGATAAAGGGCCACTAAAATAGTATTAAGTCTAGTAACAAAAATTAATCTTCATTTAGTTTTCATGCAAATCAATTCTATCATTTGAATCAAACGTTTATTCATTGTGTTCAAGGAAGTAAGTTAGAAGTACACAATCTATTCTGAGTAACTTTGGCTTTGATAATCAGTTGGTATCACTAACCTCTTTATAAAATAAACTGTACTTCAAACATGAGTACATGAAATTTTGAATATTTATCGAGTTAGAATAGTAGCATTAAAACATATTCCTATTTATAATGTTACCGGATATATAACTATGTGAACTCATCAGGTCCCAACTAAGATAAATGTGATGGATGGTGGCTAAGAATGGAATTCAGGACACGTGTTTCATCCTATTTGGGACTCAATAAGAAGATTCAAACAACCGATATAAAAATGAATTAAGACTAATGTGATTACAAGTTCTTGAATATTAGAATAATTGATGGGTGGAGGATATAAAAGATGTTCAATTTTTAGTCAGTTTTCCTCACAAAGTAGTACATGCTGGAGAACAATTAAAGCACGAGGAATTGGGATAAATCGGGTTCAATCACATTAGAAGTTAAACACATGTCATCACTCTCGTTAATACAAATCTACTGACGTAATATGGATGATTATGTGGAATACTGCTTTTTGATCCACTGATTTAATTGTATCGTGCTCATGGCGAGGACACAAGGTCGTGAATTCATAAAACCAGGGAGTTCCAAAATTTATAGTGAATCAGCTATTAAGTTACCTTTTGTTTTCAATCGTTTCCAGGTAGTAATAACTCCGTGACAATTACTAACTTCGAATTGTTAATTTCTATAAATTATAAGTGTTTTGAGTGTAACTAACCATAGCTAGATTTACAGTATCATACTGATTCATGTGCACAGAGTTGATAACTAATTTTAATGTACTAGATTGACAAACTACGTCCTCTTGCTACAATGATGATTTGATTTTGAAGAAAGTGTTGGGATTCGAGAAGAAAATGTTGGTGAGTTTCAGAATTATTATGAAATAAAATGGAGTAGTCATATCTTTAATTTTCATAGCATTTCATAAGCATAGCCAAATTGACACTTGGTTGGTAAGTAATTCGGTTAAACAATTTAGTTGTTAAATAGTTCGGAAACAAACTGTTCGAATGTTGTTCTTATATCACTTTCTTTATTGGCTGTTATCACATACCCACCAACATTTATCAGTTAACTAAGTGTTCGACGTTTACTATAGTTAGTTCTTGTACTTTCTCTATAAGGGATAGAAAGTTTCAGGTTGTCAAATTAGTACTTATTGTTACATTTGCAAGGTAAACGTCAAACACAGTTGAAAATAAACTTTTTTTAATTTCCATTTTTCTTTCAGATAAAATTGTAAGCCTTTGATAACGTTGTCAACCCTGAGGAATATTGAGAAAATCTGTCATCATGACCTTGATATCTGAAGATTCAAACTTTAAGCAATAAGAAAGTTTTTAATGGCACGTAAACCAAAATAATAATATCTAGCTGCTATGATCTATGTGACTAAAGCTTTTAAGCACCTCCTTCAAACGTTACACAATAAATAGTGTTCTCCAGTGACTTTAACATGCATTTTTTGAATATGCTTCGCGACCTAAAGAGTTCAACTAGCTTCAAGGTAAATAGCATGATTTTACTTAGAAACTGGTGGTCGAAATGCACAAATTAATAACTTCCAAAGGTATGAGTTAGGCAACAAATACAAGGTAGAGAAGAATCACCATAAAAATTGAATTCAAATTTGCCTCCTACACTATTGATTTGAACATTGTAAAATAATGAGTATCTTGACAAAAGTATGTCACTAGTTTTTAACAGAACAGATCATCAGTATCTATGAAAATCAAACTTACAGTGTTGGGAAATGATGATGAAAATTTAAATAAATTTTCAGATGGGATAAGCTTCTTCATAAACTGATCTGTTTTCATTTTTTGTTTAGTTCTTTTCATTGGACGAGCAGTTTGAATAATCTTTTAACAGAACATACAAAAAGGAATAACGAAGACATTTTGCTTGTAAAAATTAACAAACTGTTATTGATACAAATAATGATGAATGTGTAAATAACACCTGAATTGTTAACAGATATATATAACTAGGGGAGATTTTCAAATGCGATAGTTTGGTAATATAGTTATGACGATTCATAAAGACAATTTTTTTAATTCACTCTTTATCCTCAAGGATCAGGCGAATGTTCTAATGACACAACAGATGACAAATTATTTCATCTTCGATAGAAATGGTTATCCACTTAGATTTATCGATAAGAACTCAACAACTAGACTACATCCCGAAAAAGCACCAACGGTGCAAAAGAAAACTCTTTTTATGAATATGGAATTTAAGGAAGATATGGCTGCCGAACTCCTGGATAAACGGATTGCAAGATCCCTGAATGAAACTTTCTACTCAGCTAAACTCAGTATTGTCTTCTCAAGCCGGCGCACCATTCACGGATGTGTTAAGGATGAACTTCCGCTTTGGGTTACATAGATGTATATCTGTCAGTTTACTTGTATCTACGGGGCAGGATACATTGGCCTCACAAGATTATCACTTCCTAAACGCATCTCATAACATTACCCAACTTGGCTTTAAAAGGCGAATGCAAGATAGCCACCAGTTCAATACAGGAGCATCTTGTCTACTTTGAACATTTTACTCTGAAAGAGTCTTCCTTTAAAATGATCTACATAATCAAAGGAGCTAGAACGAAGGGAGGTCGAATAAGAAAACTTATGCACTACTGAGACGTTTGTGACCCAACAATTTAAGTCCGAACTCTGAGTACAAAAATGATACGTCCAATCTATAATCGTTCTTTTGCCCTAATTCTTTCCTGTAGTATGTTTTGTAATTTCAAACCGTAATCAGTTATTATTATAACCTTTTTCTTCATATATGTCAAGCAGACAATTAACTTTCATAATTCTGACCCGTAAATTATTTTCATCCTTCTATTCTTCTCTAACACCTGATTATCACGTAACCTCTTTTGACATTTGGAGTCTAGAATCAATTTATGATGCCATTGTTTCTATCCTTCTATAGACATATATTTACCACACAACTATAGATACGAATGTACAACTCCAGTAAATGATTTCGTTGAAAAGAAAATTTTCTTCACTGAATTCTCTTTATTTTTATTTGATGACACAATGGACTGTTTTAATTGTATCACTGTACAGTATTGGGATCTTAACTCTGTCTGTTTATATGTTAATTCAAATTGAATTTGAGTGTGCTCGATTGATAATCAGTTCCATAACAGAATAACAACATGATACTAAGCTAAATATTATCACTATATAAAATGACATATTAAACTTACGGAATTTTCTGTCCATATTGAAGTATCTGGATTACTAGATGAAGGTTGTTGGAGGTTCGATGATTTATTTGAATGAATCGATTTTAAATGTGAATGAGAATCAGAATTTGTAATACATTGTGGTTGTTTTCGTTCACTTGTAGATTCTTTCAAAAAAGGCGCAGAGAATTTATGAAATGTAGACAATAAATTAGATTGAATTAATTTTGTTTTGCAATCAATAGAAGAACAATAGTCATTTTCTACAAAATTATTCTCTTTTGAATACATTATTGAATTGAACTGGTGGTTCATGTTTATAGTTTGTGGATTATATAACAGATTCAATGGAGGTTGTTCGTAGGATGAAAGCTAAGCAAATAAAAAAACAGATTATATATATATATATATATATATATATATATATATATATATAAACTCCTCCTGGAGCCCCTCTGTCAGTCAGTCAGTTACAACGTAGGACAAGGCACATATATGCATCGGTCTAAGTTGCCGTACCTCATTAACACAACAAGATGGACACCGGATTCATAAAAGTAGTTAATTCAGAGGTGGTAATGTATAAAAGAAAGATTGTATATATGAACATAGTACAGGAAGAAAGAATTAGTTCGTAGAAAGAAAGATATGAAGTGATTTTAATCTCTTAGTTTAAGGAAAGACAGAGAGTGTATACACCGACTCCATTGTGATTGATTCTGAGCCATGTCACCAAGAGTCTCTAACCATTGGTTACGATAGTCGCGCGGACCCCAACCAAGTAGTCTGCATCTCCCAACATGGCTCAGACTAGAAGTTAGTGATTTCAAGTACTGATGCCATGTTTTGGTTTGGCTGCCCTTAACTTTTTTCCAGCCATCTCCAACACCGGTTAGCATTGTACGTCGTGGTAATCGGTGTTCAGGCCCCTCTATGGCTACTGCCGGTCCCAAGCCGGGATAAAGGAGGAGAGTTGGGCATGGGGTTAGCGACCCCATCCCGTAGAAAACTAACTCGCAAAAAACCGCTAACCAGAATATATATAAATCAATCGTCAAGACCATTAGCAGATGAGTGTCTATTGTACGAAACTATAATAACCAATGATTACTAAGAGTTGGAAGTTTATAATGCCGGCTGACCCAGTGTTTCAACTGATCAAGTATCCACCATGAGACCTGAAGCTCCTGAGTTAGATCTTCGTCAGGGTTGTACGGGTACATTACTAAGGAGTCCCGTGCTAGAACGAAAGATCTGTCGAGTACCCGCAGAGTTTTAATACTATCCTAACTTGGATCATTCTGTACTAAGTACAACCTATGGATTATAGAAAGTGATAGTGATAAAGGTATACTCCACCCTAAATATCCATCCAGAACACAGAGAAATACAAACTTGAAATAATGAAAATTAAGTTATAAAACATGTATTGATTCTTATGATGCTATTTATGTTAATATATTGATACTCTATTTTGTTGCTCTATTTAGAAGAACATTTTAAGCTTATATCGGCACAATAGTTGTGTATCCAGTCAGACGTATTTAATGAGTCTAACAAAACTCCTACTCAATATTTGACTACAGGTTAGTTTAATTTAGAGGAATTTGCCTAACTTCATTATTCATAGAAGTTATTACCATCAATAATCACCCTAATCAAAAAGTTTATGAAATTCAATATTTTTTATCGAGGGAGATAAATGGATATCTGTCAAGGCATGTATTCCGATTAAGAAAATATGTGCATTCCTGATGTTTAACCGAGTAAAATATATAAATGGAGAAGATGAACGAAAATTGTGTTGGAAACAGTAGTGATAAAATGTTTAATGAGAATACTTACTATTCAGATATGTCTTTTTTCAAATAGTTAGACTGAATCAAGGACTATGTGTCTTTACCCTAGATCAAGAATATGCCTTACCGTGTTGTAAATACATCCATATAAGGTTTTCAAGTCCGAATAATTCTCACCTAAAAAGATCGAATAATTTTAAGTTGTTTTTTTAATGGTTGAGATCATGAGTCAATTAAAGCTAGACCACCATAGAAAACCTGGAAGCACTAAAAGGCCGTTTCGTCTTTAAATCGCATCATCTGAAGTCACAGTGAGATACATTAACATTTAGTCATTTGAGCGGTGGATGATATAGCCTCGAACAGTACAAGGAGCAACAGTTACTCCGTGATTGCTGATGAGATTAAACTGTCACAAAACCCAAATTCAGATATTCTCAATGATCTCCTTTCGACCATCTTATGCAAAAAGGGAACCGCAAAGTCAAGTCACCTAGGCCAGTTATCATGCGACAGTTTGATCAACAGGATTTGATTAACAGTAAGCACTCGATGGTGTAATTCCGTTGCTACGCGTTTAAGATGGTTTCTTATCTATAACTTTAATTCATGTTGACATATCGTAGGAACAAATTTTTTACATATTTATAAATATGAAAGTTTAATACTGATCTTACTGATACTGTATCCGCTGAACGTGGATCATAACTACTCAATTTGCCACAATTATCAGACAATATAGAATTTTGGTCTTGTGCCGTTATCATTGATAATGTTTCTATCTGAGCACCCGACTTGTGAAATAATGTTGGTTTACAAAGTATTTTATTATTCAAGTCATTGGACAACTGGTCACCAGTAATCTGACTGGATTGGATTAATGTACGAGAGCGCAATGAATGCGGATAATCGGTAGATAAAGTAGTGATATTATGACATGATGATTGAGGATTTGAAGATGAACAGATTTTTGGAACATGCATATCATGCATATGATAACGACATTGCAAATCATTCAATGTTGGCCAATTCCATGCTGAATTAATTAATAGCCCACATGGAGATCTATTATGTTATAAGAAATAGATAGTTCAGTTTATAATGTTACAAACTAAAAAATATGTGCTTAAAACATTCAATCATCCCAACATAATGATTATTTAGTTAATTTTGTAAGTCAACAATAAAATAAGATGATAATGTATTTCAGCCACTAAATAGACTCTTTTTTTACTAATAACCTGAGAAACGATATTGTTCTGAGCATCTAAATGGAAAAATTTAATAAAATACTTTTATACGTTCAGTATTATATTTTGTAGTCTTTTTTAGTAAACGTTCAGTATAAACAAGATTTGATCTTATTCATTCACTGTTATTCGACTGTTTTATAAATAACACAACCATTTTGTTCTTTAAAGTCAAGCGTATTAACAATACATAGTTTTAAGATTTCTAAAGAGAGAAAATATAACTATATTAAATGACTGCTGAGTATCTTTTTCATTTTTATGTCAGTTAGGAGGTATACCATAACTAATAGAAAAGCTGATTACATGTGACTTTTTCTTAGGGTAGTTAAGCCGTGACTAGCAGTGGAATTTATAACATACACCTCTTCCCATTTAGCATTCGTCAACCGAATGCAAACAGGTTCATTGCGATGAAATGATAAATTCCAGATAACTCTCATAAGATGCATATATGCCAAGACGTAGTGATCGAAATTTAGTCCTGAATATCACTAACAGTTTACTTCAAAGCCTTTCCAGTGACAGTAGAAATATATATGAGTTTAATATGGATACACATTGACTATACGGATAGCATGATACACAGAATATATCATGTAAAGATCACAAGGTAGGAATTATTGATAAAGATATGAAAAACTGATATCACACAATAATTTAGTATCCCTTTACTAAATATTGTACCTAAAGTCCCTACTATGTAATTGAGAGTTTCTTGTCAAAATTTGATAAAAATAAGTGAATCCAACTAAGTACTATTTAATCAATGTTTAATCTCTCTCATTAACATCGCCATTATATTATTTCAATTCTCTTGTTATTAATCTTGCCAACTTCCCTTCCTCGTCCTGATATATTAAGGCAACTGGGTTTAACGTTTACTTGCGTCAGATTATACGCTATTTATGGCGGACTGACTGAGAGATTGAAGATTTGGTAAACAAGGTTTTGGATTGTTAAGTAAGTGAATATAATACTAACTTACCAATAATACTCAATAATATGATGTAAGTGAGTGACAGCTGATAATAAGACCAGTTTACTGACGTAACTAATCAGTTGCATTGTTATTACAACACAAGACAACTGGCCAATAGAATGGGCTCTTTATATCACAGAATAATTTGTTTTCATTCCGTCTTAATGTAAAATCAAACGTGATCAGGTGTTTTAAATGATTGGACAATATTAGTTTTGAAGCTCCAACACCGTTCAACAAGCTAAAGTTTTGAACGTTGTATCAGTCACTGAACAGGTACAAATTCGTACACATGGCTTTAAGTTGTACACTTTGTGTAAAGAGTAGTAATGCTAGTCAGTTAACAAAATCCGAAGCACGTGTGGTGAAATCCAAAATTGAAATTCAGTGATTGAAATTGAAGTGGCTTATACCAACATAGTACTTCTCAAAGTTTATAGACAATAAATAATTGACATGATAAAAAATAAATTGTTTCAACGTTTCAAATCTTACTTTTTAGGGTAAACAAACCATCCTAAAATTATAACTGTAAGGCAGCTTGGTAATAGGGATATTGCAGCAATACCATATGACCAAGACAATGAGTTCTGATCAAGATCTTCTAACCAAGGATGTTTTGCAGCCTTTTCAATTTTCTGTTCAGTGTCTACTCCTACACCCATTGTGATCAAACTAACTAAAGTTGAAAAACCTGAAAAGAAATGGACAAACATTGTAGGATATAATATATCAAGCAGTAACTTAGTGAATTAAAGTACAACCATTATGAAATTGATCGGCTGTTACATGAAGTCATATTATGAGCAGGAGTTATTGTATGACCCAGTTAATTAGTTATATCTTTTAGTTTTACATGCTTAATTGTATCATATGTTAAGTGTGTATTCATATCGTAAGTTATTGAAAAATGTATGTTAAATGATACTCATTTCTATTGTATGGGGTTGAAACTTGAAGAACTACTACAATCATCATCAAGAATGTACAGGTAATTATAAACCATTGTCAACTCATGATACTCAATGTTCATTGACCGGATACTATTAGCAACAACCTACTGTGGGATAGAACAAATAAACTTCGAGCTGAAAAAAAAATTAGGAAAAGGTGCAGGAGGTAGATAGGGCTGTAGTGGTAAATAAATCCTCAAAATAAATAACTCTGTAAGTATTGACATTGATGCTGACCTCACTAGTTGTACTAGAAACACCCTAGTTGAATGCTCTCGGTTGCGTATCTGCACTAGATCACTAGTATGCCACGCTACACATCCTTTTGAACTACTGGCCAGCTTAGACCAAACGCTTTTCGGCATACTGATAGCTTTCTAAATATATCTTCTAACCCTTCCATTTCTGACTTCTGATTTGACTGGGTTGATTTACCTCTATCATAAAGGTGTTACATGTAAAGACGTTCTCAAACTCCGAATGCCTATGGGATTCTTTAGGACATACATTGCGAAAATCATCAGACTACATCAAAAGACAAGCCACAATTCGGAGTATTGAAGGCGAAAGGAAAGGAAGGAAACAAGAACACAATGCGCCGGGAATTGCAAGTGGATATCAAAAGAATGAATAGCAACTGGAAACAGTTAGAAAAGAGAGCCTGGTCCGTGGCCTATGCTTTTCCACATGGGGTGACAGAGGTAAATAAGCAATACTCAGTTTAATTAACACAAATCTGGTCGTAATTAAGCCGTGTTAAAAGTTGTATATTTCTACATTATGCTGACTTACTTCAAGAGTCAAATAAATCTGTACCATACGTGTTTTGTTTTTGCTACGCGTTATTTTTGAAGTACTTGTACAGCACGATATTAAAACACTCGCTGGAGATTATCTAGTACTATTTCTGGAGATGTGTTACTGTATTACTTTTCATTAATATACAGTAAAATGCTGACGCTAGTACAATATAGCGGTCAAATGAAATAGCAATCAAGTCATGGCGATTATTGAAAAATCAACAGTCATAGTTTTGGCACATAAAACTGAATCCATAATCCAATAGGGAACTAAACACGTATCAGGAATACTCAGAATTGACTTTCGAACAAATGAAAAAGTAATTCAAACTTACAGTTAACTGATAGAGTCACCATTATACACAAGACTGCACGTGACCCAAAAATGGAGACCAAGCCGAGAACTTGAGTCAAAATAACACATTCTGCCAATATATGGGTTGCAAAACTGCATGTAAAAAAAGCTTGACAGGCAATAAACCAATCTTTAAAGTGGCAAATTTAATTATAAATCAGCCTCATACCTCTGAATATGATCGGCCACAGAGTCAAAATTTTCGTATCAAATAAATAGAAACATCCAAAATACATATAATTTCCAGTTTTCTTCGCCATATAGCCTTCAAAACACACCTCCCAGAGCCCCAGTCTTACAAAACGATTTTGAGACTGAGGATATCTGGCATACCAGTAAGGCATAACCATTGAGACAAAACTACATGTGAAACCGAATGTAGTAAATGTGAAACATGTCCAAAACAAAGGAACTTTGTGATGACCTTCCATCATGTTAAGAGTACTTCAACTCATCAACCCATATCTTAGAAACTGTGAATCATTTACCCACGTTTACTGGATCATAATATATTTCAACAAAATGACAGATTAAAACAATATTAAAAATGAGTATAAATCACAAGAGAACCCGGGGCACTTTACCAATATAATTAATTTTTATAACTCTTATACGTATAGGAGACCACAAATGTCTTCAGATAGGAAGAAATGAGAGTTTAAGTTATTATAAACGTAAAGGAATGATTTTAAATAGTTTAAAGAGAATGATTGCTTATCGGCCACTTCTTGTTGTCTCAGTATGGTTCTGGGTATATTGTGATCTTTAATGCGGGGTATTCTGACCATGGGCTTCAATATTTTCAGTCTTTTCGAAAGTTGTTTGTGGGTTTTTCGATTTCGTATTCGGAGTGCGTTTGTCTCAGGGTAGTGGGGTTCGTAGAACCAAAATTCATGGCATTACCAGGTAGGAGATAGGTTAGCTACAATTTGAGAAACAATTTCAATTCGAGTGGACTAATATATTTTTGTTACCAGAAGCGAATCAATAAATAAATAAATCATTCAAGCAAGTGTTCAGATGGAATTATCAATGCAACAAGTAAACGTATATGATAGTGAATGAGATAGGGAGAATGTGATAATGTGTAGTGGTGATACCGACAGGCATCTGACACCTTGTCAAAACGGGAGATGGCAATCCATGCGTGACTACATCTTTATCAGGTCTCTTCTTGAAACTATCCACTCAGTGGGCTGGGAATTATTAAACTGGGGAGTCACCCCAAATGTGCAGAAATATCACCAAGAAGAACAAGGATGCCGATCAAGGTTTAACCTTTGTGTGAACTTTTTGAGAAGTTACCGGACGAATCACGGTGGTGATACTTTGGTGTGATGTTCCTGTTGAAGTCATTTGGAGTATTGAATATGTTGTGTCATTATCAAGTAAACTATCACTCCTCTTATGTCCTCATAATACCTCAGATGGCGGTAACCCCAGTGATATATACAAGTGGAAGGTATATAAATTATCGTCACACATCAAAGTATTAAATCGTTAAAGAGTTATAGGATGTACGGCATTTGATAATACTTCTTCCCTATCCTATACGGATGAAATAACCTCCAAACTAACAAAACCAGAGGTCGAGAATGGTGGAATAAGAAAATTCACTTGAACTATCGGTTGATAAATTGCTGCGTAATAACTGAGCTGATAATCTTTGGTGGTGTGTTATACAGTTTACCTGGACGTAATTTGTCCGAAAGCCATCAGCTAGTGAATTACTGAGTGAATTTGCAATGGTTATTCTGGAATATTTATAGAACGATTTAATTGGAAGGACTGTTTTCAGCTACAGCTCACTTTCATGTTTTTGTAACTATGCAGACCCGAAAACGCGATCAGCCAGAATTTTAAACTCGTGCTTGTTGTCGGTAAACACTTTTTCGATAATTTGCTACGTCTGTAGTGGCATTGAACAATAACCGCACAATCCACAAAGCTGAACACGAGACTACTCAGAAAATAAATATTCAATACTTAACGCGGATAAATACCTAACGATGGAAAAGGCGCGAACAAGGAATTGAATGGACTGGGTTTGATCGGATGGCATGGCTCGTCCATGCAGGTGTGGTCCATCTCAATGTTACTTTATATCTTCTATTCATATCAAATATATTGTTCTTTCTCTAGCCTAACCTTGTTCTACATCATGTATTGGTAATTGATACGATACAGTGAGTTGGTGTAGTTGATGGTGTGACTTCCACGTAAGATCTTATAGATTAGGCAGTTATATCATGACAAATCTACAAATTTAGGATTAGGTCTATCATAAGGACAGTACTAATATCATGGTAGACCATAAATTCTACATTGGTGAGCCCAACTAAAGAAACGCAACCTATTATTGTTAATCCTTATTTCCACCTACACCTTATCAATCGGATTTTATATTTATGTTAACCCACTATTCTAATAGTCCTTTGATTAATGGTCACATATATTATCGTAATGTTATATCTATTAGTTCATATAACTTACTAGCTCAATCGATAATAAAAGTTCGTCATCTATATCAACTAATTAGCTTTGATGGTTCGTTAACAAGCTTTAATAGCATTTACATGCTTCAGCAACATAGACTTGTTTAAACATCAAGCTCTAGCAAATATGACCTGCAAATAGCGTAAGTATACATTGACTAACAACGCAATCAAGGACTAAATAGTTATCGGGATCTAATTATCAGTGTTCCTTCACCTAACACCTCATCCTGTTTTAAACTATGCACTATCCTGTAATATCTTTTCTTCTGACCACTGCCTGCCTAATTTCATATTTTCGAGTTCCATTGCCAAACAACAAGGATGACACTTCTCCAAAAACATACGGTGAGTTTCAGCTATAAGTTTTCTGCAAACACTTTTAGATGGTTCGTTCAATGACAACCATACAATTATCTGGATTCATTCGATTGTTCTGATCCGAGCGAGTGTAAAAAACCTCAACAGCATCAAGCACCCTGGAGTTAATTGCCACACTGCATGTTTTATTCTGGATGCTTTTGGATCAATACTACTCACGAATGGCGTTATATATGTCGTCCACTGAATAATCTAATTTTCAAAAATAACCCAGGCGAGTTCAACTATTTTACTGGATGATTTTTTTGTACTTAACATGTATATGTTTTTCAGTTGCTTTTGCCATATATTTGTAAGTGTCACTAAGCTAAATGCAGTAACTTATGGAATGTTTATAACGCATCATATTCCTGACTGAAGTTTCACAAGCAGTCTAAACTTTAAAATTATTTTCTGGTCATGTTCATTATTTTTAAATCGTCATATACGTCAACAACCTGCATGTTAACCTGGCCCATACATACGTTACACTATATCTCCATGTCTTCTAAATTTAGAAATCATCTGGATCGCCTTTAACATTTATCAATAAACCCATCATAGTCGTTGTTGCTAATCGTATTTGGGTTTATGGATTGGTTTATCATATTAGCAGCCTGAAATGCGAACATAGTTTAGATTATTAGATTACAAATTTAGATACTATCAACTGCACTAGTCAAATAACTAAATCCCCAGGTAGCTGTTGGCTAAACAAACGTTTAAAATCAAAACTCCGTAGCCTACTAAAATTACCACTAAACGAATATTTCTGAATTGAAAATTATAATGTAATTAGGCGTTTCGGATTCTGTAACACTACAAATTTCTGATAATTTTGAATCACCTAAGCAAAGCAACAATACCTATTTTTCCACTGTCTAATCCTCATTCAACACTATAACTAGTTAAATTTAATAGTTTCAGGATATCGCCATAAAGCATTATCATAACTTGACAATCACGTAATATGATTGATAATATTAATGAAACTAATAACATAACCGGTCATCAAATCGACTTATAATTATCACTAGTGTTGTTTTTCTTTTATCTTCATTAACTACAGATGATTACAGTGTTTCTCTATCAGTTGCTCATTCAGTAAATATCTCGAATCCTTGTCAGTCAAATTGGGGGTTTAGTGACACAATAATGCATGCAAATCATCAGTATAAGCAGTCGAGCAAACCTCCTGCAAACTGAAAACATCAATGTCGCATGTACCCCAACACTGACTAAGGTTCAAGCCGTTTTCATAGACATGCGTTGGGAGTGTACTCCCCTTGGTTACAACTTATGTTCTCCCTGATAATCACATGAGCATCAATCACTATTAATCATCTTGTAAAAACTTATTTAGCTAAATACATCTTGCAGCACCACATCACTTCGTAATATGACCCATAGGCTTGACTGATTTTAATAACTTATGACTACTATATCTCAATTAAATCGTATTCCGCCTTATAATAAACTGCATACTTGCAACTAACTTGTATGCCCAATCAGCCGGCAAGTATAAATACAAATAAATAGTCTGCCGCAGATCAGAACATTGAGTCTAGAGCATGTCTCTTACGAATACACTCATGTTTAACGATTTGTTCCTAGCTATCTGTCCAAAATTCATATAATCATCACTCACGTATTTAAATTTTGTTTTGATGAACATTCATGTGTATTAGTAGTATTACCAAATTCTATCACGGTCAAGTAAAAATGAGGTTGAGAAAATCTCCCCGTAACTAAATAAACCGTATCAAACTAACTGGAACACTAGTTGGAATTCTTTTCCATGGTAATACTTTTGTTCTTCCAGTTAGCCTACTAATACAGATGCAATTGGAATTCAACTCATATGGACAACTTACCGGCATAATTGTTAATTGGTTTCATAATTTAAACCAAAACTAATACCAATATTAACATTTCTACAATATTCATTACTTTAATATTTCTAAACACAAAATACTTACTACCTATACGTCACGTTATTAACCAACGGCTATTAACACGCATTGTTTTATTATTATTACTGTAATCTCATTTTTTATAGCTCAAATAATCTTCACCCAAATTGTCATTTTAAGTGTGTTAAGCATAAAGGCAGATTTTTTAAAAAATTATTACATGTATTTCCCGACCAGATGCTGCCGCCTTCTTTTTGATTTATCTTTCAGCTTATCATTACCCGGGGGATTCTTCCTAGTCTTGGTAACCTTCGGCGCACGACGATCCCATCCAATTCGGTATCGAACCAACATCACGTTGATTCTGGTGGGAGAGTAGTGTAGTGGCATTGAACAATAACCGCACAATCCACAAAGCTGAACACGAGACTACTCAGAAAATAAATATTCAATACTTAACGCGGATAAATACCTAACGATGGAAAAGGCGCGAACAAGGAATTGAATGGACTGGGTTTGATCGGATGGCATGGCTCGTCCATGCAGGTGTGGTCCATCTCAATGTTACTTTATATCTTCTATTCATATTAAATATATTGTTCTTTCTCTAGCCTAACCTTGTTCTACATCATGTATTGGTAATTGATACGATACAGTGAGTTGGTGTAGTTGATGGTGTGACTTCCACGTAAGATCTTATAGATTAGGCAGTTATATCATGACAAATCTACAAATTTAGGATTAGGTCTATCATAAGGACAGTACTAATATCATGGTAGACCATAAATTCTACACGTCTAGCGACTTTTAGTTGTATGTGCCCAAAGTAATAGATTGTGTAAAGATTAAAAACTACAAACCGTTTTGTTATTCTTTACCGATTAGTATGGAAATGTCAACCATCTACAACCAATTTCTATTATGGTTAATTTTGTTTAAACCCTTTTATTACCTTACTTGACAAACAATGTCACTTGTATGGCAACAAATCGTCTGTTTCTTCGAACTGTTATGATCACTAGATTACAGGACAAACTAGCTTAAATGGTGATTGTTTAAATATCACTCAGTGATTCATCCTCCTCCACATATATATTTTTACTCAAATCCTATCATTAGTTTTTCCTTTGCTTTGCTGTGCCCTTATGCGATTTAACTACAAATTTGTTTCTGTATTTGTTAGCACACACATATTCACTACTTTGCTCTAAATTCGCTTGATGTGCTTAAAGCTTTGTTATCTGCGCTGTCCACTAATAAACTGTAGATTGCGCTTTTCATTGTCTTCTGATTTCGAAATCCCACGGTATTTATATTATAACGGTTATCGAGGTGATTGATTAACTAAGCAAAGCTACTACATGGAAAATGAAGAAAAAATGTTACTGATTGTTATATGCAGTTATGCTCATGAAACATGTTTGAGAAAGTAAGGAAAATTGCACATAAAGGTGGGCATATAAACTATGAGACAGAAAACACTTTACACGCAGGCGTTTGCGTTTTTCGTTCTCTCCGAGAAATTGAAATATAGGAGTATATAATAAAATTGAATTACTTTGAACAGAACAAAAATAAACGATGCACCCAAGGTGCTACAGAACGCAGAAAACAACCGAAACGGGAGAAATGAGCAAAAATTGATAACTTACAGTAGTCCCCTGACTATTCTAGCGCTCATATAATTCTGTCAGAACATAACAAAACAGAACCGTCAGCAGTTATTAGCTACTCTTCCCACGGTCTGTGATTAATTGTGATTTCGCTGTGATTCAGAGGACTGTGTCATTAATAGAGAAAAGATCGTTTTTCAAACACAACTTTCAGCTGGTCACGTTCGACATTTTTCGACTTTTCGCTTTCGTTTATAGCATAGCACCTTGGTTCATAATTTTGGAACCTGCTGCGTCCATCAAAGCTCACAGAGAAGGGTCGAAATAATGAATCATGATCTACAAAGTCATGTTCTATACCACAAAAGAAACCGTACGAAAATATCTGATGATCAAGACGTTTTATATACGTGAGTGTTGGTAAAACACTCTCCCGCGTATACATCGTTTATGACAGTAATTATTTGTTTATTCTTAAATGTGTTTCTTCTTAAGTGCCACTCTGACTCGTTTCGTTCTAATGTATCATGTTTATTTCTTTGTTACCAGGGGAAATTGTTGACATTCGTCTTTGTTTCTCAGTATTTCATCATATTTATATATTTTTTACAGATCCTTAGTTTTTCTCTACGTACTATTATGTTCTTCTGGCTCTTGCATTAGCTTGTCGCTTTCTGATCATTCTTGTCGTAATTGCCCAATTTAATTTGCTCCACTTGTGAAGTATAACGTTTTCTGTTCTATGGAAAAACCTATTATTATTGAAAATTTCGTCCCATCATGAATGAGTTAAACTAATCTTTCCATTAGAATAAAAATGCACTCGCTTTTTGAGACGGACATCATTTATCAAAGAAGATTCAATATATGACTTATTGTTTATGGTCGTTCAAGTTGGATTCTGATCATTCAAAATACACAGGTCTGATTTAGTTGGATCTGGTTGTGTCGAGTACCTCGCATAGAGTTATATGTATTGCGCTCAGTACGGCTCTTTAAAAAATATTTCGTGTAATCGAGAAAGGAGGAACGTTTTACAAACAGGTACGAGACACAAACCTGAGAGCAGTCGAACCGCAAACCCAACCAGGATGGCTGTTCAAATGTTAGTGGAGATCGTAAGAAAGGAGTTGTATAAGTATTTAGACGAACACCAGATTCCTTCCAAAAAAGAGGCCACGAACAACGGAAGAGAGTGTTTTTTGGTACACTTAAACAAGTACGGTAAAACAATCACTGGTACATTTGGTTATAATAATAATTGTTTCCATTATACCGATCGCGTTCTCTTCATAAAAGTAGGTCACTACAACCTATTGATGTGGCCTTCACTGACTTCAGTAAATCTTTGACAAAGTTTCACATAACTGGCTGTTTTTTGAATTTAGTGATATAAGAATTGGAGACAACGTATTTATTTTGATAAAGGACTTCCTGGTTGTGCGTCAATAAAGAGTACGGGTGAACTGGAATTCTGTGTTTAGCAGAGCGCCTCTGGGGACAGTTTTGGATCCTGTTTTTGTCCTACCGTATGTAAATGATCTTTCTAGTCTCCTAAAGTTATCAGTTTTATCATATGTTGGTCATTTCAAGATGCAAAGTGACAGTTTATAGCTCCGAAATGATACGGGGAAGTTATTTAAATGGTCGGGGATGCGGCATTTGCCGACCAATGCTTCCAAGTGCATTTTAACTCATACTGGTGATGAAGGCACAGATACATATAAGGTGAGCAATATTGAGCTTTCTAATTTCCAGACGTCTAGTAACTTAGGAGTCGTCGTTAGCCAAGACTTCGAGTCTAATCTGCACTGCCATGTGATAGCAACCCAAGTTTTTTGATCGACATGCAGGTCGATATGTAGAGCCTTCATCCTGAACTTGAGTTTTACATACAAGCAGCTAGTCACTGGCTAGAAGAATGCTTAGTTGTTGGAAGAGATTCAAAGGTCATGAACTAAGATGATTCCTGAAATAGCATAGTTTCCGTATGACAATGGACTGATTAAGCTAGACCTATTTACGATGCTATATAGGAGGATCAGAGGTGATTTGATCACAGATTTTAAATTAATTAACGCTTGATTGGCATCAGATATACCTGCGTTTATTATGTATTCAAAAAGAGGAACTTCACGAAGACACTTTGAAAATTTTTACGAGCCCAGTACAAGTTACTACTGGCCTTATTGTCCTTTCCAAACTGAAACTGAGAGCACAGAGAATTTTCCCTGGATTCGAATATAAATTTACTGGACTTTACATCATGTATGCCAGCTACCGAAGATAGTGAAGAACTGAGGCCCGTTTAACGTCGGCATCTGATTCGCTATTTACACAGCTGCATACTGCCTTCATGTAACTGGGATAGATTTCCAGACTATTGGTCTTGTGAGCCCCTGATTTATTGAAAATAATAAGCGAAAGAAGACACAACTAGATGTCTGGTAATGATAATTGTTATTATACTAAATTCTTTTATTTTGAAAGGTTACTAATAGAGTATTGAATATTGCGGCATATTATTTGTTGTTTAATCTGGTCATTGCTCAGCAACGCAATTATTCATCAGTCCAACTTCAATTTAGCTTTTAGTAGTTTACAATTGGTTTGAAAGACGTGGTGTCACTGGGACGGATTATTCTAATCTGATCACTCGTTAAAATTAACTTCGCTATGGATATCCTTCTTGAAACAAGCTTTTCTCTGAATTTTCAGTTGTTCTTTTAATAGGAAGTATACCAAATCTGATTGGTTCGTCCATAAATTATAGTCTCGATTTGCTCTTTAATTAAAGTTGTATTACTATATGGCTTTGAAACATGGACTTTAAAAGTATAAAGTATGAGTAGGCCATAGATTTTTCATCGTATTTTTGAAAAACTTTTCAGGTTTCGAGAAACGATCGAGTGAATGTTTTTCAAGTCAGCCATAGACATTTAGGCTTAAATAGAAAATCATTCGGTAAGATTGTAAGTCTTTATGTACCGTGGTTGATAGGACATTTTACTAGCATATATAAGCCTCCATGACCTTGTTTCAAGATGCTTGTATGTGTAGAGTCATGTTTAAAGATGTCTGTGAGAGTCCAAACGGAAATGTAGCATCGATTCATAAGTTCACTAACTTTTAATCAGCCGTGTTAGCAGAGACAGAAAACTTGGTTGGGGTTCGAGTAACAATCATCTTAATTATTTGGAGATTTTTGGTGACATAGCCCAAAATCGTTTGAATTGGCACATATGCATTGAATTTATATGTCTTTTGATCCTAGATTCAATTATCCGTTCTACTTCGTCCTGTTGGACCATATTCTTGATGTTAGGTCGTTCTCATAATCTCTATCTCGATCACTTTTTCATACTGCCCTACTAGTTTTATTGTAGCATGGAAAATTGGTATAATGTACGTTTCTATCAGACACTATTTACATTTCACTGACTGATCACTACACTACAGTTACGTTCCACTATGTGAAACTGTGAATAATTCTGTACTTATTGTTTGAAAGTTGTCTTATGTTTCTGTATAAAAGTAAACAGAAAAGACTCCATCATGAAAGGTCTTCCACTAGTCGGGGTCATTAGCTTATTTTACTAGATTGACGTTTATTCATTTGTTTCAATTATTATTTCTAAATAGTTATTATCAGTCTCTATCATTCAGTTTTAGGTTTAGCCTCATTTACATAGTAATGAGATCAAAATCAAGACACAATTTAGTATCTTCAAGTGTTATGGTAGTGTATCGCCTGAAATATTCTACCTCTTAAGACAACTTTTACACCTTATTTTAAGTGTTGAATTAGTTAGTTTTGTCATATTTCGTGATTAAACACAAAGACTTTAACATACTTGCCTATATCACAGTGTTAAATCATCCCATCGTTTACCACGACGCGCAATACTGACAAGTGTTGAAAGAAAGTTAAGGGCGGTCAAACCAAAACGTGGCTTCAGTCCTTGGATTCACTAACTTCTGATGTGATCCATGTTAGTAGGTGCAGACTGCTTGGTTGAGGTCGACGTGACCATCATAACCAGTGGCTGAAGACTCCTGAAGACGTGTTTCAGAATAGATTACAATTGTGTGGGTGTATACACCCTTTATCTGCCCTTAAACTGTGAGGTTAAAATCGCTTCATACCTTTCCTTCTACCAATTAATTCTTTCTTCCTGTATTATATCCTTATATACAATCTTTCTTTTACATATTACTACTATTGAAGTAACTACTTCTATGAATTCGGTGTTCACCTTGTTGTGCTAATGAGGTGTGGCAACTTGAACCGATGCATATGTGTGCCTGTTTCTACGTTGTAGTTGGCTGACTGACTGTTAAATCATCCTGTTGGAATTGTAAGTTGCAGAACAACAAATATCAGAGAGTTTCCCTTTATAGTTGCTCAAATAGTATCGTTCTTTGTTGCAATCTTGGTTTTTAAAAATTTTAAAAGATGTTGGTAATATTTAAGATCCATAAAGAATTTAATACGAGAGACGATTACAACGCAAAATACAGAAAAACAGAGATTCAAAATAGTGGACACTTTTGGGTTGATTAGGAGTACAAAAGTAATTTTAGCGAACATAAAATATTGACCTGAAAAACATTAAACAATGTTTTTGAGTGATAGCACGTGAGGTGCACAAAATAGTCTGTACCAGAAGTTCCAAGTTTTATATTATAAAGTATAAATAAGTTATTATCTCCATTAGTTCACATCCCAAGCTGTTATACATGAGAAAAATCAAGGAGCAACCATGTTTATCGACTGAATTTTAAGACTACTCACTAAGTTGGACAGCTGTCAGAATTTTATTTTCGTATTATTCTGACTTTATACTGTGCATTATTTAGGAGGTCGATTAAGCTACTTATCTTTTATTTTCAGATTTTTGTTTAACTACTAAGTAGCATGAGTGCTATCCGACCAGGCACTGCATCCCGTCTAAAATCAGCCCAAATACAAGGTAAAAGTGGTACTGCATGTCGTGTAACAGATGGCGCAAAAACGGGTGCCCGTGGTAGAACGCTTGGTGGGACAACTTTAAACACTATGGTATGTGTTGAAGATAGACCGATTACACAACAAGGTAATTTGTATATTATTTTGATTATGCTGATTTAATAACAAACAAATAGGTTTAGGCGGGATTAAAAACCCAATTCGTGGACCTAAACGTCAGATTGAAGATAAGTCATACTTTCTGGGATTGTTAAGGGGGAAAATCAATGAAATAAACTCAGAAGTTGGGAATATAACACGTCAGTTAGTAGAAAAAGAGGAAGATAATGCTATTTTTGTACAATATGAGCAAATGGCTGAGAAATTGGCGTATGAAATTAAAGAACTACAGGTAATTTATTAACTAACATAATGGTATTGTTAATCTGTGCTTATGAGAATTTATAGCAGGAAACACAAAAGTTAGCAAACGGAGGAAGAATGCAGGAATAACAAAACTATGCGTAAGCCTATTGGCAGGAAATTAAATCTATCATTAGGAAAACCACCAAATTGAGATGATCAATGTGGATCATGAAATGCTATTGACATGCTGTAATAATCTGATTTCTTACGATTCGTTGTGAATAAAAAACATGGTGATGAGTGTCAATATATTTCATATCGTTTACATTTCAAAGACATTTTTTGTACTTGAATCACCCATGTTTCGCTCAACTATTTATGTATTTTTGTATGAACTAATAATTCTAATAGAGATCCTAGCCATTCTGGCCTATATAATGGGATGAGTTACATTTTTAATCATTGTTAAGCGTCATATCGTTTATATCAAGCTGAAATGCGGCAAAAAACAGTGTCAAAATTTTTTTGGAAAATATTGAACGATTGTGTCCATACTACTATAACACTTAGGTTTCTATTAAAAATTTCCTTTTTTAAAATTATCACTTATCATTTATTCGAGCGATGAGTGGAGATTTCTGGCATTTGTAATAGGTTACATCGTGAAAATTACGTTATCTAGAGAACTGTTTGATGACAGGGAAAACTAGAGGATGCTTGGGTCTTACTTCGTTTTTAACTTGTACAACTATAATCGTGTGCAGGATCTATCTTGAAACCCTTTACAGTAAACACTATACGTTTAGACTATTGAGTCAAAATTCAGTATTTCATATTTTTTTTACGTTTTGAGATGAGGCATAACACTAACCTATTGTTATGAATAAGTTACTGTATCATCTCTGATTTTATTGACCATATAGGTTTCAAATTACTATCGGAAATTGTGAGTATTAATGCCCAAAGTTCATCACCAATAAGCAAGACTACGATTTCTTTTGTGGATTATACAGATGTATTAATTCGAAAATATTTTGCATTTTATTTTACTAAAAAGATATATATTCATTTCTTTAAAATAATTTTTCAACAAGGGTGAATTAGGCGATTACAATACTCTCGTCGATAAAGCAACATTAGGCAATAATATAACAAGTATTGAAATGGATTTGGAAGATGTACGTGCTGCAAATGAACGAGCTGAACGGAATTTAGAAATGTTATTTGAAGATCGTCAAAGAAAGGAATCATCACTAAAATCATGTGAGCTAGAATTAAAACAAGTAAGCTGACTTTACTATTCTCCTTAATAAATTTAGAACATTTAGTTTTTTTTTTAATATCTGTCAACCTGTTTACTGAGTTGTATTGCAGTAATTTTCAAATAGTGTACAAAATTTTGGTAGTGAAAAAAGTTAAACAATCTTATTATTTCATGATCACTAGTAGTGAGACATTGGATGAGTTCTTTGAACAATTTAGTCATAATTTCGAATTTATAACTTCAAATAAACGACTAATTAAAACTAAGAATGGTTGGATAGTTTTTTGTCCCACTGTGGGGGTCCTCTTAATCACGAACACGAAATTTTGGAAGGAGTTTAACCCAGAAGCTTTAGGCCGCGTAGTGAGCACGACTATTTAGCGCACCCTAGTTTTCAATTTTTTGATCTGAGTCAAACGGTCACTATGTGGTCTAAAAACTCCAAGTTAGATTTCTATCAAATTTAAGGATGTGCAGTTCAGAGGACTTTCATACTGGGACAAAAAGCTATCAGTTACTTCTTGGTTTAGAGGAAGTCTGTACATGATGTTAGTTTTTTGTTGCCCTATATCTGAATCCAGTTAGATCGTATGATGATTGTTATCGAAGTATACATCTCGGCTACCCTCGTACATAATTATTGACTTGGTTCACATTAAAGAATAATGGAATAAAATACATCAGAAATGAGAATGAATTTTGAATTCGTATATTTTGTACACTCATTGATCAGAACAGGCAATCAGAGAAACGAAGTGGAGGTGGCGCGGAGGAGAGGGCGAAGCAAAGCCGATAATCTCGTTGGAAAACTGAAAAGCAAAGCAATACAGAGAAGGCCAGTGAGCCGGTTTGATTTAATCAAGCGTGACTCGATAACTATAGTCAAGCAAGAATAAATTACAGACATGTAATGAATAGGGTAAGTAAATAACGCATATACGCTCAAATAAAGGTAGCCAATGTTAATATGCGAATAAGTGGCAATGTTAAATGTGACCGAAGAAGAATGAATAAATTGGTCTGCCCGGAAGCTAGAATAGCCCATGTGGGATTGATGTAGTACCAGCTACTACAAGTTGTATGTTGAGTATACTTCGAAAATGTCCCGTAATAATTATTAATATGAAATAAAACTAAGCTCAAGATTTAGGAAAGTTGAAAACATGATACATTTCCATCGATTCCATCAATTCAAACAGATTTTACTTAATCTCTCCAACGACGGAATGCATTTAACTCCCAACTGAGAATTTTACCACTGATTAAAGAATTTACATTATTAGTCTGTGACTTGATAGACTAGTGTCTTAAGGTAATCATCATTGACAATAAATTTCATAAAGTGTGTTATAACAAAATTCAGACATCGATGATGTAAGGAATGCTCCCACTAACAATTCAACAAATGTACTAGTTATACTAAGATACCATTTTCAGTAGTAATGATATATAACTTCTATTTTGATGAAGAATTCAACTGTTTAATTACAAATTACGCATGATAATGTTTGTAATCATGAAACTCGATGTTGAAATGTAATTGTTTTCAAATTTAAAGCAGTATTTAAGACAGCGTAAGTTATATAAGGCATATTATTGTTATTACTATCAACACTTTGTAGCTAGTGTTCTACACTATTCTATATTCATTTAAATTTGTTTGTGTATTGTCTTTTTCAAATTAATGAAATTAAGGAACAAGAAATGTCTGAAATAGTTATTCAAGAAATGGTTGATACAGAACGTGAACGTTATTTTAAATTAAAGGATTTAAATATTCATCTTCTAAATCAGTTAAGTGAAGGTCAAATGGAGTTAGAAAGATTGAATACAAGAAAAGCTGAACTTGAAGAAGAACTACTTACATCACCGGTAAATTTTAAAAATAATTAATGCTTGTAGTACTGTTATAACTTGTGGCCTGTGCGCCCTGCTAATATATAACGTAACAATACCGCCAATTAGAGAGCAGTGACTTGCCGATCTGACCAGTGACGCGAAAACCCGTACGAGCAGTCTAAAGTACTTATCGGTCCTGCTTCCCGCCTAGCCCAGCGAATCATGTCCAGAACATCAATCTCAGCCTCTGCGATTGTTGGGATATTCACGAAAATATCCCAAAAATTATCCTGTTAAGCCTAATGCTATCCTTGGACATGAAATGGTATCATCTTATTGGTCAATATTTATTTGACGTGTTATTTTCCTGTTGGCCATTATTGTACAATGTTATCTTCTATTTTATGGTACGTTGTGGACTGCTTGAATGGTATATAAACAAAGTATGTTTGAAATATAAGGATTCATATATCCGAGGCTGTGACTTGCGTTCTGGACTCAACTGGCTGGGCTAGACAGGGAAGCGAGACCAATCAGAACCCTAGGTCGTTCTACGTGTTTGCGCGTCTTTGGTCCGACCAATAATTCGCTATCCCTTCAGCAGCATTATTTTTCACGTCATAACAGCGATATGAATCATTTATTTTAAGCATACTGGGTTTATATACCAACCAGACAGACCACATCGTACCATAAAATGGAAAATGACATTTGTACAAGATTTAGCCAAAAGTGGCTCTGAATGTGGGAGGTAGTAATTAACAAACAGGGCATAATTCAAGAATGGTAAATTGTATAATAATAGTTCATAGGTCAAAACAAGGCTCATAAATAGAGGGACATGAATATGAACAGCTTAGTTACTTAACAATTATACGATAAAAATATACGTATAGTATTGGTCCATAAATGGATCGCAAAAATTACCATTCATTATTCTTATCAGGACATAACAAGTACTACAAAAACTACTAATATTAACAATACTATTAATAATCACATAATTCAATACTTGATGCTTCGATACACTATGAACCTTTCAGTTCTATATGTAAACTACTCCAGCAAAGTTCTGTTATGTTGCATTTTTTTGGAAAATTAAAAAAAAATTGTGTCGGGCGGTTGAAATTAGTCTACAGGAAAATTTGAAAATAAGTTTCATGTCATTTGACACTTGTCAGCAAACAGTGCAATCGTGCGGACTAAATAGTATTACATTGGTCATTACTCAGTAATCAATTATTTGTGAAAAATATGCATCGAAGATATTTTTTAACTTTTATTTACTTTCAATGGTATAAGCTCTGCTTTTGTAACGTATTTACCACATACTATATATAGTAGATAATATATTATAGAATACTTGTATGTTGTATTAAGTGGGTATATTCTTATGTGCTTGTGTCACATTCTATCCAAACGATACAGAGCACTTCAGTGTTTACGAAGTCTTGAAAACGCTTTCGTCACCATGAATATCGATTTACAATTGATCATTCAGTCAGTTATAATCATTGTACAGCTTGACACATATGTTCGTTAACCCAAGTTATTATATCCCATCGGCACGAGATGAAATTAACGTAATGAATGGTAAAAGAGTTAAGACAATTGTAATAAAAAGGAAAATTGGAAAGAATATACACTGAAAATATAATTTAAGAAGACGCAATGTAAACATGTGTATGAAAGAATACTGAAGGGGGATAAATATTGAGTGTATTCACTCCATCGTAATCCATTCCGAATCATTTCATCCATAATGTGAATTAATTGTGAGAAGACCCATTCATTACAGGCCATTTAGATAAATTTTACTGAAAATATTCAAATTCAACCATAAGTCGGTTTGAAAACAAGTGGATCTAGATAGCTTCCATTGACTATAGTATTTTAAATGACATACACTTTGCATGTCACTTAAGAATTGATGAATAATTCTGCATTTGCTATATTTATTAACTTTTAAATTAATACTTTATAACATCAATGAACAAGATCAAACAAGAAGCTGTACGTTTATTTACTCAACTACATGAGATTCAAAGTAGACGAGATCAGTTATTATCTGAAGAGGCATCAAAAACAGATCCTCAAATAGAACGTCAACGTCTATTGCAACAAGTTAAAAGTGATAATCAAGAAATTGCAGCTATTGATAAACAGTAAGGTTTGTTATAAATAATATAATGTTAAATAAACTAAATGCTGAGTTAGAATTATAACTGAAATTATAACCGATTACTGCTTATACTCTTACTACCTCTACCACTGCGGGATCTGAATCGATAACTGCATCTCTGTGCTAATGTGGTATGATGACTTGAACTGAAGAACGTATATACGATGTTCAAAGTTGTTGCCGACTGGCTGACTGACTGAAGAGTAAACTACTGCTGTAATTCTGTCAATGAACTTCACAGCAGAGATCTTTATTACGTGATTATGCATTAATCAGTCTGCACTGAAGTGAATACTTTGATCTTAGAGTAATTCAAAGTTCGTAAATAAAGTGAATATTTAAAGATAGAACAAGTAATGTGCAATAATATTACTTTTTTGCTGTAAAACAAGGCGATTATACACAATTATATTTAAAATAGGCATAAACTTGATCTTAAACATTTATACAAATAAGTGCTTTTATTGTTAAATGAAACTGATATCAGACTAGCATTTGTCTTCCATAACACTATTCATTGAACAAGTTAACTTAGTTTAATGATTATATTACACTTACTGACCGATAAAATCCTATCAGTAGTGGAGACTATAACAAAATTCACTTGGTATTGTTTTGTTTGAATCTTCCTATTGAGGTTTAAGACTGCAGTTGATCAGTCTGTTATTGGAATATGTGCATACTGTGCGTATCGCCTCGATATTACCTTAATTCACAAGCATTATAAGCAATGATGGATAGAGGCTAGCAGTGGAGCCTTAATGGAAAGATTCAAGCAAAAAAATACCAAGTTAATTTAAATTCACCCAATTGCACAAGCATGTGGTTATCACGACTCAGTAGCTGAGTGGATAACGCGATGATGTTCGAAGCAAATGGTACTTGGTTCGAGTCCCAGAGTGGATATTAAATATGAGATGCAGGCACATCCAGCTGAAGAGTACCAAATAGGACGAAACTCGCGTCAAACTGGATTCCACTGCTAACCACTATCCATCTTTGCTTATACAACAAAATATTTATCTTAATTTTACTGATAATTTAATTTAATGAAATGTGATTTTCTACTTCAATTAACAACAAACTAAATTGTGAATTTCTCAGTCTACACACTTTATTTCAACAATTTTTGGTAGATCATGTAAATAATTATCTTTTTATAAAAGATTTTATATTGAAACTATGAGTTAACTTCAATATTAATTATTTTTTTAGAAAGTTTAACCTACTAACATGATAAGTACTGGTTCGATCTCATTAAGAAGCCACAGTTGATTAAATATTGAGGATATACCTTACTGTGAAGTGTCTAACTGAAAAAAATACTTACGTCCAAGGCATGTTACCAGTTTCCTTTAACTATCTGATACTCAACACAATGTTGAGTAATTTAATCTAGTTATCATCTTCCAAACTCCGCCTGGAGTCCCTCCGGGGGCTACTGCCGGTCCCAAGCCCGGATAAAGGAGGAGGATTGGGCATGGGGTTAGCGACCCCATCCCGTAGAACACTAACTCGCTGAAAAAAACGCTAAAAACGCTGAAGTAAGATCATCTCAACGTATGATCAACTTAATCGACATGATTTAATTACCATTGAGGATGAAACTAAGATGACATTCCTTACGACACAATAATCAATCATTGTAATATAAAACCTTTTTACTAAATGAAATCAGTAAAAATTTTAAGGAATTCTCATTTTGGTTTTTTTAACTTCACATTGTAGAACACATGAAATTCAAGAGAAAATTACTAATAAAGAAGAGGAATTACATTTACTGGAACAACAATTAGATGAAAATTATAATGAAAGAAATCAAAAATATCGTGAACTTAAAAAACGTGAACAACAAATTGATGAATTCTTACAAACCTTTGATCATGCAAAGGTAATTTAACTTTGGATTGTAAATGAATCAGAATCAAGTGAAGGTTATTGAAAGAGATGTTGACTTAATCTCCCTTGAAAATAATCATCAAAATGTATTTACAAGCTTGAGAAAATTACTTATAATACAACATATTTTGTCCTTATTTTCTGATGACATTTCTAGCGATAGATACTGGGTATGTTTCCTGGATTGAACGTTAACTCTGAGATACAGGTATATCCACCAGATCACGAGTCCGAAATTGGACAAAACGTGTGCGATAGATTCAAGTGCTATCCACCATCAATCTCTGCTTAAAATGCTTGTGAATTATTGGCATTATTGAGGCAATCTGCACAGTCAATAAAAGACTGATCAATTGTACTCCTAAACATCGATGGAAAGATCTAAATAACCAAAATGTATGAATTAAAATGTAACTTCTTTTTTAAACATCTATTCACTTAACCCTTAAACACAGTTTCTTAAAATAAACTATTTGGTAAAACTACCATAGTTGCTTGTTGAACTAAACGAGAATATTTTTACGACTAACTTCTTCCTTGCACCCTCTAGTAGAATGTAAGATAAGTTGTTTTACTTGATAAGCCCAACATTACAAATTAAACCATATAGTGAGTATTAGTTACTTCAAGATTACGAATATACCTTGTTGATGATGGATGTGCAAATTACATTATAAATGAAGTGCATTCAGTCGATAAAACTAACCATATAACCTGAAAATAATGATTATACAATAAAATTATTTATTTATTTAAACACATAAACATCGGTACAATGAAACACTAAATAGATATGCGCCACATAAATCTCATTTGATTTGTGGGAGAGCTACCATACTGTCCGGGTGCCCAAACCGAAACAGTTCGTCTCCTTAGAAGGTCACATACTGAGACTTTGACATAAAGGTCTGATCCACAAGGCAGTAGAACAACGTTAGGAGATGCAGTCCCATAGTAGCCGGTGACCAACGATTGATTCATATGCCATTTGTTCCTTCAGGATACTGGAGCCCATGTGCACCGTTGGTTTGGAATCAGGGCTTTCCAACTTCCCTAGGTAGATCCTCCATACCCACTAAACCGGTTAAATCGCCGGACATTCGCTTTTCGTTCCCTCAATTTCGTAAACAATAATGCCACGAGAAGTCAGTGAGTAGTAGTTCCGTGGCAGTAGTTGTATGCACGTGGCCATGTGAGAGCATTTGGAGAGGAAGAGCTGACGACTCTCCCCACTCTCAGCCTTACCAGGGCATTCTATGAGGAGAGGGCCATACAACAAAATTACTTCCTATTGTTAATTCTTCACTTTTAACATTTTTTTTAGTCTTTAGAAATTTCTGGAATCCATGAAATGGAATCAACAATTATTGAAATTTTAAATAAAACATCCAATTCTATTAATAATTTCAATCAAATTACATCAAATCTTGATGTAGATCTATCATCAATTGAATTAATTATTCAACAAGATAAACATAATAATCAAATGATGAATAATACAATACAATATCTAAATAATAATAATAATAATGAAACAGAAGAAGTGTTTAATCATTTGACAAAGGAACGGATACGTTTAAATCAAGATTTATTGAAAGTTGATCATTTAGAAAGTAAAATTACACAAGTGAGATAAATTAAATTTCCGAATTATGATTATTTTAAAATTTTAATTAATTAAAACAAAATGTTTTCTTTTAGGGGGGAGACTATAATTTATGGACGACCTTTGAGCGACTCTAGATTGACCTTGAAAGTGACCACCTAATAACTAAGAGCAAATGAGAATTATAAACCTGTGTAAGGAATTAGAATTAGAATTTATAGTTGATGATTAAGGTTAGGAATTAGATTTGTGTGGTTTTCATCATGAACTGGCATCAGCTATAATGCCAAAACTTTATTTAGCTAAATGGATGAGTGAATTTTGTGCTAAAATCCAAGACCTGTTATCTTATATTTGATTGGTTCGTCCATAAATTATAGTTTCGCTGTTTTTTGATTGTTTTACAATTAAATGATTAAAAAAGACTAATTTATGAATGAAGAATATTCTTTTTAATAATTTCTATTCAGGTTCTATAATTCAATATATCCAAATTAATAATCCGAAAATAGTCAGGTTTCGGGCAGAGCACATCGTTCAAAGTTAAACAAAATGGAATGGAATAGTTAATGTTGATATGATTCATATGGAATGTTAAGTTAGATCAGTTTATATGTGAAGTGGATTCATGATCCGAATAAATATGGGTCAGTTAGGGTGAGACAAACAATAATTAATTGCAATAACTATGCAATTACATAGTTGGGGTAGTCAGTTGTTGGTAAAAACGCTTTAACCGACTCCATAAGAAAGTTTTTATTGATTATTTTACAATGTAAAATTATTCTACTTATTAGTAATATGTTGACTAGAATATTTTTGGTTTTATGTTTTTTTTCTGAATAAAGGAAATGGAAACGTTAAAAAAGCGTATTTCTAAAATGGAAGAAGAAATTGTAGTCTTCAGTGATTTGGATAAAGTTCGTGAAAATGCAGTTCTTAAAAGACAAAGTGTAAGTTGATATTTTGACTTTTCTTTTCAATAGTAAAATTTTAATTTCATCAATATCTACTATTTATTTATTTTAACACATAGATATTGGTACAAGGTGGCACCAAATACATATGCGCCATACAAATCTGATTTAGTATTTGTGAGGGTTGTATTACTGCTCGGGTGCCCAAACCGAAGCAGGTGGTTTTCTAAGGGGGCCACACGAGGAGCCTTCGACATGAAGGTCTGATCCACAAGGCAGTGGTGCAACGTAAGGAGATACCGTCTCATGGTAGTCGGTGACCAACGCCATTTGTTCCTTTAGGATCCTGAAGCCCATGTGCACCATTGGTTTGAGATCAAGGTTTTCCAACTCCCCTAAGTGGACTCTCGTTGTCCACCAACCTAGTTAAATCGCCGTACATTCGGTTTTCGTCTTCTCACATTCATAAACAACACCCATGGTGCGTGAAGGTAGTGAGTAGGACTTCCCTGGCAGAGGCTATATACGCGTGGCCATGTGAGAACATTTGAAGAGGGAGAGATGACTCTCCACACTCTCGGCCGTACTAGGGCATTTGGGGACATTCTTTTTTTTAAATAGGAACAATAAGGGGCGAATTTCCATGCATATATCATACAATTCTCTTTGAACCTAGCACAAAACAATAGCATCAGGCACTGTTCCATCGCCCTTGGCAGATCAGGCAACCCTAAATTTACGAGAACACCATCAGGGCATACGACAGGCTAGGCACTATTGTCATTTAGTTAGAAATATTATTGACAGTATTAAATGGTGCTTGTGAAATTTTATAAGCTAACTGAATTTATCCATTTAAGTCATTGTATTGTACCGTATTAATTGCGCTATCGAATTTTGGATGTGCGAACGATTATAAGGGGATAAAAATTGTATTTTCTGGTAAGCGTTTTTTAGCGAGTTAGTTTTCTACGGGATGGGGACGTTAACCCCATGCCCAACCCTCCTCCTTTACCCGGGCTTGGGATCGGCAGTAACTCTGGAAGAGCTACAAGCGGAGTTGATTACAATTGTGGATTAGGAAAACTAACTTAAGTCTAACAGTCAATATTGTTACATAAATCTTCATTTTTTTCCAACAACAAACTATACTCATTGTTTTAAAGAATATTTACAAACTGCTAAGCTTTTTTAATGATTAGAATGCAATTCAAATTAAAGACTTAATCAATGAGTTTTTAACCAATTTCAGTCAACTGTTTCAGACAAGAACGTTATCAATAGACCCAATTGACATTTACTGATAAAAACAAAATCTAGGTCTGTTATGACTTTATATCCGGCTTTTTACCACGTGATTTATCCACCAATCAAAATACGGCATGTACAATCTTAGCACTGTGCCGCCAAACCAATGACGTTCGAGCGGTATGAGCAGCCTAGTGCCCTTATTGGTCCTATGTTTGCCTAGCCCGTCGACTTGAGTCCAGAACACCAATACCAGCTTCCACTATGCAAATCGAATCGAGTCGGATAATTTATTTCAGACATACTGGGTTTATATATCAACCAAACAGACCACAACCCACCATAAAATAGGAAATAACATTTTTACACAATAAAGCCAAAAAGTGGCCGTGAACGTGAGAGGCAGTAGTCAATAAACTGAACATAGCTTAAGAACACTGAATCGTACAATAATAAATTATAGATCATAATAAAGCTTATAATAAGATGAATATGCCCCCTGAATGCCCTGGTACGGCCGAGAGTGGGGAGAGTCCGCTCTCCCTCTCGAAATACTCTCACACGGCCACGCGTATACAGCCTCTGCCAGGGAAGTCCTACTCATCGCCTTCTCGTGGCGGGGGTGTTGTTTACGAAAATGAGAGGACGAAAAGCGAATGTCCGGCGCTTTAACCGGATTCCAAATCAATGGTGCACATGGGCTCCAGTATCCTGAATAAACAAATGGCGTATGAACCAATCGTTGGTCACCGGCTACCGTGGGACTGCATCTCCTTACGATGCTCCACTGCCTTGTGGGTTAGACCTTTAGGTCAAAGGCTCGGGGAGTGGCCCCCTAAGATAACCACCTGCTTCGGTTTGGGCACCCGGGCAGTATCACAGCCCACACACAAATGATGAACGCTTTATGTCTATGGAAATTACTTTTGTCGCTTTGAAAAACAAACAATTGATTCAGATTATTATCATTACAATTATTGTCATTATTAATACTAATATTATTATTACTACTATTATTGTCATTATTGTTATTATTATCATTATTATTATTATTTTCCACATTATTCACCCTCTTTTATACTTATACAGCGGCTCGTCTTTGGTGGAATTCCGACTGTATCTAAACGTTCTCGAGTCACTGTCCGGTTGAAAATTGTATGTTACCACCGAATACGAGGACTGAAGCAGATTTTCTGAAACCACGTGCACCATTCAAACTGGCTGCCTTCAACGTTCGCACATTTATGCAGGTCGGACAACAGATAGGGCTGGCTATGTCTTTGGAAAGTCTTAATATCGACGTTTGTTGTCTATCCGAGACCCGTATTCAAGACTCTGGCGAAGTACTACAAATTCGATCTCCATCTGTCGCTTCAAAAAGCTTGTTTTACGTGCGTTTATCCGGGGACACTGTGGCATCTTCGTCTGGTCTTGCTGGCGTTGGTGTCGCACTAAGCGCCAGAGCTGAGGCAGCACTAATCGATTGGATCCCCATTAACAGTCGGTTATGTGCTGTTAGATTAGAAAGTTCCATCAAAGTGAGAAGAAATCGGCGTGAGAAACGATGTCTTTTCGTCATCTCCGCCTATGCCCCGACAGATTGCAGCCCGGATGCAATCAAGGATGAGTTTTACCACTAGTTGTCTGTTCTTCAGAAAGTGCGTTCGACAGATATTGTAGTACTAGCCGGAGACTTGAATGCTCAGGTCGGGCGTCTAGGCACAGAATAGAGTCATTTAGGTGGCCGATGGGGACTCGGTCGCAGGTCAGATAACGGGGACCGTCTACTGCAACTTTGCACAGACCACAACCTGTTTCTGGCTAGCACTAACTTTCGGCACAGTCATCGCCGATGTGCCACCTGGCGTCCTCCCTCTGCATCTCAAGCCTGGACTCAGATTGATCACATCGCGATCAGCTACCGCTGGCGTGGTTGTGTACAAGACTGCCGCTCCTTTTGGAGTACCTATCTGGACTCTGACCATGCCTTGGTCTGCGCCAATCTTGCCTTACTTTTCAGTGGACAACGAAGTGACCGCCATCAACGGATTGATGTTAGCAAGCTGGTTGCAACTTCTGTTGCAAGTAAGTATCGAACCGAGCTAGCCTCTAGGCTAGCTACCACTCCACCGAAAAGTATAGATGAGCATTGGTTGCAATTGCATGACGCCATGAAAATGGCGGGAACAGTCAGTTGTGGGTTTGCGAAACGTCCCGCTTTTAAGCACTGGGTTTCTTCTGGTTCCTTACAACTCATTGAAGCCCGTCGGTCTACTCCGGGTGACCGTGAGTTTGACCATAAACGAAGGATGTTACGTAAGGAAATCGGGCAAAGCTTGCGTAAGGACCGAGAAGCCTGGTGGTCGATGCGTGCTAATGAGCTGGAAGCAGCAGCTGCATCTGGTAACTACCGGAAGCTCTTCCAACTCATCCGAGCCACTGGCAGCAAGAAGTCTGGTGTGAGTGAAACAATCTGCGAGGATGATGGGATGCCAATCACTAACATCCATCGACGTCTTGGACGATGGGCAGAATTTTTCGAAGGGCAGTTCAACTGGCCTGCTGCTCCGGCAACATCGGTCAGACTGTCCTGCCCTCCATGGCCGGTGACGACTGATCCACCAAATGAGGCAGAAGTCCGCAAGGAACTCCAACTCTTGAAGCGTTACAAATCGCCTGGCCCAGATGACTTACCTCCGGCTCTTTTTAAAGATGGTGGTGACTTTTGACTAAGGAATTGACGACGTTGTTTACAAAGGTTTGGGAACTAGAGAGTGTACCAACGTCATGGAATGAGTCGATAGTTGTCCCTATCTTTAAAAAGGGTTCACGTCGTTCTTGTAACAACTATCGGGGGATAAGTTTACTTCCGATTGCGTCCAAGCTATTGGCTTCCGTCATTCTTCGTAGGTTGTTCAAAACCCGAGAAAGATTGACTCGCGAGGAGCAGGCTGGGTTTCGTTCTGGTCGAGGATGTATTGATCATATCTTCACCCTCCGCCAAATGTTAGAACACCGCCATACTTTTCAAAGGTCAACAATCGTAGTGTTTCTTGACATCAGGGCTGCCTTCGATTCGTTGGATAGGACTGTTCTCTGGGATTGTCTATTGAAGAAGGGTGTGCCTGAGAAGTTTATTAACATCCTAAAAACCCTGTATAAAAACACCTCAGGCAGAGTGAGGGCACACAACCACCTCTCTCCATTGTTCCGTTCGAGCAGTGGGGTTAGGCAGGGTTGCCCAATCTCACCATTCCTCTTCAACTTTGCCATCGATGACATTCTGGAAACAGCTCTGATGAATGTAAGTAATGGTGGTGTGGATCTGTTGCCTGGAGAAAGACTTCTCGACCTTGAGTATGCGGACGATATTGTCTTACTGTGCGATAATGCCCAAGGCATGCAATCCGCACTTAATCAGTTGGCAATCAGTGTCCGTAGGTATGGTATGTGCTTTGCACCTTCGAAGTGCAAAGTACTCCTACAAGACTGGAAGGATCGTAATCCTGTACTCACCCTGGACGGTGAGCAGATAGACGTAGTTGAGAAGTTCGTGTATCTAGGTAGCTGCATAAGTGCTGGTGGGGGTGTGAGTGATGAGATCAATGCACGAATAGTGAAAGCCAGAGCGGCTTATGCCAATCTGGACCACCTTTGGCGCCTTCGTGATGTTAGTCTGGTTGTAAAAGGTCGGATCTACAACGCGTCGGTGAGAGCAGTTTTGCTCTATGCTTGTGAAACCTGGCCTCTCCGAGTTGAGGACGTTAGACGACTCTCTGTGTTCGATCATCGCTGTCTCCGAAGGATTGCTGACATTCAGTGGCAACACCATGTCAGTAATGCAGAGGTTCGGCATCGTGTGTTCGGGCACAGAGATGATAACTCAATTGGTGTCACCATCTTGAAACACCGACTTCGGTGGCTTGGACATGTTCTCCGAATGTCGTCCCAGAGAATTCCACGTCGTGCATTATTTGCCGACTCTGGGACTGGTTGGAAGAAGCGGAGAGGTGGTCAGTGCATGACATGGTGTCGTGGCATGAAAGAAAGCTGCAAAGGACTGGCTTGTGTTGGTCCTTCACGACTCCCTGGCTGGGGTCCGAGAGATGGTGCTACACAGTGGCTAGAGACGTTATCAGATATGGCTCAGAATAGAAGCCAGTGGCGATCCTGCTGTAACCTTCTTTTACTTTCTTCATAAAAAGTGGTTGTGTCTCCCTTACCTGAAAGATTTCTTCTGATTGTACCTCTTCGTCATTACTCTCTTTTTCTTTTGCGTTTCTTAGTTTTTTTTTTCTTTTTTTTTCTTTCTACTTCTCTTCGAATTCCCATTGTTTTGTGTGGCGCATATATATTGGCGCTCTCTTGTACCAATATTTATGTGTTCAAATAAATAAATAAATAAATAAAATAAGATGAATATAAATATACATAATCTAATTATTGAATAGTGATACCATAAGAATGTATAGATAATATTAGTCAATAGTTATGTCTCAGAAGTTACTCGTGATTTAATCTTCGCTCGGATATAACACGGTCCAGGACATCTTATCGATAACCTTCAACCATCTAATATCAAATAAAATACACTATGATGTTGAATTACTTAGACCTCAGGTTATTTTGGGGCTTTAACGACAGAACTTGATCAGTTATTATGATTATATAGATATGCTTTAAGCAAGTTAGTCTTCTATTTATATTCAAATACAAATATGTTGACTTATATAAAACTATCAACAAGTGATTATTCAGATTAATTCTTCCGAATTCCTTGAAGTATAAACAATTAAATAAACTTCCTTGACATTCTCCTCGAATATTTTCAGTTAAATGAAGAAAAATCACGTTTAGACAGGTATCGTAATAATTTAAACAAATTAAATCAACAATTATCTGTGGAATATTCAAATTTACAAACACATTTAACTGGACAAGATATATATATACAATTAACTAATTTAGAACGTCGTTGGGCACAACATGAAGAAATTAATTATAGTTTAAATGAATTTATTACTAAGAAACGTAAAGAAACTGATCCAATTCAATGGATTAAATGTACAATGGAATTAGTGAAAAATTATAATGAACATTTAAAATCTTCACTTGCATCAAAACCTGTAATTGCTTAAATTTACCATGTTGAATACACATACATCATACATCTTCTGTTTATTTCATACTTTATATTAAAGTTAATGATTTTTTTTTTATTTTGTGCGTGTTTTAAAGTTCATCATTGTTGTTTTGGTATATTTAATTATTACGGATAAATAGTCACTTCAAGTATTTGAAAACGGTTGATTCGCACCCCACCCCCTCGTATCATTCGAAATTTATGCTCAATTTTATATTCAATTAAATCGATTTCAACAAAATAACATAGATATAAGCGAACAATATTGTTTTCGATTAGATCCTCATCAGGCTTTACTTCTAATATACAGTAATATTTATATACAACATATACGAAATTATTAAACCAATCAAGGTAGTTTATAAGTCAATGATAACAATGGGAAAAGATTACATAATAAGTAAAATGTGAAAAGTACAAATTGATGGTGTGACAACAGGTGTATTAGTTTTTGATAAGCAATAATAATAAAGGTTCAAATCAATGTTACATAATCGGAAATAGGTCAATGATTAGGAGAAAATATAGAAACTGAGATAACAATTATAAAATTGTAAGATGACGTAATAAGAAATGTTCAGATAATTGGACCATGAAACGTATAGTTGAGAGAAAATGAAGTGGTAGGAGGGTGTGAAGAAAAAAAAATCGAAAACCTGTCTTGTGAACTTCACAAGACAGGTCTTCCTCTTCGCCCAGTTTTAGATATATATTATTCGCCTTATCATAAAACTGCAAAGTGGCTAGTTCGTATCCTAAAACCCTTACACAAATTAGTCGTCAATAGAAGCGTGAAGGACGTCTTCGATTTCATTTCTAAAGTGGAACATATAAATTTAAATGGGAAACGAATGATGTCTTTAGATGTTGCTTCCCTTTTCACCAATGTACCGTTAACAGAGATTATCGATTTTGTGCGCCAACAACTGCAGGAAAAACAAATCAATATTGGAAGTCCTGAGATTAGTCTTAAAGAATTACTTTTAAAATGCACAATGAATGTCCATTTTGTCTTTAATAACACATATTATAGACAAATTGATGGTATACCGATGGGTTCGCCACTGGGTCCCATCCTTGCGGATTTTTTTCTGGCGAAACTAGAAAACGGACCTCTCAAGGAGGTTATCAATAAACTGGATTTCTACTGTCGTTACGTTGATGACACCTTCATCATTGCCGATCAGAACATTAGAAAAGAACAACTACTGGAACTATTTAGTAACAAACATCCTGCTATTAAATTTACATGTGAGGAGGAAATAGATAACAAACTAAATTTTCTGGACGTTTTGTTAAGTAGAAAAGAAAATGGTTCTATCAGCAGAGGTGTGTATAGAAAAAGTTCTTCTCCAAGCCAATACACACATTTTTTTAGGCTTTGTGCCTCTTCATTATAAGAGAAACTTAGCCAAATGTCTTGCAAATAGAGCTCTTAAGATATGCTCAGTCGACACTATTGATAGAGAATTACAACACATTCATAATATTTTGATTGAATTGGGATATCCACTGGGTTTCCTGAAGAAACACTTGCGCGTACAAAACAGGAAAATAGTGACTCTGACGGCTAATAAGAAACGGCTTTTCTTGAAACTGCAATTCAATGGTGATTTGGCTAGCGATGTATTACGGGATAGATTGACTAGAGCAGTAAAGAGAACGTTTAATACTGCCAACCTCTGCCTATCGTATTCGACCCGATCGATGGTGATTCCGCAATTGAAGGATAAGTTACCTGGTTATGCCACTTCTATGTGTATCTACGAATTCAGCTGCTCCTGTGGAGAAAGCTATATTGGGCGCACTACCAGGCAACTGAACCAACGAGTTAGTGAACACCTCCCTTCGTGGTTAGGAAAAGGTTACGTCAAAACAATACGCAGCTCGGTTCTATCACACTTGATCGATAGCGGTCATATAGTGGACAGAAACAAGTCGTTCAAAGTTATTTATCGGATTCCCACTAGTTTCCCTTATGGTGTTCGATCTCGTCTCTTACACATAGCAGAAGCTATAAGAATCCGAGCCAACAAGCCAAGTCTTTGTGTTCAGAAGAAATTTGTAACTCCCCTGGCCTTAAGTAATAAATGAATTTATTTATTCCTTTTCTAACGTTCTCTTCGTTTATTATTTTTCTTCACACCCTCCTACCACTTCATTTTCTCTCAACTATACGTTTCATGGTCCAATTATCTGAACATTTCTTATTACGTCATCTTATAATTTTATAATTGTTATCTCAGTTTCTATATTTTCTCCTAATCATTGACCTATTTCAGATTATGTAACATTGATTTGAACCTTTATTATTATTGCTTATCAAAAACTAATGCACCTGTTGTCACACCATCAATTTGTACTTTTCACATTTTACTTATTATGTAATCTATTCCATTGTTATCATTGACTTATAAACTACCTTGATTGGTTTAATAATTTCGTATATGTTGCATATAAATATTACTGTATATTAGAAGTAAAGTCTGTTGAGAATCTAATCGAAAACAATATTGTTCGCTTATGTCTATGTTGTTCTAAATTTACAATATGGGAATATTTCAAATTTTCAACAAAATACTCAAAAACATTACTGCTTCGCTACATTGACCGTAGTATTTTATGAACTATAATGTGGTCACTAAAATACCAACCTTACGATTAATAAATCTATATCTAGGTTCAACTGTTATCAACGGTAAAATACTTTACTAAGCTGTTCTATGAATGAAGAAACAATATTTTCTCCTTTTTTTATTATGTTGGAAGATCATATTCACTAGCGTTTACTAATTATATACATATATATCATCGTAATATTTGTCAGCAATTAGTGAGTGAATGAATGAATAGATAATATTACTGTTAGAAATAGAGTATTGGAGTTAAAGTAGTAAAGTAACCGACGGGATTGACTGCGTAGTGTGATAAGGATATCAACTTATAGATGTGATGACCTAGGTTTGTAAAAAAGTTATTTTCTGTATAGTGCTTGAGTGCTGGTCTGAATTGTAGTCTTTTTACATGGGGTTTTTAAGATGTTAGAAATCAATCGTTAAATATTTTTTATCTTCAGTTAAACCATAAAATTGAAGTCTACCGGTTCTTTATCGATACGTGTGTTTTGTGTTTACGTTCAACATCGTTTCTCTGTTGCCTATTGTAGCAGGCATCAAACTACTTTGAGTTTGTCACAGTGATGACTACCTGTCATACCATAAAATTCAACAATTAATTGGTACTATAGCCCCTATGAAATGTAAACACTATACTGTATATCTTATCATAGTTCGTAGATAATAGCCTCCAAAAAGTCTGAAACAAAAGATAACACATTTGTGTTACTTGGAAGTTTACGCCCCTAGACCTGACAAGAATTATCCCTAAATACTCATAGACGAATGTACAGTCAACAGAGAGTTGGAAGTATAATCACTGAATTTACACTGTTAACACCAAGATAACTCGTGATAAAACTATATAAACTTTATTAAATTACAAATATATGTAAAGAGAACACTAAGTATTTTTTATAGGCCAGTATTTAATTAAGATAGAAAGATAACCAATACATTGTGAAAAGAAAGGCAGGCAAAAAAAACACATGTTGATATTGAAGTGAATAATTTCATGATACTTCTTTTCTCTGTATAACGATTCAAAATTAGCAAAGATTATACTTAAATGTGCATTGACATACTGCTATGATAATTCATTATTCAAAGCAGTTAAATTAAAATGAGAAAAAAAAACCATTTTTATTTGAGGCTTTAAAATTTATACTACTAATAAAAAGTGAGTAGTTGAAGTAATATAGAGAATAAAAAAAGAGTATATGATCGAGCCATATAAATAGGTATGATCCTTTTCACTTATTATCCATATCTATACTACTTGGAACAGATAAAAGTGTACAAATGAAAGTTCAAATAACGATAATTTTAAAATTATTTATAAATAATAATAATAATAAAACTTTAAAAAAAAGATTGATTTCAAGTTAGGGGTTTATAAATAAATATATCAAAATGGGTTGAAAAAAAACAAAACAATAACACCATACACAAATAATGCAAAACTATAAAAGAAATTCATGCATACATTGATCAAATGCCTAAAGTTGACGAAAAAGATCATAATGAGCATAGAGAACATAAAGAAAACTCCACTTAAGAACTGAAATGAATGATCATTATTGCGTCATTTGAAATGTATAACGGTTTTACAACCCGCATAAAACCAGGGTTAAAATCGTTTTCATGTTCTTGAAATAACTGCAAGTTTTCCTTTTTCTTGTTTTCGAAATGCACAAATTAAACATGGATATACTTGAACAAATGGTAGAATATTTCTTTTTTGTAGAAGCTAAGTTGAATGAAAAATAAGGCAAATTGTACCGGGATTTTGTACCAGAAACAAAATTTTTTTTAAAAAAAAAAGAAGAAACAATATAATTTATGCAATACAAATACATAGTTAGGTAGATAAGGCTGTATTCAAGAGGTAAGTTGATGCTGATAATCAAGAAGAATAAGAAATAGAAGTAATATAAAGATAGTGTTGTAGTTATAAACATTGCATAATATAAAATTAAACGATAAGAGAACCGGTTTAACCAACGGTAAACAAATATACTCATCATAAGGAAAAACGACTAAGGCGTATATGTTAGAGAGAAAAAAAATAATAATAATAAGTTTAACTACTTAAATTATTTGTTAGTAGTGTATATGATCAATTATTTGACAGGTAGTTGTTAATTGTAATTCTGGATCACTAGACCATTTACGATTATCTATTGAAAATTTCATTAAATATTGATAATTTTGAATTGAATTAGGCATTTTTTGTTTATGAATATCATTATAAAATTGTTTAATTCGATCATTTTGATATATAGAATGATTATCATTATCACTAACATCAAAATCATGTTCATGATGATAATATTGTTGTTGATCAGAATGATGTTGATGGTGATGATGATGATGACGATGATAACGATGTCGACGATATGATGTTCTACGTGATAATGATAAAAATAACATATCAGATATAGTTGTATAATGACTAGA